TTCAAAGCTTGAATTGGGAAATTGTAATGTTTTTCGAACACGGAAAATGTTTAAAGAAAATTTTCGATTGGATCTTGGTGCCTGGATAGAGTAGGGCCGAGCGAAATTACTTTTTTATTATCTAAACGTAAAAACAAATAAAATCGCCATCGATTGACTTCTTTCGCGGAAATAAAAAAACGAATAACAGTAAAGTGAAAGGAAAATAAATAAAAGTAGAGATATTCAAGCAAAATAAAGAAATGATTCGAAATATATGTAACTAAAAAAATTCATAAAAAAGATTACAGAGTAAAATGCGAATTGTAACAATTTAAAATGCCAGATTTGGTGTTTTTTTAGTGAGAGTTTTCCCTTTTCTGCAATCTAGTGTCCATGATAACAAATAGAAATTAAATTGTATGGTGCAGCGTTTTGAAAAAATTTAACAAATTTAAAATTTTTGCGTAAAAATTTTCGTAAAGTATTCCTGTTCATATTCGTATGAATTTTACAACATAAAGTTTAAATAACGGTTTATCTTTCCATTTTTTTCTCTATTACCTTTACCTAACATTTTATTTAACAACAGGATTCATTCTTTTTAATACGATGTGCCATTATTGTGATACATAATCTAAAGTACTGTTCGGAAATGTTAAACGAGGCTTGTATTGATTATTCTAAAAACGATGGTTTAAAATTGTTTTGGTAACGAAGATTCGTTTAGGATGCTGAGCAGAGATAAACATTTTTAAAATCGGTAATTGCTGTATTTGTTTGTTTCTTTAAAATTATAGAAGGATATTACTTTGATTGTACAGTGTGATTTTGAATATAAATCTTTAACCATTTCTAATCCATATTTCCAATAGAGACACACTTTCATAACTGCATTGCAAGGCAAGCTGAATTTTCGAATTTTGAAAATTAATTTTATCCCAAACGTTAGTCTATTGTTAATAATTGAGTTTAGCCTGAAGTACATAGTAATTGCATCTTCTGTTTGAACTGTATATTCGATAAAATTATATTTTCTATGAAATAGCGAAGTCGAAATAAAAATTCATAATTTTAAATCGTATCCAGAAGTTTCATTTGATTTGTTGTGAATTTATACTGTATTATACTTTATAGAATCGATATATTGCGTACAATTACGTGTTTATTTCTTTATAAGTATAGAATGCATACGATGAATATAGTATTTCAAAGAATTTCATAAAGCAACAATCTTGAAGTACCCGTTTAGTTTCTAAACGAACAGAAAACATTCTAATTTATTTCGATTATCAATAATATTATTAAAAATAATTTTATTTGAAAATTTGGCTCGGCAAGACTGATGGATAAGCAAAACAATTACGATTTTCCAGATTACTTATAGCATTCCAAAAAGATTCACAAGCCTTATAGTACACTATTTCATACTATTTCTTTTTAAGATTACTACTCATTTTCTAATAGTTAAATCGAAGGTGTTTGGCATTTTGTAATAATCTGTAGACAATTATATTTCTAAACATAAGTCGAAAAATGATTACATACGATCGTAGTTAGAGGATCTAGAAAATTGTTCGAACTTTTATTAAGTAAATCAAAAATATCGCAACCCTCCTTCGTGGCGAAGAACAAAAATTTTTCATAAAGAATCAATGTTTAAAATTTATTGCAAATTCCGTAGATACATTTCTAAGATGATAGACGTGAAATCTCTTTACTAGTAGCAACGTGTACAAAAAAGAACCGTTAACAGAATTCATCCTAGAGAAAGAATAAGCGAATACCGCCGCGAACGTCTGCCTTAAGGAATTTTGTCGCGTTTGATTTGATAATCCGCGTGAAAGGCGATCAAATGTCGAAGTAAAAATGATATACGATGTAACGAAGCAAAGTAAAATAAAAATATATATGTATAGCAGAAACGAAAAGGGGAAAAGCGTTGCCCTAGATCGTGAAATTTTTGCGTAGTCTATCGAAGCACCAAGATCAAAGTTGCCAGAAACGGGACTCACCCTTTCGTTCGAAGATCCTCGGCGACGACACGATCCTTCCCAGGATCACCTCCGCGTACTTTTCACTACGAGTTGCGAAACACTTCTGCTCGTTCGGTGAATTCGGCAGCCCTTAAATAGTCGATTTGACGGGTGCAAACGTTACGATGCCTCGTGAGAAAATTTCCGAGCACAATGCACCCTCTTCCTTTGATCCCACGGGGTTGAAGGTCATGCAAACGGAGATTTTTACCTGTTTCCGGGCTGGCGAAGGGGATGCTCGCTGGTCGGACACGCTACGACCCGGAGGGATGATTAAGAAGGGGAAAAGATGGTAACGGTCGTTTCTTTTGAACAGCGAAGGGGGAGGGGAGGGTGCAGGTTCTCGATTCGTGAGAATTGGACTACGTGCAGGGAGGAAGGTCGTGATACCTTTGAAATCCGAGCCGGGCTTAGGAGCGAGAAAAGTATGGTCCGACGCGAGCCTTTCTGCATATTCTAAAATTTTCCTCGTGAGTTATTTCGTAGATAGGGCAAATGTATATTATTTTATATATTAATTATAAAATAAACATATTACGTGTATTTTTCATGTATTAATATTTAAAAGGGCAATCTTAACGATAGATGTAAAATATAGGGTTCTCCAGTAAGAGCCAACAGAACTTTGAGTTTAAATAAAATGAGAGGCTACAAAAGATAATCTAGTGAACATTGTTTTATTTTTATATATATTCGGTGAAATTTATGCCGTGAATACGACAAATTTTCGATCCAATTTTGTATTCCAACTAACACGAACGATGTTTACTTCGATATCATTAACATGAGACTTAACATGGCTGTATAAAAAGAAGTCTAATGACGTCGAATCGCAAGACGATTTGGTGGTCAGTTAACACTTGCATTTCTCGAAATAACGTCAAAGAAAAGATGAAATCATCGAATGATAATGCTCATCGGTTACAGTCACAGTCGTACCTTGTTCTTTTTGCAAAAAAAATACGAGCCAATGACTCCATCAACCACACCAGTAACTTTTTGTGGGTACAAAGGTTGCTCGACTATCGACCGAGGATTAGCATCTTCACAAATTCGATAATTTTACTTATTAACAAAATCATTTGTCCTAAAATGACCTTTATTGTTTGGCAAATTGCTTGTAAAACACTACTGAATACAAATATGGCGGTTATTGATATAGCTTGCTGGAGAGCCATATGGTTTTTATTGAAGAATTGCTAATGTACACATTCGTTATGCTCTACGCATAGTGTACATTTTATTATTAAAAGGAAAATTGATAAAAGAAAGTAAAGTTGCAATTTTTATGTAACAGCAATCGGTATTCATTGAATTTATGCATTTCAACCGGTTAATGATACAAGTACCCGATCCTATAGTCTTGTTTTTCTTTCTCTTTCGTCTATTATTCGAATCGTTGAAAGCAGTGCCTCGGGGAGAAGATCCAGTTTAACTTCTCGCAACCGTTGATCTTCTTTTCTCCATGCCTCAACCCGTTTTTCATCCGTAATATATTCTTGTAAACTGTTGCCCTTATTCTAATTCAGAATTCACAAATACAGGGTGACCCATTTAAATCGAATATCTTCGAAACTGTTGACAATATCGAAAAATGTATCCAAAATAAACTATCATACCATTCCATACCATATCGAGTCATGTGACATAATAATAACAAACGCGAGGTGTAGAGTAGGACGTTGCTTGCAATGCTTTTTTCTGTTACACGGATTTATATAACATTATCACCATATCATTTCGATATCGCAACCAACGTAATCGGTTCATCCTGAAATTCGAATTTAGCAATTGGGAGAATGTTCTGTGATCCCATGTATTGTGCCCTACCTTACCAACAGTAATAAAATCGACATTCTCTATTACCGACGCTTGGTTCAAATTCTGCTCGCACGCATATGCGTATGCAATATCCGCCATATTGATTTGTTCTCCAGTCATCATCTAATTCGCAATAAAGTCGGACGTGAATGACATATCGTTCACGATTCGTATTTCTAGCGTTGTCCGGGACCGAGAATAGTCCTCGTTGTGCGTTATTATTTTTGAAAAGCCGGTCAAAGTGTTAGGACAAATAGATAAATAGTAAGACTATGTTTCAGCTGGGAGTGCGGCGGCTCCTGTAATCCGGCTACTCGGAGGCTAGTTATGTCGGAGGGTCTGAGGTCGGGGGTACCTGCTGTTACACGGTTCACGTTGACTGGACGTCCGCACTAAGCTCGCCATCAATATGGCCATCCTGGAGGAATCCGGGGGTGGCCAGGTTGGTTAAAGAGAGGCGAACCGGGCCAGAGGGGAAACCCAGCAGCCAAAAGTCTCCGTGGCGGGCAGTAGTGGGATCGCGCCCGGGAGTGGGACGGTATCGGCAGCCTGGTCAATATGACTCGACACATAACTTTTTTTTCTTTTTTCCTTCAATCATTTATTATTATCTTAATTTTTATGCCATTACATTTCCATTTTTTAATTTATTCGCGTCATTTTCAATGATAAATAAACACTTCCTGAATGTTGGACTATTGGAAGACGTAAGCCATAGGTTTTAACACCACGTGTAATTTTCCTCTCCTTATATTTGCAATAAAACAATATTAAATTTTATATAAATATTACTAATTATGGAAGAAAACAACCTTTATTGTACTGCAACAATGAAAAGCATGTGTTTGCTATGTAAAGTTCAGGAGGGTATTTAAATAGCAATGTTAAATTCAATCTTACTGATTTATAATTATCAATGTCATGGGCATGCGAACACATTTGTATAAGAATCTTAGATTTTTGTTATATATATGTATACATATACTTGACACTAACTACCCCATATATGTATGACAGAACTCTTCATTATGGAAGTAAACAAATTACGCGGGAAAATAAGGTAAATCAAGGTACAAAATAATTGTTTTAGAAATGACATAGATTGCTTGCTTCAAGTTTACGAAATTTTCGTTTTATTTTTCCATTATTAATAATTAAATATTCTTTATGTTTATCTCTTATTAGTGTACCTCTTCTTTTTAGTACCGAATGCGATACATGAAAAAGTCCCTGATTTTTTATGTATGTGAAAATTAAAAAACACAAAAAAATTCATGAAATTCCAGGATAATATTTTTTAAACAGAAATGCACAAGGAAAGATACAGTACATAACATATTTTATTTCTATAATTTTTGTTTTTCTTTCTTTGCTTGTTCAGCAAGTGCTTCTATACGATCATGTTCTGCGATTAAGGCATCAATTTCGTTGGCAGGAAGGATTTTCATCTTGGTTTTGTTATTTTCCCTTGTTAAGGTTGCCATTTCCACTAAAATAAGGAAAACGAATTATTGAAACATAATAAGCTTCATGTTTGCAGCTACTAATATTTGCTGTTTAGTCATATTATTATTGCCATTAAGAATTGATAATGATATTAAAAATAATGACATTATTAAATATGTGAAAGTAAAAAATCAAACATAGTTACCTTTATCCGCAGATAATTTATTCATATCTAAGGTTTTTGAAAGTACTTTTATAGCTAATGCCATAGCATCTTTCAGTGTTGTCTCTCCATCTTTATAATCCTGTTTCAATGATGACACTGCAGCTGCAGAATTATTCCCAATACAAGTTGCTTTCCAGCCTCCATAATTTCCACTTGGATCTGACTGATATAATTGGTATCCATAATGCTTGTCCCAACCCATATACAGAATCGAAACTCCAAATGGTCTCTTTCCACCATACTGTGTATATGCTTGTTTTACATCGCAAAGATAAGTAACAAGTTGTTCACAAGGAATTGGTTCTCCGTATTGCAGAAGATAACGTTGAGCAATTAGGCGCAATTCATTTGTTAATACATTGGCATCAGAAGTGATACCAGCGACAGAACAAACAATATCATCTGTAAGCTTGTAAATTTTTTCAGAGAAAAATACTTCGTCTAAAAGTTTGTTCGTATTGCGTCTTTCTGCTGCAATTAAAATGCCATCAGTTGCTAAGATACCAAGGCAAGTACCTGCATGGCTTATGGCTTCCATTGCATATTCTACTTGGTAGAGACGTCCTTCTGGCGAAAAAATCGTCGTACGCGTATCATACCTGCGTGCCTGTTAACATAATATTTTGTGTTAAAAACATAGAAATCTTTTTAAGTTTTGAGTAAATTATACTTATTTTACTACATATTCTATTATTCTGTCATAATTATTTAAAACATTTTATTTTCGTTCAATGACAGTGCAAATTAAATAACCTCTTGACCAAAGTTGAACAGAAAATCTAATAAAAGAACAATGACACCAACGAAAATAATCTTGACAATGACATTAAATAAATTTCTCTACAATTTACCATTATGCAAACCAATTTTTATTATGTTTATAATGCTATGACACGTGAAATTGAAAAACTGACACTAAAGCTATAATCAGTTAAAACTGATTCTTATTAATTGTGTGGACACAGTGTGGTGACTAGAGGTTTATTGCTAGTAACCTAGATGGCGTAGTCGAGCTGAGTTAGGTTTAGGTTAGGTCCCCAATCCCGGTTAGTATGGCCAGATTTGGCATAATGTGTGCATCGACGGCGAGAGTAGTATCAGTAGTATGTAACGACAAATTTCCTTAGCGTGTAAGTCGAACATCCACAGATAGTTTTTAGTGTTGTAGAGGTTGGTAACATTATGGGCAATTTAGTGCTTGTAAACTTATCTTAACAACGTTGAACGTTTCTCTTGGTGCACGTTTTGCCGCTGCTCGTCGTTGTTTTGTAGTGTGCATACATAGTACGAAAAATTTAGTTATGTTTGAAAAATACATGGTTCGATAATTTTCTCCTGTATCAGCGAAAATATTATTATTTGTCTTTGATAATTTCCAAGTTCGTTAATCGTTCAAAATGTATACGCTTAGCGAAGGCTCGTTGGATGTAAGTTTGTTTTTTTTTTTGCGACGTAGTATAATTTCTAATTGCTATGGCTGATATATTTAATTTCGTTTCTCATTTCAGAAAATTATGAATGGCATCGATATCGATAAGCCAATATTACAAATATTAGTAAGTGGTGTTTATAAGTGTATAAAAATCTTTGCCCGTTCAATTTATTAAACTATTTTTGTTAAAATAATAGAAATCACTTCTGCTGTCAAAGTTTTCGTGTTATTATTTTGTAGGGTCATAAGAAGTTAGCAAGCTCAAGTAGTGGAGAACGTTATAGGCTGCTTGTATCTGATGGAAAGAGGATAAACTCGTTTACAATGCTAGCAACACAGTTAAATTCTATGATAACAGACAATGTATTGACTGAATTTTCTATTTGTCAGATAAACAGATATGCGATAAGCATGGTAAACAATGCTGGAAAACAGAAGTATTTAATAAATTTTGTTCTATGCAATTGTAAAGTCAAAAATATATTTTACTAAAACGTAATTTGCTTTTAGACGTGTAATGGTGATATTGAATATAGAAGTAAAATTTCCTGGCAGTGAAGTTGGACGTAAAATTGGAAATCCAACAAATGCAGAAGTTGATAGTGATTCTAAAGTTGTGCAGCAATCTGCACAGCCACCTGCTCAACACCAAAATGGTATTACAAAATTGATTTTATATCTTTGCTATAGACTACGGAATTATAAATTTTATACTGTTTTTGGTAGATACTCTGATGCAAAAGCAGAGCACACACCAGTCTTCTACTAATGATATATCAACAACTCCAATCGCTGCTTTGAGTCCTTATCAAAATAGGTCAATTTAATACGCTTGAACTTCAATATTATAATTGTATGATATTTTAAACAATAATAATTTTTATAGATGGGTCATAAGAGTACGCGTTGTCAGTAAATCTGATATCAGAACATGGAGCAATTCGCGCGGTGAAGGGAAATTGTTTTCTATGGATGTTCTTGACGAGAGTGGAGAAATTAGATGTACAGCATTCAGAGAGATGTGTGACAAATACTACGACATGATCGAGGTATAACATACTGGCTATATATGTGCAGCTTGAATCGTAATGATATATACATGTTTGTTACAGATTGGAAAAGTTTATTATATTTCTAGAGCTACATTAAAAGCAGCAAATAAACAGTTTAATCGTTTAAACAATGATTATGAGATGACTCTAAATGGAGATTCAGAAATCATTCCATGTCATAACACTGGTGATGATATTCCTTCCCTTCAATTTAATTTTATACCAATAAGCGATGTGGAGAAAGCAGAGAAAAATGATATAATAGGTACATAAATACAGATGTAATTAAGACTAATTTATAATTGTTTTTTTTTTATATTCTATGTTTATTTATTGTAGATCTTTTGGGTGTTATTAAGTCATACGGTGATTTGCAAATAATAACATCACGCAACACAGGTAGAGAAATGAAAAAGAGAGACATTCATCTTGTTGATGAAAGTAATACTATGGTAAGAAGTTTATTCAGTTTAGAAAAATTTGACGAATTTATGGTAATAACGGATTTTATTAATTTGTAGGTTTGTCTCACATTGTGGGGGTCGCAAGCCGAAGAATTTGATAGATCGGATAATCCAGTTTTGGCTCTCAAAGGGGTACGTGTTGGTGAATTTAATGGAGGAAAAACTGTGTCTACTCTGAGTGCGTCGGTTCTTCAAATCGATCCAGATATCCCAGCAGCGCACAGGTTTAAAAAAACTTATTTTTAAGTACTTAAAAAACTTCTTCGTCTAAAGCAATGCTACCTGTTTTTAATTTAGACTCCGAGGTTGGTTTAATACTGTCGGTCGTAATACGGACGTTAAGACGCTTTCAAGAACATTTGGAAGTGATGGTGGCGCAAGTGGACCATGGATAACATTTGCAGAAGCAAAGGACATGAATTTGGGTAGGGACGGTAGTGACGTATACACGGTAAAGGCGACCGTGAATATGATTAGAGTTGAAAATGCCATCTACAAGTCTTGTCCTACTGAGAATTGTAAAAAGAAGGTAACTATTTTTCCTCCTTCATGATATAGGAATCGAAATCTGTAATTAAAATGTTATGCCTTTTAGTTGATTGATCAAGCGAATGATATGTATAGATGTGAAAAGTGTGATAAAGAATACCCGAACTTCAGATACCGTTTACTCCTGAGTGTAAGTAATAGAAAATTAAATGTCACATTGAAAGAAATAATGAACATAAAATCTATTAATACTTAATTCTTTTAGTTAAATTTAGCCGATTGGTCAGACAATCAATGGGTTACAATGTTTAATGACGAGGCAGAAAAGATATTGGGCATTACAGCTCAAGAATTCGGAGAGCTACAAGAAAACGATAATGATACATATCTTGAAAAATTCGGTGACACAACATTTAAGAGTTTTATATTTAAACTACGAGTTAAAGCGGAAATATTCAATGTACGTCAACTTGTCGTACAGTTTTATATACTGTTAAAACGTAATTTCAATATTAAACAAAATAATTTTTGTTTTTAGGATGAAAATAAGTTAAAAGCAACGTGTACTAATTTAACTCCGATAGATCATAAAGCGTATAACACCCATTTAATAAGTCTAATTCAAGACTTAGCTGGAATTGGGAAAGCTTGAAGTTGCATTAATCAATCAATGTATACCGTTTTTGTACGAAGTGATTTTTTTCAGTTCCATTTTTATACTTGGGAAATGAATATTTTTTTAAATTGTTACTTGATTTCATAATTAATAAAAGAAACATGTCTTATAAATATACATGTATTTATATACATACTATTATATGTAATAAACCTAATGCAGTATTCTTTCAATATTCTTATTACACTATCATGTTTTACAAATACCGATAAGCATTATTGAAGTAAAGAATACACCTGTATTTTTTCAATTCTTATAACATTCAAGAACTGAAACCAATTAACTGCTTTCAACAACTGTTATAAATAGAGATAAAACAGATATTAGATTTAGTCGATTTAAATAGCCCGCCCACTCTGAAACCAATTTAAAGGACAAGGTCAATTAAGGACTTCAAGTCTTAGCCGAGGACGGACTTCAACTGCTCAAGCCCATGAAGAAAAGGCTCCCATTCACGTTCTTTATCAATTTTCCAAAGTTGCGTGAAGTGCTGACCACGCGTAACATATGGCTCGTGCGTAGGAATCCTACTGTAAGATATGTCGGCTTTCCCCACTACTCCATTAAACGCTAAGGAAGTTCATCGTTACTAGTGTCGCCGTCGTTGCACTCAATTATGTCAAATCTGGCTACGTTGCTTCAAGGCGCCGCCTAAATCATCGAGGTACTACATAGATACATAAATTTATATCTATATGCTCTTGGTGTGGATTTTTTGTTAAATATCCAACGTTCATGCGGACAATAAAAATGAAATGGTTACCATAGACTTAATAGACTTAATTTGAAAAAATTTTGATTGATTGTTGATTTGTTCGGCATAAGAAATTAATCGTCATTGAAAGCTATAGAATTATTTTTACATTTACGGCGATTGCATATTTCCAACTTGACAATTTTCCAATTGAAAAAGTGACAATTTATCGTATTGCGCAACCGTCGTACGCGATGTTCTTTTTATATATACAGTAGTCAATCTCTAAAACATGTAATTTGAGTTGCACCACCACTATCTTGCAACGAAAGGCACACGTTCTCCTCGCGCAGTATGGCTCGCTCGATTCCAGTCGTGATCCGTTCAACTACGTTACCTCGAGGAAGTATTGCTTCATTTGTAAACGAAATAGTGCGCATATAATCCAGGATTCGCCATGGAAGACGAATGGGGTATGTAAAAATCGTTATAGAAACATCTTAGCGGGTGCGTGTCCGCGGTTAAGTCGAAGGCAAGAAAATGATTTTAACCTTCAACTTTACAGATGTCGAAAACGCTGAAGCAAAATTCGACCTCGCTATCAGATCCAACAAGTGGGAGGGTGAAGACGAGGAAGAGGACGTCAAGGTTCTGACTTATTGACTTTCTATTTTAGTTTCGGCAATTTATTTACAAAATCTCATACTAAGTCGACGGTTTCATAAGTATGGTTAACCCTTTCATGGTGCGAATCAACACGAGACTAACAGCGGGACAATTGGACATACCTGAAGTTTGCTTCGAATCAAATCAAAACTAAAATTGATGTAAATGAAATGATATTTACATTACAATTTATATTAATAACTAGACGTTGCTGAATCAACTCGTGTTAATAATCGCTGTAATGTCGAAGCAAACAAATATGTTCAACAAATTATTGTTAACGTTAACTTTTGATATGATAGAGGCATCGATAAGTTTGCATTAGAATTGATATTAAGTCAAAATCATGATGAACTAAAAACTTATTGATGAATTTGCTGAACTGAATATAAAGTTTCCGTTGAAATAAATATAAGGTAAATCATAAATTCTAAGTTTGAATAAAAGTAAAATTTGGTAAAGCTGAAAACAATGTTGCTATAGCCTTTGTAAAATGTAACTTCGTAACATACATAATAAATTATAGCAAAAGTAAATTTAAAACGAATAAAAAGTAATTATACATAATAAAATAATACAGTATAGAATTAAAACTGATCAGTTTATTGGAAAATGCTACAATTTCATGAGATGAATTAAAAAAAAAACAAATTCGATCAACAGGATAGTTGGGAAGATGTCGAAGAAGAGAAAAAAGATGTAGAGAAACCTGCAGAAGTGCCTAAGGCCAAACCAAAGCCAAGGAAAGCTTTGGCAGAAAGGATTGAAGAACGTGAGGTATCATTTTTAAATCTTCATCTAGATTGTTAATTACATTATTTACGATTCATTGATTATTTAGTTTGTTGTTAATTTCTGCTATCGTGGTTGTTTAATACTGTTTTTGTTTCTTTAGCCATTATTTGTTTGCGTATGAACCTAATACCTTCGTTACTTTAATGCTAAAATTTTCTCATTTATGTAGTACTACAAATGTACTCTCTAAGTGCTTTGAATACTAATCAAGTTAATATTACTGATTTTTCTCTTCTACCATAGAAAAAGGCAAGAGAAGAGGCTGAAAGGAAAGCAAAAGAAAAGGAAGAGGCGTTAACACCAGAGGAGAAAAGAGCAGAACAGTTGAGGCGTCAGAGGCTTCAAGAGGAAGCCGATCTTCGCCTCGCCATGGAGACTTTCGGTTTGTCCAACCTTGTTGATTTTTCTCACCGCAAGTCGCACAGAACCGATAAGAAATGACTGCGTTAGAAACTTTTACATATTAACTCTTTGCGCTCCTCCTTTAATTTAAGTAGTACTATTAATATATCAGTTTTTGATCAATTATGAATTTATGTAGCTAGTAATATTGATGAAACGAAAAAAAATTACTGTTTTTCTTGTAAGACACTGAAACTGATATTTTTGCTGGCAAAGCATTCCAAGATATGGAATAAGAAAATATATAAAATTAATAAATAACTATGTTTTGATTTTTGTACAAAACTAACGTCTTGCTAAATTTATAACAAAGAAAAATGATATAATAAAAGGGATAAAATACAGCTAGAATGTCAAGTTATAGATTTACTGTTATTTATTACGTTAGAATTTTTCTCGATTTTAATTTCAATTTAAATTTAAACGTAGCATCTTAAAGTTTGTTAAATTTGAAATCCTTCTGTCACTGAAATTTCATTAGAATTTTAAATTTATTTCGATTAATATGTTTTTAATGTAAATCGCTATAAATTACTACAACTACGAATATGTAAAATATAAAGTTAATTGTAGATTCCACCTATTTAAAATTTTTGTCTTCTCTGACATTATATTTAAAAAGAAATTCAAAACTTAAAAAGTACTATTCATTAAAAGACTAATAATTGGACTGCAAAGAGTTGATGCACTATTTATGCGTTAGAACGAGTTAATGGCTTAATTATTCGTTTATGCTTTGTCTTTCATAATCTACTATAAAATATGTCGATAAATATTCAATACTGTTTGTGTAAGTATCATACCAATTACTTTGTAACTTTTTAAATCTGTATATTCCAATCGAGGAAATAATTATCTATAATTAGTATTAAATTTGTAAGTTTTTTTTTTTAATTCTTAAAAATACAACAAAGTATTTTTTTATATAAATTTAAAACGTAGTTATAAACATATTCTACATTTTTAAATAGCCTTTATATGCTCAAATATTTTGCAAAGATTTTAAATACCATCCGCTATGAGAATTAAATGAATGTTTTTAGAAACGTTTGAATTCTACGATATTATATTTTCAAAAATACAGTTATCATTGTATTTCTTTTTTTTTAGTAGTAATTGTTTAGTAACTTCTAAACCTTCCAACATTTCTAAATTAAATTTGATTTAAAAAAAAAAAAATTGATTTGGTGTCAGGAACTGTACTAGAGATGTAAAAATGTATCTAAATGAGTTATTACAATCTTTAAATAAAATACCAAATTGTTATTGTGCAAAAAATAAACATTCCTCTTTTTTGAAAAAGTAAATCAGATGTGTCTTATTTATCAACACTGATCTCCTGTACCGTTCCTGATAAATATTTAATTTTTATAATCAAATTTCAGTGTTTTATTTAACATATTAATAAAAAATAATTTAATTTCGTATCTAATAATACTGTTCGTGATATTTTTACTATGTAAATAAGTGATTTGTAATTAATGTAAAGTTTGAAATTACATTTAAATTTAAGCATAGAAATTTAAAAATAATACCGTCTAGATTAATAACAACAAAAAATCTATTTCAACCTATTTTGGTTCCATTCAGTATTGAAACTATGTCATTTGCGTTATAGTATCAAAAATATGTATAAGAAATAGTTAGTTGGAGATCATTTTAACTAACTATGTTCTTTTTGTTTTAGGTGTAGCTGAAGAATCTACATTGAGTCTGGATAACTCAGTACCCAACACAAAAGAAGAGTTTGAACTGTATGGAATCATACTTAACCAAAAACTGAATCAGTTTGCTAAAAACACCGAATTCTCTCCGTTTGCAGAAGAACTTATTAAGTCTATTGCTCTCAATCGTGAGTAGATTGTAGATTCGATTAGATATACAGTATTTTTGAAAAGTAAGAGTATCTTGTAAGAGTAAAGTTTCTTGCGCAACTTTATATGTTTATCTTGGATAGAAAGTGCAAGTAGCATATGGAAAAGAATAAATCCTGTTGGTGTTGCTAATTTAGTTCAATAGATAATTTTTAAAGTGATAAGAAAATGTTTAAAAAATTGAAATTTACTTTTTTTTTTTTATGGATTATTATACAGTATTGTATATTGCATTATTTACAGTATCCTCGGCATATTTGAAGAAAGTGAAAACAATGATTGATAATCTATTGATTGAGAAACAGAAGCTCGAGAAAGGAGACAAGTCGAAAAAGAACAAGGGCAAGGGAAAAGCAAAACTAAAAATCGAGGGTGAAAATACTCTTTTGAGCGAATATGGCGACTACGTTTACGACGATTACAACGATTTCATGTAGCGACCTTTTTATCCCGTATTCTTATTATTCCTTATCCCCTTTTCTAGTCGCCTAAATACACGCAGATGGTTATTAACATTTTTTGCAAATTTTATGTCCTTTATTCTCTATATATTCAAATTCTTTAATTTTTAATCGCTGGTTTGAGGTTGATGAACTTAAATACCTTACTTTTTATTAGAATTTTGTATTATGTACAGAGTTGGGCATTACTTGAATAACGTTGCTATCTAAATTTTCTCGTCTTTATAAATTACATGTAGTTTCATTTTTGGTATTATGAAATAATTTAAAGCGAAAGGGACGAAGGTTTTTTTTTATCATCGTAGTTTGTTCGATAAATTTGCTTTTAGTGTAATTTCTTGTTCGAGCATTTTGTCAGATGATCTATTTGTTTAAAAAAATTTGTTACAGTGACAAATGAAAATAAATGCTCTATCGGAGCACAGGATGGTAATGGGATGTTGTATTCTAAAAATATGCATTTAGAGAATTGTAATTACTATTGTTGTATGTAAAATATTGTAATGTAAGTAGTAACATATTATTAGATTAAAAAAGTATTTAAGGATTTATTCGAATAAAATATGCCCAACTCTGCATGCAGATATTATACATATATACATACATAGCGAACAATATGATAAATACATCTGAAAGATGTGAAAAAGAACCGTAACGCGAAGTGCTGATGCGTTTTAAATGCGGTTGGAAGATTTTTTAAAAAGTTTTCAACTATGAAGCCCCCTCGATATTTCCAAGAGATCAGCCGTTTTCGAAATACTTCACGGAATTTAGCTACATTTATTAAGGTATAAACTACTGGTAGTTAGTTTGAACTGTATCGATAATGAAAGCTCAGAAGTTAAGATGAAACAGTGCAAACACGAATGTACGGACAACGATCTCCGCAACGCAAACGTTGCGGGGTAATTGAACTAACTGGTAACCGATACCAATTAAGAAGGTAGACCACCTTGAACCTGTTAAAAAAAAATTGTGCTTGAAAATACTTTTTTTTAAGTAATTACAAGATAAAAAATACCTAAAGTTTGCGCTCTGTAATTACAAAAAGGAAAAGAATAAAATAAAATTTTGAGCACAACTTTTTCAAAGGCATGTTTACGATCTACCTTCTTAATGTGGATCACCGAACAGAGGAATAAATCGGTGATCAAAAAATTTATCCTTCAGAACATACGTCTTGCGCATGCGTAAACAATCGTCCCAATGCTGAGGAACTACATATGTACATCGGGTTCCTTTTAGTTTTATATTTACATGTATACGCGTATGGTTTTATGCCCTTTTTTTCATAATATATAATACTGTTTAAATAATACCTCATGAAAATAATGTACTTTTGTTTTAGGAATTTTTCAACGTCCTTATCATACACTATTAAGAGTAACTGCTAAGGCATCTATAAGTAATTTAATCGTATCTTTATTAAGCTTTTTGTTACATAGAATTTTTCACACAAAGGATGCACAGTAAAATGGAAAACAGTGAGATATGTTTAGTTGAAAAGATTTTTTTCTGCAAACATGGACGAAAGTTTTTGCGTTTAAACTATTTTTACAGAAAGTTTCTTAACATCACACAGAGCAGTAAAACTAAGAATATCGTTTTCATTTCATTACAATAAAATTAACAATATTGTTTTATGTTCTTAGTTTAAATAAATTTTACTCGTTCCGACTTCTTTGCAGTAATTCTGTTTGTGTTGTATGTGTGCGCGTGTGCATGTTTTATTATATTTCTTTTATAATTCGTTAAATCTGCGCTGTCTCTATTATAATAAATTTATTTTCATTAGAATAGCTGATTTTTTCTTAGTTTTATTGCAATCGATTTATCAATTTGTTTACAGCAACTATTGTTTTTTTAGTTTACACAAAACTATCTTATAATTTACAACAATATGGCACGTTTAAATAGTTGGATCAGTGAATGTATCTGTTACATTGTGAAACCAAAAAGAAAGTTTATATTGAAATACAAGAGCAAATACCGTGAACATGTTAAACCAATTAACAATCATTACTTGTTGAAGATACATTTCATTTGGATTTTTAAGCGATGTTTAACTTGAATTCAAATTGAAGAATCATAGGAATAATTTGATCTGTATTAATAACAATTACATTCACATTTTAAGTTTATACGTTTTACTATGACTGCTACTCGAAGCTAGAATTCTTAAGCACTGTTATATTTAATCGACTGACTTTTTAGTTTTAGAAAAGAAATCATTTCGAAGGCCAACCCTGTAAATTAGACATTTCCAACTGTTTGATAGATGCACCCTTCTAAAAAATAAAATTTGCGCCCGAGGTAAGTCGTACACCTACGATCACTGAATACATAGATTCAATTCACTAGTTTTGATCAGGGCTCGAAAACTGTTATAAAGAACGTAAATTTCGGACTATACCGGTTCAAGTAAATGCCTAAATTTAAATACTTTATAAATAACGGTTATAGAACCTATATGAGCTTACGCAAAAGCTTTAATCCAAATCGATATAGCACGACTTTTAAGTCCCTCGTAACAGTTATTCAGAATAGAAGTTCTTCGTAATAGTTTCGGACCATAACTTTTATATAACGGTTTGAAACAATTATTCTCGGAACTTTTTCAAGCTGTGGTTCTGATTGAATCCTTTCGGTACATGCATCGATTATAGCCATCGACGACGATACTGATATTTATATTTCAATCAAATATGTATTCTTCCTCATTAAATTTTATACCTACGGTATTAGATTTCCCTTGTCGGGGAATATAAATTTTTTTACAGAATCGATAATTTTGGAAAAGCAATGTTATAAAAAGCACGGCTGTAGTTTACGCACATCAGTGCGGTCACACGACCATAATTAATGTTCACAGTGACATCCACTGTACCGAAAGGGTTAAAATCGTGGTTGTACTTTCAGGTATATCTATAATCATATGTATACATAATTAATCAGACACTTAAATATATATATATATATATATAATAATAATTGTAAATGCAACAAAAATATTTTCACTTTAAACGAATTTGGTGTGAAGCTTTTTGTAAAACGAATTTGACGTGCAAATTTAAAACTGATTCACCTAGTACATATTTAGATTTTTCATCAAATCAGACGAATATATTACCTTCTATTATTATATATTTTATCGGGAAAAATTGTGTTGTTATCGCGTACCTTAATTAAAGCTTAATAGTAACAATTAATTGCATCTTTAGGAATGTAATATATCTATTTGGAATGTGAAATCACAATTTAAAAAGAATTAACTGGCAAATACATTAGTCTTCTTGATACCTCAAGACTTTGGTGATAGCACGCGTCAAAGGAAACGTTTCATTAAATTTACACGTATTATTCCAGTCGTCGACGTTCAAGGAAAATATCATTGCACCTCCAAAATTGTTTGCACGAATCCATTCGGCCTGAAAGTGGAAACATGTTTGATTTATTTGATTTGAATTTCCAGCTTAATTTATAAGAAGACCACACAGCATACCTTGTAATAAACACTTGTAACATCATCGTACGATATCCATTCTCTGTCTTTATAAGCATATGGAACTTTACTCTCGTTTTCAAAAACACTCTTCGCACCATTTTGAAGGAACTCACAAATTCTAGGGTAGGAAACAAAGCCCATTCCACCCAGTTTTCCGAATCCGTTTGCTGGTGCAAGCAAGCCATGATTCAATGGATTGTCCAGTCTGTAAGAGTGGCCATAAGTAGGAATTCCAACAATTAGTTTCTCTCTTGGCATGCCCCTTGAAAGCCAATATTGAGCCGAAAAATTCAGATTTAAGGTAGAAAGGTATCCAGATTCCGAAGAACGTGTAAAGAGCGGTGCATTGAGTCCGGTGATTGGATAATACCAAACATAAAAATGGTAGTCGTATGCCATCAGATTCACAAAATCTACGTATCTAAAACGAAATCGATAAATATTGTTTACAGAGGACAGCGCGATGATGGAAATAATTATAAAGCGATTTGTGTATTTATGTACTTTGCCATTTCTGGAACGTTGTAGCTCTGATCGACGATTGCTTGAGGAGCAGCTACAGCAACAGAAAGTATTAATGCCTGTTTAGCTAGTTGGAATTCTTTTCGTAATTCTTCCAGGAGCTGTGTAAAATGAATTTTTTCTAGTTCGTTGGCTCCGAGCCATGCCGGGAATTCCCAATCTAAGTCTAATCCATCAAAACCAAACGACTTTGTCACGTTTAACACCGATTTTATAAACCTGTGAAAAAAATTGTCTCTGGCATAATTTGTGTAAATAAGATTAATGTTCTCTTTTTTACTTTTCACATTTTTTTATTACCGTTTTCTATTAGCATGGTTTTTTACCATTTCCGAAAAACCTAAATGGAGCTCGTTACTGCCGCCGACGCTGATCATGACCCTTAGTTCAGGTTGCTGATTCTTCAAGGTGAGAATATCCTTGTAGATCGATGAACTGTTGCCTAAGTCTAGGCTACAGTTCACCACGCTCGCAAAACCCACGATAATATGCGTACAAATATTAGGGTCAATGTGCGACGAACTGAGCTCCCAGAGCGTGTTCAGGTCCCCCGGTATGGTGTAATAACAGACGATGATCTGCCTATAGAAATAAAAATGTTTAATTTAAAATGTGTACAGAATTCGTGAAAAAAAAACCAAATGAGAATATTCAACCTATGGAGAACAGCAGTTAAATTTGTTACCTTGTGGAATTGGTGTAGAACTGCTGTGGCGAACTGATGCTGTTGTTCCTGTCCGCATTCTGGTTCTCCTTCGTCGATTCGGCGTACATCCGAGCCCGACGTAGCCACGTAGCAATCTTGGCATTGTCGAACAATGTCTCTGTATCTAGTGTTTCAGATTTTGGTGAGCTAAGGATAAGAATTCCTATCCAGGCACGTGTTACAAAAAGGATCCCAAGCACCAAGGATATTAATACCAAGCACAGTGCCTGTGTTTTCCAACGAGGTCTAAAGAAAAAAGGTAATGAATATTAATAAATTTTGCACGAAGTCAAATTTTTATACAAATCAATATTTATCAGTTAATGTATTTACGTTTTGTAATTTTAAACTAACATAACTGTAACAAATTCGAGTAATTTTAATGCGGTCACAAAATATATGAAACTTGTGGATTTATATTAAATGTAAATATGCAATGTATTTCGCACACATTTCTATCCGGTTCAACCCAAGAAGGCTTCTTGTGCCATAGTAAATATAGAACAATCAATATGCCACACCTGTAACTTTTGACATATACATTCTCACATCTACTCAAGCGTATGAAGAAAAAGATAGAAATGAAAACAACATTTTAACGTTTATATATAGAAAACAGTCGGGAATATAAATTTAACGTAATAAACAAAGCATTTAAAAAAAAAAAAATTGTTTATCGAAATTACAAAAGTACTTTAACTAATAAAAATATTCTTTCTGTACAAGTGACAATTGATAATTTAAATAATTAACTGGTTTTTAGAATTATATAATGTGTATTCTAATATATTTGAATGAAATATGGAACTGCATTAAGGTTGAAAAAGAAATATAAACATGTATTTTCAAAGTCGTTAAAATGTATTTCAATTGTTTAAAATACATTTAAAGAATTACTTGTAATCGTATGGTACGTTAAGGTACTAATGCATGCCAGTATATATTCTTTTTTTTTTTATAAATAAATGGAATAAACATTCCTATGCGTTGTATAAAGTAATTGAAAATCAAAGTGTACGTACTGATGTATGAATGAGCTTGACGTTTATATGGCTTACGTAAATAACACACGTAACACGTAATCATTCGCATAAAAGGTGAAAAAATGAAAACTCACTGTCGAACGTCCGTTAATAATTCATATTTTGCCTGAGGCACAGGAATTTGGTTAACCATTGAAGGTACAATGCTCGTCGTGATTGACGCTTGAGGACGCTCGTCCTCGAGGGTGGCTTGCCACTTTTATTACTACGCCCAGTCTGATATGATATACGTTGATATCTACATATGTACATATGTAACCTACTAATACAAATTGGTAGAGGAGGGGGTAGTAGGATTTTGCTGCGCACAATAGCTTTTTGTATACAAAGCGTTCAATTGTCACGATTTGTTTCCTTTCCATTGTTATCCATTAAAACAGCGTTCAATTGTCACGCTTTGTTTTGCTTTCCATTGTTATCCATTAAAACAGCCCTTGATGAACATTTCACGAATAAAAATCTGTTTCGCTTGTTTTTCATTAAATATCCGAAGAACCACTTTGTTTCAGCAATTTCAACGCCCCGTGAATAATATGTAGTTTAATTATAAAACAGCAATGAAAAATTACTTGCTACTTTTCATGTAATTGATTAGGTATAAACGATTTACTGGAAGCGACGGGTGTTTCAATATTGCGCTAAAAAGTGACAAACTACAGTATCGCCATCTAATATCAGTGTTTCGAACTCAAAAAATCGTCCCAGGATCACAGAATGTTAGTGGAGGTATCCGGAGTACAGCTACCCCCACTCCTCCTACTCCTGACACGCAGTACATTGATTATTCATTAATAACTCCTTTTCTGGGAATAAAATATGAACTTTTAGAATTGAAGAATGTAGTATAGACCCTTGGCTAGATTCAAGGATACTTTTTAGAACCATTCCGCCCGTAATTAAGACGTTATTAACGAATATAGGAAGTCGGCACATTCATGGCCGTGTCACTGTCTGCTTTAATCGATGAATTATCAACTTTTTATATAATAATACCCATATTTTCGCTATTAGGGAACAAAGTAGACATCCCTGGCAATATTCAAGTGCCAAGTTTGCTACGCCACACGCTCTAATTAATTAGTTATTAGCGAAAGATCCCTAAGATGTTAGGTTAAGAGGTTGAAAACAGTGTGCCGACTTCCGATATCGGTTAATAACTATTTAATTAGGCATGGGATGGTTAGAACAGGTATCCTTGAATGTTGTCAAGGGTCTCAGCTATATTCTTAAACCCTAAAAGATCATAACTTTGTTCCAGGAAAGGCGTAATTAGTAAATTAAGGAGCAGTGGTTCGTTAAAAGCGGTGAATTATTGATTTTTGATACGTGGCGCCACCTAGTGGCAGAAACAATGTACTATGCGTTTCTCGGCTCGTAATGAACTACTGCTCCTTAATTAACTAATTACGCCCTTTCTGGGATTAAATTATGAACTTTTAGAGTTTAAGAATATAGTATGGACCCTTGGCAAGATTTAAGGATACTTTTTAAAACCATCCCATGCCTAATTAAATAGTTATTAACCGATATCGGAAGTCGGCACACTGTTTTCAACCTCTTAACCTAACATCTTAGGGATCTTTCGCTAATAACTAATTAATTAGAGCATGGAGCGTTGCAAAATCGGTCCTTGAATGTTGCCAGGGATGTCTGCTTGGTTCCCTAATAGCCAAAATATGTCTGTTATTGTTAAAAAATTGATAATTCATCGATTAAAGCAGACAGTGACACAGGCGTGAATGCGCCTACCTCCGATATTCGTTAATAACGTCTTAATTACGGGCGATATGGTTTTAAAAAGTATCCTTGAATGTTGCCAAGGATCTATACTACATTCTTCAATTCTAAAAGTTCATATTTTATTCCCAGAAAAGGAGTTATTAATGAATAATCAATGTACTGCGTGTCAGGAGTAGGAGGAGTGGGGGTAGCTGTATTCCGGATACCTCCACTAACATTCTGTGATCCTGGGACGATTTTTTGAGTTCGAAACACCGATATTAGATGGCGATACTGTAGTTTGTCACTTTTTAGCGCAATATTGGAACACCCGTCGCTTCCAGTAAATCGTTTATAACGAATTAATTACATGAAAAATATATATAGAAATGGTTGAAGAACTTAATGAAATATTAATTAGATTCGAATAATATTCGGAGCAGTTATAAGGAATTATAAAAATTAGTAAATTAATGGGAAAGGTAAAATAATTAAAAGATTATATACGTATATATGTATATATTTTTATGAATAAATACATTCATTTCAGAAATTACATTATTATATATGTTCGTGGTCTTTGTAGATTAACACGCAATTTTAATATTCAACCCGCGCACATTTATAAACATATTAAAACAATAAAAACCCATTATTATCAATATTTTACATTTTACAATATTAGCAGCACATGAATGGGGGCAGTATTAATAAAATATAAACAATACCGTTCTGAGATTCGGATTGTGATGTTTCGTACTACTAAACAGTATGTACCTATATTATTAGTTTATTTAAAATTATAGTTTGTAGCACCATAGTTAATCGAGGTATAAAAGTAATGAAATTTAAAAACCGGACTAGTACAGAGACATTAATATACACGAATTAAATTTGCACAATGCAAATAATATATAAAAATTACAAATTTTACATAAGTACTATGCGTAAGTGTGCCTAGATCTTTGTTTACATGCTTCAGGAAGTCGAATGAGAGGTTTTCATGTATCACGGACGTTTACTGATTTCTGCCACTGACCAATGATTCATCTTCCGGCTTGGAGAGACGTTTGTAACGCTCTTGCGAAACGAGATAAACCGATAGTCCTCCAAAGAGAATGATTAGAAGCCCAATTACATTAATTAATACTGCTTCGTTGACGAGCTTCGAGTAATCGTCACTGAAATCAGACATATTATATTAAACGAAACATTAAGAGCACTACGATTTCGTAATAAAATAAAATTTAATATTTGTAACCAGTTGAGTAATTAACTTACTTTAATGTAAAAATAGCTTTTTCATTGAGTCCTAGGAGACAAGAAGCAATTACACCGACAAAACCCGCGATACCAAAGTACACGTGAATGGGCATATAAGAGGCACGTAATGGAACTTGCAATCCTGGGTATAGAAATGACAAAAATCCAGCAAGCCACTGAAATATTGTAAAAAAATATATATTATGCATACAGAAATGCTTCAAGCAATGCTATCGAAACAAATGTGCTGGATTTAACATTTTACCTGACAGCAAAACAAGATTACACTGGTAAGTCCAATCCAGCTGTGAAGACTGTACATGTTTGGAATTGGTACTGGTCTTAAGTTGTGGCTGTCGAACACAGCGACAAGAGCAATTACTACCAATACAACAATGGATAACATCATGCCGCCATGAATTAACTTAAGTCTTCGTTTACGAGCATTCCTTTTGGTTCTATATATCAACATACCTAGAAAAATGAAAAATATTGAAAAATAACAAATGCAATTAATTAAAATTGAAAAATGTATGAAATGTACCATTTGCATATAGAAACACAAATCCAATAATCATTAACATAGGATGCCAATTGAATTCCAAATTCGGATCGGATCTCCAAGAGAAACCACCTCTGTAATTATTACACCAAATTGCAACCAAAATGATTAAAGTTGCTCCAAGGATTTCCATTAAAATTGTGAGCGGTTTGAAACCCTCTAAGAAGACACGTGGTTCTTCGTTTAGTTCCATATCTGAAAGTAAATGAAGTAAGAAATCAACGTTACAGAATATTAAAAGATAAATAAATTAGCTAAATGTACGGATGAAAATATTAAAATTCGCGTAAATCTAATTCCTTCGCGAAGGGTATATCATTTTGATACAATTTTAATAAATAAATTTTTTATCAAGAGACCAGAGGAATGCAAAAAAAAAAAAAAAAACAACATACCTACACATGCTCGGTACTCGTACGGATAATTTATTGGCATGTCAATTCCAAGAAATTATTTTGTTAACCAAATTAACAAGAGTTTAAAAGATTCTGTAATATCTTGTTATAAAAAGGAGATAAATATAGATTTCTTTTTTTTCTTCGTATTATACGATCTAAGCAATTTTAAATATCGAAGAGCGTGCATTTCTTAATAATTGAGCAAGTGTTTTCAAATTTATAAATGATTTTCGAAAATCAGCTTCAACAAGTGTCAAAGAGCCACGTTAACGTGGCCAATGACTCTTCATAAATCAGGTTATATTTTATTTGTTAAACGTCGCGAAACAAACAAAGTAAACTTCGCATTGTTTGAATTGAAATGGAAAATAATGAAAATCTTGCTCGACAGGCCGTAAATTATAACACTCGTTTCATTACCTATAGTTTCTTTCACAGCTGTGTTAAGGAACTATCAACAGGTGTATGTCACTTCCCCAACGACGTAAAATAGCTTATCGATTTTATGTTCTTATATATAATGCTAAATGTTTGAACACATCGCACTTGTGGTCAACACAGCAACCGATAATACTATAAAATACAATGCATAAATTTCAAACCAAAATTAACATATTTAATTTTCTTTCTTTTTAGTGACTGAACAATAATAATCATAAATTGTTACATAATTTATAATACGAAAAGAAACGGTAGCTTTTCACAATCTTCATAGCTTGTTTTCAAAATGTTCTCTAGTTTTTGATAAGCCATAATACAATTTGTTGTGAAATTTACTTTTCACCTTTTGAAAGTTTCCTTTTGAATATTTCTGCATTCTTTTACTATTTGTTCTATTCTATTTATTAAATTCTTAATATTTTTTAGCTTTAACTTAAATATTACAGACTTTAAATGGTGGCAAATCAGCAGATATTGGCGATCGTTCGATTGGCCTTCTATTGATACAAAATGGAATTGATTCTACTTTGAAAGTAGCAAATTCGAAAGAAATTTTTATTTTACCAAATATCATTTAAAGTTAAAGCTTGACAAAAAATGTCTCGAGAAAAAGTTTCTTCCTTTTCTTTGTAGGATACGAGTCTATAAATAAAAATGTAGGTTTCTATTTAAAAGAGCAAAGTTGGTCTTCAAATGACCTTGAAAATGCTTAACAAATAAAAAATAAACAGGACAATCACGTTTCCAATTTAAAACCAAGACACTTTTATATTTATTAATTTTTCGAACAATGTCTTCTTTTCGACAATATTTAGAAGTAAAGTTTTCAAATGAACACCATGTATATATAGAAATCGAAAAATTAAATATTAAATATCTATGTAAATAATGAACATTGGCATTAAAACTCAAATATGTGTCTGTTTATTTTTGCTTTAGAATTACCGAGAAACGTTCAAATAAAATTGATGATTCTACGAGTACAACCTCTTCTTGTTAGCTTAAAAAAACAGTGTAAACATAACCTTTAAAGTATAAGTTTGAGCGAAGAAAGAAACAAGTAATTTTTCATTGTTGTTCCATGATTAAAGTGCACATTGCGGCAGAGTTTTGAAATGATTGAAACAAGAAGACTCCTTAGGAATTTAATAAAAAGCAAGCAAAACATCTTTTCATTCGAGAAACATTTCTCGAAAGATGCTGATATTAATAACGACGAGAAAACGACACATTTTGGATTCAAAACAGTTAAAGAAAGCGATAAAGTGAATGAAGGTATATTTATTTAAAATGTTTATTTTAAGGTACACCTTAAATGCATTCTTTTAAGGCGTAACTTAAAGTATGCGAAGAAATGATAATATTTATATACTTTTTAGTTTATACAGTGTTTGAGAAAGTAGCAAATTCTTATGATCAAATGAATGATGCAATGAGTTTAGGAATTCATCGCATTTGGAAAGATATATTTATTCAGAGACTTGGACCAACCCATGGGAGCAAATTATTAGATTCTGCCGGTGGCACAGGAGACATTACATTTCGATATTTACGATATTTGAAAAATTCCCCGAACCCTAAAGACGTAGAGAGTTCTGTAACAGTTTGCGATATAAACGAGAATATGTTGGACGTGGGAAAAAGTAGAGCCAAAGCACAGGGTTGGTCAAATCAGAATAATGTTCGAATTGATTGGATGCAATGCGATGCTGAAAAGCTTCCTTTTGATAATGATTCATACACAGCTTATACAATTGCTTTTGGAATAAGAAATGTAACGCATATTGATAAGGTAAAAACAGAATTGTATTGTACTGCATTAAAGTTAATTAAGCATCGCTTATTAGTTAATAATATTCTTGTAAAGAAAAAGAAAATAATACTGGTTTTTAGGTACTTTCTGAAGCATATAGAGTACTTACCCCGGGTGGTAGATTTATGTGTTTAGAGTTTAGTCATGTGGACAATGAGGTTTTAAGATGGTAATTACTTATATTTAAAATAATATATAGAGTTATATACATTGTGTACTTTAAAATATAATTTTTGCACAGGATTTACGATCAATATTCGTTCCAACTAATACCTGTATTAGGTACACTTATTGCAGGGGAATGGCAAGCTTATCAGTATCTTGTTGAGAGCATTAGAAAATTTCCAAACCAGGAGAATTTTAAAGTAATGTATTTGAGTTAATGTAATATATTTACATTAGAAATAACATATAATATAAATGCCTAATATTCGGTGTATACAATTCACATTTATAATTTTATTTTATTTTTATCTATTAATTGTTTTAGGAAATGATTGAGGAGGCAGGTTTCAGGAATGTAACTTATGAAAATTTGACCAGTGGAATAGTAGCTATTCATTCGGGCTTTAAACTGTAATTTGATTATATCTTTTTATTTTCCATTCAGCTTGTAAATGTGTTTATATTGAAAAGTTATTACTGTTCAAAATTAAGTAAATCGTTTAATTATAAATTTGTGTATAAAAATTAATACAGAAATTTATTCGTTGTTTTGTAGAAAACGTAATATTTATTTTTCATACAGTTCTTGTATTGTACAAATAGTAATATATGCAATAAAAAAATAACATTTTACAATAAAAATCTTTCGGTTTTTATATCAACATAATGTACATTGTAGTTAATGAAATTTACTAATAATTAAAAATTCTTTAACCTTTTGTCTATTAGTTCTTTTTGTTCTTGTGTCAGATCAGCGATTTTTATTACTGTTGGTTTTTTATTAATATTTAACTCCAATTCTAGCAGAGCATCCAAAGTTTTTATTTTTTGTTCAGCAGTACGAAAATTCTGAAATATTAAAGGCTCCTTTATCTGTCACATTAAGATAAAATTTTTGGTTGACAAAAAAAATTGATTCAAGATACCTTCCTAAGTTCTTGTTCAATTTCGGGATTTTTTTTTAACTTTTTCTTTAATGAAAACTCTTGAACGCTGAAACCTAATAAATTTTCAAGAACCTGGAATGGCACGTTCGTTTATTCAATGCACAGTAAATTATAAATTAAAATTTAATTTTTAATGAATTATCGTTACAAACCTTATTTGAAAAAGAAACATCAATTTTTCCAGTGCCATCTACTAATGTAGCATCTAAAATCCAACACGAATCTTTTTTCCCTAATCTTCCATGTTCTTCCACGCGTCCGCGAATTGTCCTATAAGTTATCTCTGTTATCACTTCGTTGTTTACGTCATGAATAAATTCACAAATTTTCGGTATATCCGGGGAATTTGGTGCTTTTACAAAATCTGTAATCTTTCTGTCTATTTTGCCCCTTTTTTTAGTCACCGTTTCGGGAGGAGACATTGGAACCTAAACAATTTCTTACTTGAACACATCTATTTATAATAACAATACATTCATAATTATCCAATAACATACAGGCCTCTTTCCTCCAATTGGTGTCAAATGAGTTTTTTCTATCGTTTTGCACACTCTTGGACATGCTATGTTAGTCGAAGGAGCTGTTTTATTGGTAATTGCAGAATCGTAATTTGAAATACGTTCTTTTCTTTCCGCGGGTTCTAGATCATCATTTATCACAATAATATCGTCGTCGTCTTCTTCTTTTGGCAAAGCTCTGAAAGGAGCTGCGATGTTTGTCTGTTCTGTTCGTGATTGCACAAATTGTTCTTCATCCACCTATAAATTGTTTCATATAAAATTCTCAATTATTTAATTTTGAAATACGATTTCACTACCAGTCTTGAAATAATTGAATCTCAATTAAATGTGTCTTTTAATGAAATAATGTAAAGTATTAAAATATAAACCATTTCTAAGAAACAATCATCATCATCTAAGATTATTTTTTCCTTGGAATTATGATCTTTTTTCTGCACAGTACTAGTATTGATTAAGTTAACTGTTTTAATTTGTGTTTTAGTCGTATTAATGTTGGGTTGTTTATGGTCTTTGCTGTGTAAATGTTCAATTTTAGAGACTTCTTCTAAATTTATTTCAAAATCATCTTCAAAAAAACTGTCATCTATATTTGGTTCTTTTTGTTGTTTAACATTGTTCGACTTTGATTCATTGTCGTTATAAGGGTCAGAATTTTCTTGGAGTTTTCTGTAAAAAAAATATTACAGACATGGTATTACCTGAAACTTAAAAGTAATCTGTCATGGATTACTTACAGAGCTCTGGCCAGAACATTTTCCAAAGCATTGGGAATTAATAAACTATCCACTTCGCCGCCGATTCCTTTTAGTTTTCCGTCTTCTAATAACAAAACACCTTTACGACACTTCACTGGACCTATTATCATAATTTTATATCCTGGTAACAATGTATCCTGAAGGAGAAACTATTAGTGTTTTACAAAACGTGTTTCTCTTTTTATAATAATCGTATTACATCCAATAGCTACTTCTTTTGTAACACAATCATAGAAGCATTATTATAAATTAAAATAACATACATTTAATCTAGGTATGTAGTTATACTCAATACCAATTACATCTTGTAATCCATCTGTTAGTCGAAGTTGTATCATTCTTTTTTTAGGGGGTTCAAACTTGTTTTGTTTTTCTTCTTCATCTGCTTCAGAAATATGAATGTTCCTTATTTGCTGTAATTGTTTATACTTTGATGTTGCAATATCGTACATTTGTTCTACCTTGATTAACAAGAAAAAGTTATAATATTTATTCATTGAGCGAGTCAGTTCAAATCTATCATTTGTATTTGTTCGTAATTTTATTAAACGTCTATACCTGAAGAATATAATTCTCGGATAATATAACGCAGTTTTTCTGTGAAATATTACGCGGCAGGCTCCCATTTTCATTATTGATTTCTCGTAAATTACTAAGTTGCCATTGTACTTTTACAAATTGCATAATTTCATTATTACTCGTCTGAAAAGGAAAACAATGATACATTTTTTAAATATTTGGTTTTCTGCGTGCATTCGAAAATATTTACATTTCTATGTTGATCCATATAATATTCAATGCAATCTCTCAACCACTCATCATTCATTAAATAAAATTCTAATTTCAATCTACTTTTTATTTGGTTGAATAAATTTTCATTCATTTTAAATATATTTTACAGTATTGTAACAAAACTATCGATAAGAGATTTGATTTTGTTACAGTCGAGTTTACAATGGATAAACAGAGCTACACAAATGCCATAGACGAAGTATACGAGTAGACATTATATCCAACGTATTTTTTCGGCCCATTTTTTTGAGACTCATATTAATATGCGTTGTTTATATTTTGAAACATTAAAATCCTTCAATCCGTCCAGAAGTTATGATTTTTTAAACATACACATGAAATTTCGGGGATACATTTATGACCACACATTATATTTTTGATTAGGAATTTTTTTCTCGAAAGTGCGTAGAATTTCGAGGGTATGCCTAATGACCAAAAATGATTGTAATCGACCCCCGCAACCGAAAATAATTTTTCCAGAATGATTTGAAATTTTTTAATTTTGTCGAAAAATTTATCCACCTATTTGAATTTTTTTCTCGAAAGTGGGTAGGATTTTGAGGGTATGCCTAATGACCAAAAATGATTGTAATCGACCCCCGCAACCGAAAATAATTTTTCCAGAATGATTTGAAATTTTTTTTTTCGTCGAAAAATTTAGGCATTTACCCTGTGTCGATTTTTCTTAAAAATTCGTTTTTAACTCTTAATAAATTCATATGACGCTCTACGGAAATGTTTAATACTTTGTTGTAGTCAAATCATTAAGGCTCATTTTCACGTTGCAATGAAAATGATGGATTTTACTATCTTGAAAGTTTATATATCGCGGGATAAATGGTGTTGGGAAAAACATAACCTTACTATATAAATTAATAACAATCCGTAAGGAATAGTCTTAAAAAGATAGTGTATTCGTAGGTAAAAGAATGAGTGATGTTCAAGAGAGTGAAAATGATAAAGTGGATTCGAACCTATTTTTAGAAGCTCAGGAAGTTGGAGAAAGTGAAATTGAGAAGTTAAAGGGCGATACTGTGGGAAATACTCTTTATAGTGGCAAATGGATAATTAATACTTTGCTTTCGATATATAGGGTAACTACAGAGGACGAAATTTCTATAAGAACAGTCTTTTAAATTTGTTTTAAAATACCTAATTTGTAATGTTAGTAACTGACACAGCCACAGTTATATTTAATGCCTTCAAATATTTCGTTCTTTATACCGTTAACTAATTTTTAACCATTTGGTTTGTAATGTAAATTAAAAGGTACGTGAAGATGGTTGGAATGAAGATCTGGAGAATAATCTGTGCACTTTATGGGATATAACCACGGAAAAGGATATTGTCCTATTTCTTGTGGATAATGACTTTTTTAAAATTGCCGAGTTTGCTTTGAATTACCAAGCACCAAGATTAATGGTACAATTTGTTTCGTGATTATTTTGTTTCTTAAATCTATATTTCATTTATACAATAAAAGGTTCACAAAATACTTCCCGAGTTCCATAATTATTACAAGTATTTATTAATCCTTCATTTCCTCACTCATGTTCATAAAATCCTTTTACTCATTAAATTCTCCATATTTCTTGACCATTATGTAAATGAGTAATATTGAAATAAATAATACATACATTTTATAGATATCATAAAATAAATTTAACCCTTACTACACTAATATCTGTGTAAATAAACTATATGGTTTTTTTCTTATTACATACATGTAACATATTTTTTTTTTTGCTTCAAAATCTTTCTTTTGCTACCATGAGTTTTCATAAAAATTATTTTCTATGAATTTTACTTGTTATTCTTAATAGTTCTATATAATTTATAGGAAATAATTTGGGGAATAATTGGAAACATGTCTTGTGAACCAGTAGTACTTGAAATATTAGGAACAAAAGAAGAACTTCTCGAAACAATTTCTCGTCAAAATTTTTTAGAAGATAGTGGAGTATGGGTGCAAATTCTTCGACTTTTTCGTTCCGCACTTTGGAATATTCAAACTAATCCAGAATCAAGGTGGAGAGTTAATTTGAGAAATTCTACTTATTTAAAAGACTTAATTCCTTTTATCTTGAAAAGTTCCACAAATGGTGAGTACTTTAACTCTGGATTAATTGGTATAGATATTACATAATATTCTGCTTAGTTTGGGACTTCATTAAATTTTTAATTACAGTGGAACTTTTGATCGCGACATTAAGTTTTCTGCGTTCTTCGGCAGAGATCGATCTTCCAAATGGAAAAACACTATTTGATGAACTCTTCGAAACGTCTAGTTTTCTTTCAGGTACAAAATCGTAACGTGTTTTTTGAGAAAATATTTAATTATTTTTTATAAAAAAAAAAACAAACGAAAATTTACAGGAATGTTAGAATCTTTTGAAGAAATTCTTCCTCATGACGAGGCTCCCTATTTAGCCCCCATGTTGAAATATCTTGAAGATTGGTTAGAATTGTTTTCTAATCTTCGGAAAAGGCCTCAAATTCATCAAGAGATTTTGCAAGATGACAATCTTGCTCGAACGATAGAAATTCCACGAAGAATTTTAGCAAATTTTAGCGATCCGTGGAATCTTTATCCTTTGGGTACAACTAAAGCTTCTTGTATTTACATGTGCGCAGAAATAATTCTTGATTTCCGGTGGAAAGGATTTTCAAGGGCAGATTCTACAGTAGATATAAACGAGACAATTTTGAAAATTATTTTCAACATTGGCACGGGTGAATAATTTTTATACCGCGTATAAATCTTTTTCATCATATTCAAATTAAAAAGTTTTGAAAATACATTGGTGGTCGAAATTATAATTTTGCCTACTAATGTATGCTAAACGTAATTCAGTTTTTCTACATAAATTTTGTGGATATTTTCAGGAATGAAAGAAGAAGAAGAAGAGGATTGTAAAGAAACAATGAAAGAATTGTTAAAATACCTTGAGAGATATTGGGTAGAGATAGCAAAGATTTCTACGACTGACGAAATTATACAGATTTTGAAAACAAATGAAAAGACTATTGTAGATCACGCAATAAATTTGTTAAAAGCAAACATTCCTGAAGACAAAATTAATAGCATAGTGAATGGATGGTCGAACAAGTAAAAGAAAAACCAAGTAAATGAATAAGAAAAATTGTTATACCAGGAAAGTAATTATGTAGGAATAAATATCGTCTTTGATAAAAACAGCAAGATTGATAAGGCCAATGATCGAATTTCTGAATTATTTTGAAATAGTTTGAAAGGTTCATAAATATGAATAGACGTTGTCCTACAATTTTATTGTAATCAAGATTTAAGTATTTTATGTAGTACATTAACAATATTTGTAGGGATTTTTCCTGGCAATGTTGGTAACAAGCTTGTTAAGAAAGAGAAGGGATTTCGAGGCTAGTGACTTTCCCCTTAGACGGTATGAATTATTGCGGTCAATTGTACCTAGGTACAATATGGATCGTCGGAGGAACAGGTTGCACAAAATTTGTGACAAAGATGTTCTGGAATAAGCTTTCTTTTAAATACAAAGAAAAGTTTCTATTTTACCAAATGTTTACTCCAGGCGTTTCAATAAAGGCTATCTAATTTTAACATACGTAAATACGAATCTAGATAATATATGTTTTTGCAAATATTTTAAGCAGTGGTTGACAAGAATGATCGGAATCGTGTAGTTTTGCAACAATGTATACCATAAAAAGATACCTCACAACTATATGTAATATTTTACATCAAACCTGATAGGATAAGGTTTTCAACGGCTGGTCAAATGTATAATCTTAATTTCAAGAAAGGAAGCGTATGGTAACGCGAATCTTCGAATTTACAAACACAGTTCAGTAGTTGGCAATGTTATTGCTCTTCGTGGTTATATTTGTTGCATTTGACTGATTTTTAACGTTACTTTTCATCGTGCCGCGAATCGAATGACCACCGGTATCGTTATTGTCACAATTTTTATCATTCTACGATGACTTCCATCCCCACAAAACCAGTTCACTTGAGCCTATTTTTAGTCCTTCAAACATACGTCTCTCCTGACAACCCTAGTGGGGGGTGAGCTACCCTTAGTGGGGGATTTAACGAAGATGGGGAAGGGGGAAGCCAGCCGTCAGGGCAACGCATGCCTTCTGACGTTTCAGTAGGCCGCGCGAGCTTGTGCCGTAGGTATATAATTTTTAAGGTGATTTTTTCCTCTCCTTTTTTTTCTTTCCATGTCATCCGGTCTGTTTCTTTTTTTCTCTCGCGATATTCTTGTGCCGTGATTCGGTTCGCGAGTGTGCGACACAATATCGTTTCAAATGAATGTATATCGATGTATGTGTGGTAGGAGGTATGTATGTACATATAAAATGAAAATTTACGCGCGCGCGCGCGCGCGTGTGTACATATACACACATACATACGCGCACGCGTGCGTGTATACAGTAAATTTCACGAACTCTGCCCATTAAAATGTTTTCAAAACTATTGACGATACCGAGAAATGTTTCCCGTAAGAATTAATATATGATTTCATTAAAAAACAAAAGCAAGAAAACGTTACCAACCTTTATACATAGGAAATAAATAATTACAGCAGATTATGCATACCTCAAAACTATTTAATTTTTGTTTCGAACATTTTCCGTTATCGTGAACAGTTTTGAACATACTTGAATGAACAGAACCGTGAGGCACACTGTGTGTGTACTTGTGTATATATATATGTATGCATATAATATATGTGATTGTATTTACATAATATGAAGACGAAAGATTTTTATATTTGAATATGAAATACATTGTTGAAGATCCGATTTCCTTGGCAGTCTGATTCAGATCGAATCGAACCATTGAATTCATTGTTTGTTTCTCAATACAAATTTTAATCGTTCGACGTTAATGTGCGTGTACATTATCTGTACAATTATTTTGTAGAAACGAGTAGAGTGTTTTTAGAAGTACGTACCCCGCCAAAATTGAGAACACAACCGTGGTCGGAGATCCGTCGATTTATTATAGTCTCCGTTAAAATTCATTTCGAATGTTCGAGTATCGGCTCGCGGAATAAATGAATCAAAAGGCATGAAATTTGATTAATTTTATTTGAACGGATATCGCGTTATTTCGTCGAAAATAATCGCGTATTCCGTGGGTCGGGGAAACGGTACAACGTTACCTTTGGAATTATGTATTAATTTGCATATTATATAGAGCCGGTCGTTTATTTATACGCAACTGTGTACAAAACGCAATACGAATTGGACGAGTGTACGGCATACGACTGGCGGAATAAAATTTATGACGTATGCACAGGTACTTATATAGTAATACGTTGAAGTATCCAGGTGGTTATTACTGTAATGGTAATTCCTGGTTCTGCCTTTCTCGAAAACTATCTCAATTTTCACGTACAATGAAACTTTAAACGAATCACGGTGTGCGCGTAGGAAATTTTGAAATCATGATATCGTTTTAATTATTAAGTCGACCTTTGAGATACGTATCGCCAATTAGCGACCTTTCGAGTACAACAATTTTTCAACAATTTATCCAAAAGATTTAAACGGCGGTGAACATTTTAATTGGCGGCTGCGATGTTCGGAGAAGCAGAGAGTTGCGTAAAAATTAGATTTTCGAAATTAACCGTCGCGTCAGTTCGTTATGGACAATCTAGTTGCAACGAGGAATTTGCAACCTCTGTTTTAAGCTTTCATTTTCCAGCGTGTAGTAACTTAATTCAAGCACTTTCCGTGGGCGAATTTTTTTCCGGGAAACCGCACTCGCGTTTTTTTCCATGTGTAAATACACGCAGCTTTTAAATACGTGCGAAACACAATTGAAATTAATACGAGTAAAATTATGCACATTTCATAGCGTTCGTGAAAGTGGGCTTTTTGTTCATATAATGTCTTTTAAATTTTATATAATATAGTTCAATTATTTTCTAATTCCACTCGTGACTCGGTAAACGATAAATGTTTTTTTTGTTGATACATTAATATATCTGCTTTCCTTGAATAAAATTCATAAAAAAGAAAAGAAAAATGTCGAAGATTTATGAAATGACCCATTATTTAGATCGCGGTATTCCAATTGATTTGCATCGAAGCGTAGATACGACACGATTGAACGATGAAAGGTGAACTGTACGAGAATCGTGTGTTCGGGAAGAATATGTTCCGCGAGAAGTTTACTTTACTGGAGTGAATCGAAATTGTGGTTCCCGGTGGTTCGAGAAGTGACGATTGAAATGTGATAATAGGAAATATAACGACAAAGTTCCGCGAAAGAGTAATATGCACTTGGAAACGTTGAGAAAATGTTCGACAAAGGAGGTTCCTAGGAAGAAAAGGTCGGGAACGAAGAAGCACATTCTGGAGACGATCGCTTCCTCGGTGATGAAGATAGAAGGCACATCGTGAAATTTGTGGTGAGTCTTTTAAAACATCAAAGCTCTGTTTTTTTAACGAATGCCAGAATCCACGTTCCACGATATCGAAACACCGAATAATTTCTAACCACGGTACGGAAGACTGCAAAATTCGTGATAGAATTTCATTAAACACGAAGTTCGTCGATTGGTCGATGCTCCTTCCGAGTACGACACGGGGGAACTTGTCGTGTTCATTACACGTTATTTGTACCTGTGTTGGGATTTGCAAACATTGATCGGGGCACGGTATTATCTGTTTTAACTAGTTATAACTAGTTAGAAGACGGTAATATAGACAGAAAACAGATAATACCAGACCACGATCGATGTTTCCAAACACCAACACGAGTGGAAGTAATGAGTAATGGACCGACGTGTTAGCCAAGTCGTCCTCGATCGTACGTATTTTCGCGATCGATATTCACAAAATATCGTAAAAATTCACGATTTATTTTAATTATTTATCGTCATTTCACACGACACGTTTACCCTTCTCACGAGTTTTTAAATGTATAAAACCGTCGAGCCTCCTGATCGAAAAGAATTTCAAATTTGAGAGAACTGTCAACGTTTCGTCGACTTGATATCGAATTTTAATAATACTCCGTCGTCGCTTAGGAAACATTTTCACGATTTAACGGAATCTACATTCTCGGAACGTCCGTAAACTGGAAATATATGAGTATAATACGAATCGTCGTACGTGCCCCCCCCTGGTGTTCCATTTAAAGCAGGGATTGAAAACTGTTATAATATCGATTTCGGTTCTTTATAACCGTATCAGTAAGAACAGTTTGAAACAGTTATTTTCCGAGCCTTTTTTCGATCCCTGATTTAAAGCCACTTTTGATATTATATCACAACAATAAGCGTGGGTGGGAATAGTTAAACCGTTGGAGAACACTTGCCGTCGCGGTTAAATACGAAATTGCACGAGAGGAAGATCCTGGTGAATGTCGTCCGGAATATACAAGGAGTTATACCATTTTGTGCTGTGTAGAATCCAGCCGTACGATCGCTACAGAAGTCCATTGTGAACAACTGGACCGATTAACATCAGTATTGGTAGCAAAACGGCCAGCTTTGCGCAACCGAAGGAGAATCCTCTTCCACAGGAACAAAGGACGACCGTGTGTGGCAAAATGGACGTTGCAGAAACTAGAGTCCGACTGGGAATGGATGATTCATCCACTCTATTCTCCGGATATTGCACCAACGGACTATTATCGTTTCGAAAGTCCGCGTTACAATTTAAAGAGACACTCCCGGCCCCTGAACTTTTACTACTCGTCCACGATTTTATTTTCTATTTTATTCTGGAAGATTCGGGCCTACAGTATACAGCGATGCACGGTTAACTTTCCCAAGATTTATTAGTCAACAGGTGAAAGTTACGGCGTGAAACTTAGTTTACGATCGAATCTAACGTTTTTATTCGTTGTTCGGAGATATAAAATTTCCTCGAACATGGAACAGGTGTTTCAGCAGAAAACGCCATCAACATCAGAAGCCAGGGACTCTTCTCGGTGAACCGAGGACGTGTTTCTCTTTAAAAGAAATTAGCAGCGATACCTTTCAGGGCTCTTGGCCTCCTCTCGAGCACTCTTAGAGTGCAGAGTGCAGAGCACGAGGTATTCAGTCCTCTGTACTACCGGTGTCCTTATTAACGATACTTCTGGCGCGAACTACACGTCTCTCTCTTTTCTCCCTTGCGATCAACTTTGCGAAACACGCGATAAGAATAAACACTTTCTCCTGTTCGAGTGAGTTTTTCAATTCGAATTCGACGCTTTACGCGTTGATGATCAATTTGAACATTAAATTCATGCAACTCCGTAGAGCGTGAAATTTAAATTGATATTATTTGTTATAACTGTTTTTAATCCCTGTTCGATGTACACGCGAAACGTGCGATATTCTAAGTGTGAAAAGTACAGGAAGGAAGTGCGTGCGCTCGCAAAGAGTGCTCCATAAATATCGGAACCTGTCGATTGGTTATTATCAATTATCCACTCCAGCTCTTCATCAGACAACCACGGGAACCCCCTATCTTTACACCTTTTATCCGTAAACTGCTCCAGTACCGTTATTTCGATAGATCGAGACAATAAAAAAACGTTATCAGTTATCAGCCAGAGCAGAAATTTCTCGCGCGGGATTATTAAAGGCGGCTTTAAAGCTGCGACGAAACGTTTAAAGAACTTAGTGAAACTATTTTTAAACAGTCGAATAAATAAATATACTAATATAGAAGTTTCTGTAATTTTTGTCAAAACATGAAATCGTGTTATCGCGACAGAATTGTATTTTACGTTAGAGCTTACCCGTAATGGTCGATGCTCCGTAATTGATTCACCCTGCATCGTTCCGTAATTAAATTCAACAACGTAATTACTTATTCACCGAAAACCAAATGTGAATTTTTATTACGCGAACTGTCTTTCAAGAATGATCGCTGACGATTTAGTTCTGTAAACGGAGCGAAATAAATTCCAAAGGGTCGGCCATCTTTTTTCAATCCTCTCGAGGCACGGATTCCTCAAATTGTTCCAAACTACTACTATCCCTACTGCTCGAATTATTCGTGATAATTCAATCGTAACAATGACAATTCTCTCAAGATATCGAAATTTAATCAGCGAAGAATTTCGAGATATTTCGTATTATGTTACTATTATACAATCACGTATATTTTATTTTTATCTACACGCACACTTTCTTTATTTCTTGTCGGGGTTCTATTTTTCGTTTTGAATAAGATATCTGACGTTTCCGTTGACATTTCGACGCGCATAATTTATAACTCCATGACCTTGGGGTGATCTTGAGTACGTTTGATTCACGTTCCGGAATTTTCGTGGCTATAGGGCATTCGAAGGTCACGTAATTATAGATCTTGGCGTCTGTCTTGATCTCAAATAATACGCGTCAAAAAATGTACGGTTCAATTTAAAACCGAAAAACATCGATGATCTTCAAAATATTTACAAGTTTGATCCCCGGACACTTTGTCGTGTCGTAAAAAAAAAACATCGAAGATTTTTTTCGGGCGAATATGATGCACGCATTGTATTTTTTAGAGAATTACTGGATCGTAAAGCTAACTTTATGCGAATAACATCAACATAACTTTGATTCTCGGCGGTTGTCGAGAACATCGGTACCATAACATCAAATAATCAATCACTGAACTTCATTAATTCTTTCACTCCGTTGATATTCGAGATTAATTTCATTGCTTCGTCGAAGAATGAATTTTTTTTATTGAATTTACAAACACATAATAAATTGCGCTTGCGTTGAATGTTTATTGAATTCTAGTGTGAAATGTTTGTGTGTTTGTTGAGAGATTAGGTGATACCGAGTATGGTAAGGATGAACTCGTGGCCGTGGGTAAGACGGAGATGACCACTAGATCCGTGCCTCGTCCTGAAGACGAAGACGAGGAGGACGAGGAAGAAGAGGAAGAAGAGGAAGAGGAGGAGGAGGAAGAGGAGGAAGTTGACAAGGAGGCTCGTTCGAGTCTACGATATCACTGCCACTGATATCCACTCTCTCGTCGCATCGATGCCGACCCCTGCGTCCATTGATAGAGGTAAATTTTCCAGTTATCAACCGTTTCGCGAGAACTTCTGCTTCCTATACGCCATTTTGTCCCTCCCACGAATTAAACAGTAAGCTGATTTCATACAGTTCGCTTGCAACTAGTACAGAAACTAACGACGAAATTGAAACAAAAGTCTCTGTAATCGTGTACGTCAACATTTGGATGACGTGGATCATTTTTGACCACGACTAACCGTAGAAAAATTCCAATTTGTTTAATTTTGGCACTCTGGGTGCTTTGATTTCATAATTGATGATAGGATACTATAAAAGAAACACTTGTTTCGTGTACGTAAGCGTACACTGTGTGTATACATGAACGAAGGTATTTTTTTTCTATGGTAAAATCAGTCGAGTGAATCTTGACCTGATCGAATTGTTTATGCTTGGAACCTTGATGCTCGCCAGACCACCAAAGAAATTTCGGAAACGAACCGTGGGGAATATATTTGTTCCTGTTACGAAGCTTGTTTTCTCGAGATCGTCGCCATTTATCAGTGTTGCTTTGATTACGAGAATTAGTTGCCATAGGGGAATTCTTTAAATTTTTACACAGTTCTCCTAGCCAAGGAAGACAGGTTAACATATTCTTAATTCGCGAAATATTCGCTGTTAGTTCTACGTTCACTGTTGTGGAGGTCTGACGAAGTTTATTGAATTATGGCTCGAAATAAGACGGAGATCAACAATATCGAAATTGCGTGGGAGGCTTCGTTTTTGGGAATGTTGCGCATATATCGTCCCTTCCTGTGTACATTAATTAATTAATATATTGTACGTTGTACCTTATACTGAAATTACAGAACAGAAAGTGTTTGTTTTGTACTGCACGCGAATCGAAATTTCCCAGCGATATAATTTATTGGGCCGAATCGCGTTAATAATTTAATCCCGAGTAATATAGTTCGCGCAATTCCGTTAGTTAAATATCGAACCACATCGGTATCGGTTATTGGCGTTCCGAACCTGACCGAAAACACGATTAAAATAATAGTTTGAAGAATCGAACGTCCGTCTGATCGAACTTCTACGGTACATCGAGATGAATCCGAGCCGAAGGCCACAGTCTAAATTCGTCCCGTTGAATTTCAGCTCTTATTCCTCTCATGGGTCCTACACGTGACCTTCGAACGCTGACATTATAAATCATCTACTCTCCAAGAAATACAGTGGCCGTAAAAAAGATCAAGACGAGACGCAAAAACGCGAAATGATTCATTTCGAACGAGAAGCATATAATAGAATTTTCTGATCTCAGTGATAATTAAAATATGCAAAATTTTAAAGGTCACGAATAAAAAAAGAGAATAACTTACGTGCACCTTGCGGGAGACTCAAAGTTGCGGTAGATCGGAGTTGCAAATGTTGAGTAACGACTCGAGTGATCCTGAAAATTCGAGATCTGTGAAAAAGAAAGAAAAGACACTGTAATTCTTGGAAAATGATTCTGCAGAGTTGAAAATAAGAGCAACGTCTGAAATTCCTGTCTTAGGCGTCTCACACTGTATATTCTGCATCGCGTACACGGTAGCAAAGCGTTTACCTTTCTTTCTCGAGCAAGTTTCGCGAGCTTACCACTCCTTCCAGAATAAATACGAGCGTTGTCCGGCAATAAGTCAAAAAAGAAAAAAGAAAATTCGTTTTCCGTATAAACGGTTTAGCTATAGCTTAGTACCGTAGTCTTAACAAGAACCTTGAACTACTTAGGGCAGCAAGCTCAATTTGGGTATCCCCCGGGTAAGAAAAATGCAGGAAGCATTGAAATTCTTCCGCGAAAGAGGTCCCGTCCATAGGTCGACCTATATTAGTCTTGACCTTTGTCCTACTGTTTGCTGAACATTTTCTTTTTCTAAATTTAATCCTTCGCGGCAACATCCGCAAATTAACCCTCGAAGGTTTCCAAAACGAATCGTGCGCGAAATTTCGTGTATACTTCGGATAGAAAATGAAAGTCAACGACAGGAACGATCCATTGAAATTGTAAACGACGGTAATTGGAAATACCGAACGATCGAATGTGATTCTGCGACGAATGCCAGCGATTGCAGTTGATTATTTTAATGACCCTGGGATACAATGGTCCTCATAGCCAGCGGATGGACACTTTTTTTAATGGGTCAAGTGTGACCTCCTAATTACACCGGTTTTCATCCACCACCGGGTCTCTGTCTCGTGCTAGGACCTCGATGCAGTGGACGAAATTATTATCAAAAAATTTCCAATTATATATAGAATTTAAACAAAAAAAAAACTGAAGATTCTGTGAAAAGTTTTCTCCCAATTTATACGATCGATGCATTACGCTCCTGCCAAGAAACGGTCGTTCGATGGTACAGATTGAAAACGTGTAATTGGAACTTCGACTTACGAATCGGTAAGGCGTGTCCCAAGTTCAATTCAAATTACTTTTGCGTTAGACTGCGGATCTTTATCGAAATTTATATTTTTATTAATAGAATTAATGAAATTGGAGCTTCGTAGAGGGTTGTCTCAGTCCCTATTTCTTATATTTTTGCATATTAAGTGTATTCTGTGGTTGTTTGAGAATTAAAATTTCCCCTAAATGCATAAACATCCGCAGTCTGGCGGTGATGGTCTCTGTGGTAGCTGGTACAGACTAAGTTACGGAAGGGTTGTGAAGAGATGAAAGAAAGAAGAGACGATCGTCTTGTTCTAAATCGCTGGTTCGGTATCTGGAACGAGTAGCACCAAGGCAGATGGTTAATTTCGATAAGGCGGTAAGCTTATTATCGAGTGGGTGGAGAACGGAAGGCGGCCGATGTAAGCACGTATCGTAGCTTTTGTGGCTAGCAGAATGGATTCCATAATGAGATGCCGTGTAAACTGGGACATCTAATTATACTCGAGTGCACACCACTCCAGAAACGTTCGGTCGTCCCTGGAGCGTGAGCCTGGCTCCTGTCGAAACGATAACGAATATTCAAGGATCACCCAACAACGAGACTTTACAATCGACCACCGTAATTTACTGTCCCCCCCTGTATTAATGATTCGGCGATATTCCAGGATTTCGATCGACGGATTACGGCTTTCCCGATAACAGCGGCGTAGAACGATACTAAACAGTTGACGAATAAAGCGTAGGAATTTTACATATTACATTTTTTATTAATAATTTGTATTATTATATTACTACATTACATGATGTTTGCTTTGAGATCGTCGATTGTTTGTTGCAACAAAGAAGAGTCCCGCAATGAGAAGTCTAATGGTGTCGAGTCTCAAGATCTTGATGGTCAGTTGAAATTAAAGTTTTAGTTGCTTTGAATTAATATGTAGAAACTCACGGGAATAATTTTGTTATTTATAAGGAACGTTTTATCGTGTACTGTTCGTATAGAAAATGTTTAGCATTGACCCTTTTATGTCAGTGCCTGGGGAAACTCGGTGATTACTGACCCAACCGCCACTGTTTTTCAATCGCTGAAGATTGGAAGCCTTCGTGAAATATCAGTTATCGGGCATTTGAAATGTAAAAAAGGGGAGATGAGCACAGTGTGGGACGTCGAAAGCAAGCAAGAGGGCGAATAATAGCGAAAAGGATGGAATCACTGGAGGAACAATCAGTCCTAAGTACGAGCTTTTCGAGCGCCCATCGGTATATCTCTCTCAACCATAACGACTCCTATTTTCTTCCGTCTCTCGTTGCTCTTTGCCATTTTATACTAATTCGCGATCACTTCGAGGTGCAGTCAAATTCTCAGAAAACTTTCACATGTACTTTCACGATGCATTTTTATTGCAATATCATTAGCATTCGATATAAAATAATGTTTGGATAGATGTGGTTACGGTTATATTATTTTTATGTTACATAATGTAACATGTGGTATGCACACTCGTGTATTTTAGTAGTTTGGTATTTTTATGGAACACGTGGTGGGCTCAGAATTTTACTGGTGCGCATGGCATGTGTCATATTTGTCTGGTATGTGTGAGTTTCGTGTAGGAAGCGCGATCTTTTGTGGAAGCCAGAGCATGTTATCTATTTACAGAATAATTTAATAATACAAATCCAGAATTCTATCCGTTTCAAATGCGATAATAGTATTTACACACACGTGGAAACGAACAGATAGACCGTGCGTCTTATCGTGCGCATAAAAATTTCATTACATTAATGGACTTGTTCCACGGGCGAATATTCTAATTCGTAATGATTAATAAATGATCTTATCCATCAAATATCTCAACGTCTTGCAAGAACAATTACTGCAGACACCGGGCTATATACCAGGAGCTATTTTAAGGAAAGTTGTACGAAAGCTATCTTGACTGTAGCCTGATGGTTTCTAATCCATTAGCGGTAAAATGTTTTCGCTTCCACCATCCATTTTCAAACTTTCGAGGTTGTCAATTCCAAACAGTCTCACCGGAACTTTCTATTAAATGAAAAATAATAAAAGACAATAAGCTGCAGCGAACAGAGCCACGCTGGAAGTTTTCCGTTCGAAAAAAAATAAGGAAACTACGACGAAACAAATATTCTACGTGTAAATATTAATTCAAATCCCTTGTAAACGTCTGACTCTTGAGTTAAAGTTTCTAACGCGCGTTTAATTTTCGAAATGTTGGAGCTGTCCTCGTTGCAGCGCACATACGTGCTTCAGAGATGCTTGAACCAGCGGCACCGACGTGGTTTGAAACTTTAAAATCTCTGTTAGACTCTGGCTTCTTGATACAAACTCGTTAATGAGAGGACATGACCAATGTAGAAAAATAACCGCGAACGGGAGTCATAATATTTGAATGACTGATGTTTGGACTGTGAACGTTGACCTGCTGTATCTAATATAATTATATTAATTTAATAATTGCTCTACTTAAATTAATTAAAACTGTGTCATCTCTAAGGTGACGGGATAGACTGGTGCTTAATTTTCTCGATTCTCGACACGAGAAAGTATTGCTTTAAATTTATTGTGAATCCTCTCGTTTTCGATGTATCGACTTGGCCAACAGGTAATTGCATTTGTTCCCCAATAATTGCCAATGCGAACTAGCTTCGTCTCAGGCACGATTGTATTTTGGACGACTGGAAAATTGGCAGTTCTTTCTTGGTTGGATCGATAGGTATCGAGGGAAGAAGGAGGAGTAGGTTTCGTTTGTTTTTTTGGAAATACGGTGGAACCCGGTGGTATCGAAATAGTGGGAAGAAAAGGCAGAAGCAACAGTGAGCCGGCCGTGAGCTTTGACCCGGTGACCCGTAGTGCGTGGGCTGGGAAGAGGGCACGGAGCAACGGGGAGGGGTTCTTTCTCCTCTTGCAGCCTGGAATCGATACCTGGCTCCCCTGCTAGCTCAACCACCCCGACGAGTCCTCCGTCTACCCTCTCCACCCCAAAGCTGAAATGCCTTCGACCGCCTACCTACCCCATATCGATTCCCATCCGACACGACCCCTTTTGTCCATCGCGAAGAAAAGGACGACTTCTTTCTTGATTGGTTTACAAATTGCCAAGTGGGAGGGAATTTCTATTTATCGAACGAATTGGCACAAACGTAATTCCGCGATAGCTTAGGCGAGCCTCGTTCAGGCTCAATTTTGTACATTGGCTTTCGCACAGTCGTTACATTTAATCCGGGATCCGCTTTGCAATTTAATTCAATAGGACAGACGGGATCGTCGTCTGCACCGACGTTTCGCGTGTACTCGGTGGAAAAGTACACCGGTCTCCCTGGAATTCGGAACAAAATTACGAGCAGGGAGGAAACTGTTGACACGTTTTTCAGTTTGACAATTTTTATTCGAGTTGGCTCCAAACATGACCGAAATGTCGCTAAAAAAAATTTTGAAATATTCTTCTGTAAACGGAATTTAAACAGAGACGTATTTCAAAGTATGGGACCGGAGTTTGGGTTTTGGGATTTTCCAATTTTCGATACCCAGGAAATTCCACGAAACGAAATAAATTTTTGTGAGATGAAGGTTCTAAAGATTGGCCATTTTTCTACCCCCGAGACACAAGGGGAATCCCCTTAAGGCGTTGAATGGTGTTTATTATCCGCGATCGTATAACCGCGGTCGAGAAATTTAAAAGAGGTTCTTGCAGCGTAAGGACAAAAGTCCACGAGGGAATAACGTGCAAAGATTGTATAATGAAAGGACGCGTTTAACGAGAGGCGGGTTTGAATTCTCTTAAATGGAAGAAGAAACGCGGTGGAAGGTGACTGAGCTAATTTCTCTTTAGTCGGCGTGGTACTCTCGTTTCTGATGACAATAAAGAAGTTTCCGATGAATGGATGTTCCTGGTCGACTTTAATTAACATTTTAAATGTTGATACTAGAACAGCCACGCGGAAACGTTCGGATCTATTAATTTCCTGGCGATGATTTCAAATTATTTAATAGCTTCCTTTTCTCCAAACGTAACAATTCGGAAGTTCTTAACCGCTTGAAATGAAATTCGATAGAATAAATTCTACTTTTTTTTCAGCGTTGTTTATGTGGTGATCGTTTCAGAAAAGTTGCGTTGTTATCGAGGCTATCAGCAAATGGCTTTAAAGCTCTCCAAGGATTCTGTAAGGCACGATCCTTGAGGGTTGCCGCACACCAGCCACAGGTTGTCGTCCTCGTTCGCTTAAATCGACCTATTAACCCCCTTATTCGGTGCTTCCTAACCGAAATCTCGGAATTTCGACCGAGTTCATCGGGAATTCCGTTTCGTTGAACATCTAAAGAACCTGTCTATTCATTTCTTTCCTCCCTTTCAATCGCTCGAATTTTTCACTTCTTGAAACTGCAATTTTCCTTTAATTTTTACCTTCCCGATCGTCGAGTACTCTTCCCCTTTATTTCTTTGCATTCGTTTCATTTTTTTTTTTTTACGTAATCAATTAAAAATTTTCCTACACTCTTCGATCGTTCGTGGCTAATCCTTGTCTAACCTTTCACCTTTGGTTTTATACAACTTCGTGCATTTTGTGGCTCTGTATGATTCTTTGCCGTTGCATTGGAAATGAGATAGGTTAAACAGGATTCCATGTAAAATGGCGAAGCTGTTATCAGTGACAGGTCTTATCGAGATGCCGTAAGACAGGCTCCATCGATTCTGTTGGTTGGAATCAATATACTCCGCGACTACTGTTTGGTCCAATTGTCTTCTTCGAAGTTTCTTACATTCTTCTCCTTCGATTCAGTTAGGGTTGTCTAAGAAGAATAGGTAAAAGTATCGGGCGGAATAAATTGTATTTACATTGTGAATATTTTTTTAAACATCCTATTACATTAAACTAATAAAATTAATTAGCAAATCCGCCGGTGAAAGCTTTTTATAGGAGGGAAATTTTCTAAACGGAAAATAAAAAGAACGCGGTCTCCTTTATTTTCCATTGTTTTGCCTGGCTTTTTCTCATCATCTTTGTTCTCAAAGTGTTCACCATTCTCGAGCCAGCATCTCTCGATTGAGTGGCACTCTATAGGGCACCCCTTGAAAGTTCCGCGCTATTGATTATCGCAGGAATTCGATAGCCACGCTATGACTTTTCCGAACTAGTACCACGCGGTACCAATGCCTGTGCTCTGAATTCAATAATAGGTAGTTTCGAACAATGCTGAGCATCCCTTAAATAAAAATAACGAACCATCGATCAATTATTCGTATTCCCAATTATAGTGGACGAAATTTCTATAAAAACGCTACTATCCCCAACAAAAATGGCAAGAATTTTAATAATAATATTATCGAAATAATTGAGGAATAATAGAAAGCAGAGAGCCAATAAAAAAAATTCATCTAGCTTTGTCAGAAGGGAAATAAAAGTTTGACGAATCTGTTGAACAATTCAGGTTGAATATCTCGGTCGTTTGAAAATGGTGCCTCGAAGAGGTAACAGTGAAACTGAAACAGAGGCTGTTGAGTAGCGTCTTGACACTGAAACGAGACTTAAAGAAAGGGTAAACTTGTTTTATTCAGGAATGGGGAGCGTCGTAGGCAGCAACGTAAACGTAAGCAACGTAACGACGAGGAGGATGGACTCGACGACGTTCCTGCCGGAAGCGACGCCGACCCTCAGCGAGCGAGATCAACTCAAAATTGAATTCTACAAAACATACGATGTTATGACCGGGGTCAGAATCGCGGCGACTCTCGGTGGTTTTTTCGGTCTTATGATCCTCCTGCTTGTTTATAAAAGCAGGCAAGTCTCCTAATTCTCATCATTCGATAACAAACTTCGGGAACTCGATAACACCCGGAAGCTTTATAAACTATTCGATCTACAGGGTTAATCCAGCACAAGCGATGGAACAAGAATTTTTATCATTTTTATTAATTTGGACAGAATAGTTTATACTAGTTTGTAACCCTATAAATCTCTGGAAAAAATAGTTTATACAGTCGTAAAAAGGTAGAGTTAAAGGAAGCTAGCGATGTAAGGGTCTGTGGCGTAGGTGTAAATCGAGCAAGCAGTTGGACGATCCAAGACTGACCGCAGCAGCAGCCGCAGCGGTAGCTGAGGCAGAAGCCGAGGAAAGAGCCCTCGTAGCCGCCCTCGAAGCCATCGCCAGATTACCACCTAGACCAGATCGAGGCCCCAGAAGGTCTCTTTGCGTCGAGGTCAGTCTATTCATAAAACGGAACAAAAGAAAAGAAATTACAGTGCTCTGTAATTTAGTCTTGTTTCAAGACGCGAGTACAGAGCGCGACGAGACTCGCGGCACAATCATCGAGGTAACGAATCCTTCCTATAAAAGTGAATCGAACATGTGAAATGAAGTCTCGAAATCAGCCTCGATAACGGGAGGAGAGGATCTTTTATTCCCCTCGATATGAAACTCTTTTGTCCTGATCCAAAATAGCGACTCTGTAGAATCATTAAATATAATCTACTTAATTTTGTGGTTTGTTCAACTCTGAATCTCCCTTGTCGGTATTTATTTTTACATATTGATTGTCTGATCCGAATTTTTGTCGAGGGGTTGGAAACGGGGCGATTCGATGATTCTATGATTCTATGATTCTATTTTTCTGTGGAAGGTGAGTCAATCTCATTCTCCAAGAATCGGACCGCGTTTCGCGTCGGTCGGTGGTGGCTACGAGGCTCTGTTGACGGCACCAACAAAGCAGCCAAATTTGGCGCCACCCGAGGAGCAGAGAAGATGCAGCTCGGTGACCTGCAGCAGCACTGGAAGTAGTTATCTCGAAAGGAGAGGGTCTGCGATGCCGGTACCATGTCTGCCGCTTCATCCTACGTTTTCAACGAAACACGCTGCCCACGACGAACCCTGGGACCTTTATTATCCCATCGATATTCAGGTAAAACTCTTTTACTAACAATTGCTAACCCCTGGTCTCGAAAATATTATTAAACCAGACCTTAATGTGAACTATCACGAGCAAGTAGAATGTGCCTTACAAAGTCCGACTATAACATCCGGGGTTCTCTCCGCAAAATATTCAGAATCGCAAGTAAAAAGCTACACGCGAACATTTCTCACGAAAATTTTCAATAAATTTCGAATTAAGAAGCCCCCGATGTTCCCTTTAACGAAAAGTTTCGTTTACGCCGCATAAAACCGACCCTATTCAAGAAGTTTTCAACGCGGCGGTGTTCAAGGACCAACGAAGACAGGAATCGAAAACGTAAAGAGGATCTGGGACATATTGGTAATGGGGTTAAGCGACGCAGCACTGGGATTTAGTCGTTGCTCAACCCTATTTCCAATGTGTATCAGATTCACATTACCGCCTTTTATTTCTTTTCCACGCTCGACCTAGAACATTTTTACGTCACGCATTGATAGAGGCTCATCTTGATAGGCGTTTTCACGCGATGCAACCTATAGCTCTCGAATAAAGGAAAACAAGGTCGCGTTCGTTTAAATTCTATCGCGATATTAGAAAATTGTCTTTTATCATTAACGCTGTTTCAGCCAAACGCGTCGAGATATTTTCTATTTTTAATTCACCGTCTGTTAGTTGTACTACAATAGATGTGTTCGCGATCCAATATGGCTATCGCCGCGACCTGATTTTCGCGAAAACAAAGTATCGAAGTAATCAGGGAAATAAGGTCGTGCTCTGAACAGACTTCTCCCTCGACGGGAAGTTATGATGTCGATATTATTTAGAAGGATTCATCGACAGGTAATCCAACCAACCCCAGAGCTTTCTCCATGTACGAGCGAGGCGGTTCTTTACGCGAACGAAGTCTTGCTCGCTGGAACTGCCGGTAAAAGAGCGCCGTTGGCTTCCATGGGCAGTGTCGATCCTCCGGAACCAGACTCAAGGTCGGTGTTTCATCCAGATCGACAAACCACGGTGTTCGAAAACGTCCATCTTTTAAGATTACAAATAAAATTCACCTTGTGGGTGACGTTATACATTGTTCTCTGATATTGGAGAATTAATATCGTGATCTACGGGTGACGAGGCAGTCGACGCGTTAATATTCTCCAATCTGCAATCAACAGGTACTATCTAAATCTGTACCTGTTGACTGTGTTACTAAATTTCTCTGTCTACTATCAGAACTTTAATATTAATCACGTTCTATAGACACCTACGCCATCTTCGACGCGAGGCTTACGGAACTAACGACGCCATGTTGTCGATTACTTATAAATGCAATTTCTCTTTTAATAAGCGTCAGGGATAGACGACCATTTTCGAACATCCTTCAAATATGAACGAATACTTCGAACAAATATTTGTAATTTCGATAATCGAAGGTCACTGGGTTCCGACTCGGTCTTCCTGAGAAACGACGAGCAAGAAGACGAGTGTCTCGACACGGAGGACGAGGTGTCCGGGTTCTCGACCGACTCGGAAGCACCTGGGCCCAGCTGTCGACGGTTCCTTCGTGTTCCATCGAAGAAGAAGGAAGCCGTCGAGAAGTGGGACGGTTGCGCTGGGTGTGTTCCTAGACGACGACTGGGGGGGAAACCTTGCCAAGGTTGCCACAGTATCAGCGCGACTGTTGAAACTTCCAGGTACATCGAGTCTCTCTCTCGGTTAAAAAATTTTTTTTTAGCCCTTAGTGAGAACTAAGGAGGATTATTATTGTCGTGTCGACAGGTCTCAAACAGTTTCGACGAGCACCAGCAGCCAAAGTAGCCTCGGTTCTCCGCCATGTTCACCAGCCATCGAGCTCAGGCACAGACCACCGCCGGCGCCATTACCATCGAGTCCACCCGTCTGGTCCCAAGAAACGCTCTTTTAGTTGTTTAAATATTTATCAGGAAGCTTTCAGGGAAAGGGCTAGTAATCGCACAAAAAGCATCCCTTTCGAAGAGAGACGAGGAACTTGTAAACGATCGTTGGCGAATTTTGTGTAGGGTCGCCACGTTAACGAATTAGCAACAGGAAGAACGAAGAAATGACGAACGAAAGGGGGGAAAGAGACTAGAATCGGATAAATTGTAACCCGGAATCGCTGAGTAGAGAAGCAATTATAAAAAACGGAGTAATCGGAAATCAAATATTCGTTGAAACGAAAAGCTGTCGTTGCGCGAAAAGCAATCCTAAGAGAGGAAAATAATGTGCAGCAAGAAACACTCAAAATGGTGGAAACGATGGGAAATATGAAACCTTTTGGAACTCAGAAGAGCAAAAAAGAGTTTCCAGAAGCGTAATTAGGTATAGAAAATAATAGAAGACGTACGAAATATTGAAAATTTAATGGTGCAGATACGTAACAGGGGAAAAAACTATTCGTATTTAGTCCAGTTCTCGCATAAAGAACGATAAGAAGCGACGTTGAAGAAAAAAATATAAGTGTGTAATGTATCGTAAACTTTTGCAGGGGGAAAAAAATGGAAAGGGAAACGTAGTTGACCGGTGGGTAGAATGAAGAAAATGCCAAAAATGTTTGTATAGTAACTTCTAAGATGCAAGAGAGAAAAAAAAAGAGGGAAATAAAAGTTAACAGACTAAATAATCATTAAACGAACTGTTGTAAAAAGAACAAAAAACCGTTAGCGTACCATAGTTATACTGTAAATAACAACCAAAAGAAGAAAATAAACCTTACTTTATTTCGTGTTCGCGAAAAGCCGAAGAGACGTACGTATTATGTTTGTATCGCGTTAGAGGAAAAATCAAAACATTTAAAAAAAAAGACGTTGATCTAGCTGTGCGTGTAAAGAAAAATTATACATGAAAGATACTTCGTCTTCTCGTTATGCGACTTTTTTTTTTTGTACTATGATGTATCTATGTATGTACGTACGATATGCGCAATTAAAGGTAAAATTAGATTCGTGGAGTCGGAAACTTAAAGAGAAATAAAAAAAAAAAAAAATATGATACTACGAAACTCAACGACGTTGAAAATGAAATTATCACGAACGGAAAACGGTTATTTGATTAGATCGATTCCAGATGTTTCGAATTTAGTTAGGATTTCACGGCGCCTCGCAGTTTATCGGAGGTGTCCAGCTTCGTTAGTACAGACAAAAAATCAGTTCTCTTCCAATCTATCGAAATAAAACGACATGTCTCGACATTCTACAGAGCTTTTTTTTTCCGTATAGTTTTGTGAATCCTTTAACATTCTCGCGCTTGATTAATTTATTAAATTAACGACGCTTCGATGACTGCCAATCAAAAAGCAGAAATCCTTCGTGTACGTGTGCGTGTCTCTTGTCTGTATGTGTGCGCGTGTGTGTGTATGAACGTGCGCACGCACTCGTGTTTAGAAAACTAGAAAAAATCGAAGCGAAATATTAATAGAGTTGTACATTTTTTCCATTGATCGGGACGCGTTTACCGATTTCCAATTTTTTAAACGCGGAGCGGCTCGATAGCCGTGGATCATATTTTTCGAAATTTATCGCGGACGAACGTTGTTTTTTCTATACGTATTTTCATACGTCGAGCGCAAATTCTTATCGATGATAATAGTTCTACGCCGACGTGTTCCTTTTTAGTATCGTTTCACGTATTGCGAAACTTTCTTTAACACCGTATCCCGATATTAATTGACGACGTTTGCATTTTTATATTAACGAACACCGGAAAACGAAATCTGCATAAACGCGTCCCCGATTACATGTTTAATAATCACGTTACAACGCGACATACTTCTCTCGGTGCCTTTCCGCCGGATTTTCTTCCATTGTCATTTAGATAAATATCATCGCAGAAACGTCATGACAAACCGAACAAAAACGACGATTGTAAACGACGTTGTTTATAGAAGAATTTTAATCGGCGACAACGACGATCGTAGCGATGATCGTTGTCGTGATTATAACAAAACAAAAGAAAGTTATTCTCCTCCGTAACGGGCAAAATGAAAAAAAAAAATCATAATTTATGATTTAACAAATAGACAAATACAAATGTCGAAAGATGAATAATCGAAGAAGAAAAGTTATTATATGAAGACGAAGCGTGTAGGTGATTATGCTTATCGACGATGGTCATTATTGTGGAAAGAAGCTCCATTACTCTTTCGTATTGTTTTAAAGAAATCTTTCCTGATGTACGAACAATAAATCTTTCACCGTTTCCTACTATCATTTTCTTTCATGACGCCTTCCTGTCGCGAAGCTTTCCCTGCAAACTGAATTTGTTTCGAAACAAATAATGCGCGATGATAACGCAAATTTTGTACTACTATTCGATGATAAGTTATCTCTGGCAACTCGATATTTTGATGACACGCTCGTGTTTATTTGAGCTATTGGAACGGGAATCAGTGTTTCGAAAACTGTTGTCGGGAGGAGACGTGCAATTACAATCGATGTTACTTTAACGCGTTCTTAAATAGATTCAATTCCTATATCAATTTCTAGAATATTATAAGGGGAGAGTCAAAGGTGATTATACACCTTGGAAACGTAGAACTTGATTAAAAATTAAAGATCGAGACCGGTCGAAACGATTGAAGAATCAATAATGGATTGTGCAAGATTCATCACGGAAGTGTCCGGCAGACGAAAAACTAGCATGCTTCGCAAAACGAGTAAGAATTGCTTATAATTCTTGTTAGTGATTGTCGTCGACTTTGGATTTCGACGTTTAAAAATATTTTAAATATTAATCTATCGTAATTTATCATCGAATATAGCAAACGATTTCTTGGAGAGACCTAACTCGATCAATCTCGCGAATGGAATGCCAAACATTACCACGTTTCCCTTCGAAGAGATCTCTGTGACGTACAAAAACGGCGAAAAAGTCAAATTAGTGGGAGATGAGTTGTCTTGCTCGCTTCAGTATGGTTCTTCTCAAGGGTAATTTGTAATTGTTCGATGCGATAATTTATTTATTAGAAATGCAGAAGAATCTCCAAGTGGAACTTTTCAATTAAGGTATAAACCGTTACTGAAGAAGATAAGGGAACACCAAAAGTACTGGTACGAGCCGAAATATACGAAATGGGACGTAATTGTAACGTCAGGATCGTCGGATGGGTGTAGCATGGTTTTCGATATGGTCGTGGAACCCGGAGATCCTATAATGATTCAAGAACCCGTTTACAATGGCACACTCAGTGTGGTAAAATAAATTATTTAATCACTCTACATAATCGAATTTGCTATCTTTGTGAACTTTACGATAACATCGTTCCTTCGTTTTTTCTAGCTTGGACCGATAACGTCGAAATTGATCGGAATCCCGCAGGATCAGAACGGAATAATCCCGGAGGAGATAACGAAAGTTCTCGAAGAGAGATTGCGGAATAAAGAATCAATGCCAAAGGTGAATCAAGAGATTTGTAAACACGTATGGACGACTGATAATTATAATCAGTTTTATCGATTGTTTCTTTTTTTCTTCGGTTTTCGAAATTTCGCAGGTCCTCTACGTGAACCCGATAGGAGCCAATCCAACGGGGACGGTTTTGCCGGAATCAAGAAAGAAAAGGATCTACGAGTTGGCCCAGATCTACGATTTCTTGATCGTCGAGGACGATCCTTATTATTTCATTAATTTCCTCGACGAAAGGTCGAAAACGTTTCTCGAATACGACACCGATGGACGCGTGATACGTCTGGATTCTTTCAGTAAAATTCTTAGCGCCGGGCTCCGTATTGGTGTCGTCACAGCCCACGAGGAATTTATTAAAAAATTGGTCATGCACAACGAGACGACGTGTATACATCCGTCGTCTTTGTCGCAGGTAGCTCAACGATTTTTTAGTTTTTGTTTCGTTTCAATTCAACGCTCCATCGTCCTTGTTCGAGACTATATTTTACGATCGTTTCGTTCGTTGTTCGCAGATGCTGGTGTACAAATTCTTGGACATGTGGGATACGCAAAAGTTGCAGCAACACTTCGGCGATATTCAAAGGTTTTATCGTGAAAGACGTGACATTGCGTTGGCCTCGATCCAAAAGCATCTTACAGGTACTTTGCACAAACGCTATCCGTCTGTTCCTAATCGTTCTATTTCCTTCTAAACGTTAGAGAGTAATAAAAACACAACGTTTTAATTTATCTCGTTGCTCTGTAATTATTTTTTATCTTGTAGGATTGGTGGAATGGAACGTTCCGCACGGTGGAATGTTCATTTGGATGAGGGTGATTGATTTGGAAGACGTGATGGAGATCGCGGTGAAGAAATGCGTTTCTAAGGGCATTTTTATTCTTCCCGGTCACGCGTTCGTCTTGAACCCTACGAAACCCGAGCAACACCTTCGAATCAGCTACAGCTATTCGACTTCCGAGGAAATAGAGAAGGTCTTTCGTCCATTTCAAGTCTTTAAAATGCTCTAAAACAAGACTAAGTTCAAATCCTATGATAATAAAAAAATCCTTTTGATTTCTAGGCGATCTCGGTGCTGGCGAGGGTGATACGCGAAGAGATCAAAGAGAAGTCTAGGAACAAGTCACATTAATGCATCGTCCAAGGTACACAGATAAGAATTAAACGTTGTTCTACAATTTTATTGCAATAAAAATTTGAGTATTTTATGTAGTACATTAACAATATACAGTTTATAGGTACAAACGGAAGATTAGTTCTCCCTTTTTTCTATTTCTTCTGCTCTCCTGCTTTAGTTCTTTCTGCTTCTTAATTATTACCTTCTTACGCATAGTCTTCGTTGCATTTCGCTTTTGATCCTAAGACAGAACATCCTCCGGTTCTTACGACGCGATTGCCTTCTGTTGTTCCTCTTTAAATTCCATTATATCTTGTTATCTTTTGTTATATTGATCATCAAACGGTGCTACACCGTACGATGCGGCCCCTTTTATTTCGTTTCTCGAACCTTTTATTGTTCGTTCGATTTATACGCTAACTTCCATCTGGTTAACTCTTTTTTATTTTTAATCCCACTCTCCGATGTACATTGCCCTAGGCGCAGGAGGAAGTACACCTCTAGTCGGTATCGGAAACCTTCCGTATATATGATTATACGGCGACTCGTTTCTACCATCCGAGTCTGTAACCAATAAAATAAGAATTGCATTGTCACCTATTACTGCCGTTAGGCAAACAATAACAAGTTCATATAGTAACATTGGCATCGTTCGAACGTTTAAATCTATTAGCCGTTAATTAATGATCAAGTCTTGGTCTTATTTCAACTTTAGCGATAGTAAGTGGTAGTACCAAGTCCGCTTTCGAAGCTTCTCGCATGATACATAATCGGCGGTCGATTCCCTGGTAAATGGCCGTAAATTTGAGACGATTGGCTGCTAGCGTAACCTGTAGCAACGTATGTAGGTGCTTGGGGCGGTTTTATATAACCTCTCGACGAGACTTTACTGTTTTTCGCCATCTTCACGAAGTTTGGAACACGGGCCCGTAATCCGCAATAATACGGATCGTCTATGAAAGAAACATTATAATTACTATACTGATACATCGATCTATACAATGAACTTTAACCCTCGGAAAGAGGAAAATTCGGGATGGAACGTGATGGAAGAATGAAGGATACATGTACATATTTACCGTATTTCTTTCTCTCGTCGCTTCTTCTTTTCTCTTCTTCGTTCATTGCAACATACACTGAACAACACAACGAACTCGATCGTTTACAATAAATGAATTTAAATTATTTTGACCGTCGGAAATCGGAACGTTCGGGATGGAACATGATGGAGAAGTGTAGGATATGTTCACGTACTTACCGTATTTCTTCTTGTCGTCGTTCCTTCTCTTCTCCTCGTTGATTATGACCGGTTTCCTGGCATAGTCGTCTTCTATGTCGTCATAATCGGGCTGGAATTACAGAATCGATATGTTGTTCTATCAAACGAAAATTGATTCAACGTTAAATAAAATAAAATAAATACCTTAGGTATATCGTGGCCGTAGAGATTCTCCCTCGGCGGTAGTTTTGGCGGTCTCTCGGCTCTTCTTTGTCTACAGCTCGTCGATTGAGCGTAGATCTGTTCCCGAGTTTCTCGATCTTGGTGGAACGCCTCGGATACTCCGATGGAGGACGAAACTCCTGCCACGCTGTAAGGATCTTCGTCGGGGATCGGTATCCTAGGTCGATTCTTAATATCCACCGGCCTTTGTAGCGCTAAAACTAACGCGTTCGTTCGAAACATGAATAATTTTATCCTTCTAAATTCAAGCGTTGACTCAATGCTTAAGTAGTCTGCTATACCTGGTGGTAACTTGGACTTTAACATGTCTAGACCAACGACATTTACAATGAGAACCCAAACGGGACACTGAAGTAGATCCGCCTCGGTTCTGACGAAAACTATAGCGCTCAAACATTGCATTTCCAGTCTTCTTCTGTCGGGGTAGGCTCTTCGAGTTTCTCGGGAAAGGTTCGTTTGAAATTTGTTCATGTCGAACACCTGAGAATCATAGGGCAACAAATGAACATGGAATGAACGATAACGCGCGCGCAGAAGCAGAGTAAGGCCCCAATGTATGCTCACTTTCCCTGGCTTCTCGTGTTCTAACGCTCCTTGAGAATTCAGCGCGATTTCTGCTCCAATTGCGTTGTCTTCCCGACTCGTCGGCTTTATGTAAACGTTATTTTTACACAGCCTTTTTATTAATATATTCCCCTGCTCGTCCATCTTGATTTTTACACCTTGGTTTATGTGCTTCTTCGCCTCCTCCGTCGTCACGTCCCTCATCGGATTCTCGAAACCGCACAATCCTATCCTACATTTCGTAAACGACAATCTTGTAATACAATTTCTCTACTCGCCACGGCTTGCCCACAATCATTTCGTTCGTTTTACCTGAAACCGTCGAATCCATCGTTGGAACCGTTAATCGTGAGAACCGGTGCTCTGGCGTATGCTTTCGCCACCCTCCGATTCCTTTCGAAAACGATCACCTTTGCCCAAATTTCGTCGTCTATCTGATTCCATTTGTCCAATACTTCTTGAATGTGATCCTGCGAGAAAAGTAGTATCATTACGATCACTCACTGGCTCAAAATTTACGGGAAATAACAATGTGTACTCAAATTTAAAAATGGCGTCGTCTAGTATCACGTGAAATTACTTACCTTATGGAGTTTATCGAGATTGTACCACACGTCCTCCTCGTCTTGATCCTCGTACTGTGATTCGACGAGGTTGTCCCTCGATCGAGACAGAATCTTCCGCCTCGATACCATTTTCTCACCGGAAGACGCTCGATCTGAACCGAAACAAACGTCCTTGGTAATCCTCTTAAAAGCACGACGCGTTCAAACAACTAATTCGCATATCTTAACGATTCTACGACAGTAATCGGTGAATCGACGAGATAGCGGACACAGTTTTATGTATTTTCGATCGAAAGTTACTGTCGTTGCGTAACTGGAGACTATCGAGTATTAATTCCACATTAATGGTAAACACAAACTGCCGATACTTTCACCGCGCAACATTTCTGCAACAAAATGTGGCGCCATTGACCATGTACGTGCGCTTGAGCACTCGAACGCTCAACGTTTATAACATTCGATCAATGAAATAACTGAAACATTCAGTTTCTTATGTATTTTTCAAGGGGCGTGTGTTTCGAAAAAGCAGGTTGGTGCTGAAATTGGTGCACAGTTACACCTACCGTCGAAGTCTAACGGATCTCACTAAACGGGCTATAACATCGTCATCGTGACCCTAATTTCGATGTAATTTTCGTTACGTATTCTTCGAGCATTCATACATATGTACTTCTGATTTATGCAGAAGATCGATCTTTTTGAACCGTTACATTGGGCCCCCTTCCAAATATTCAATCGATTCGTTCGAGAACGTAAAAATTCCCTACTGGCAAAATTGAACGCGATTTCAGTCGATGGCCTTCTTCAGGAATCATTCCAAGTTTAACGTAATGTTTAGCTACATGTGTTGTTTGTTAGTTTCTTCTCGCGTTGTGTTCGCGTTCTAAAATTAAGTTGCCGGCCGGCGACCACGTTTTCCGACTTCCTCGATGGGTTGGGTTTATTTGGATTTTGTCTCCCGAAGAAGGGCATGGAAGTACGGAGGAACAAAAATTCAGATTAAAAAGTGTCTAAACTAGACAGGGCTCTCGAAGAAAATTATCGAGCGTGTCTAAGGCGAGCACGATGGAAAAAGGGATTCGATTCCGCCTAGAATTTCCCTGAAACTCTTGGCTTTCACTTCTCTCCGAAGAATGCGAAGGCTGAGTGCCGGCAGAGCCGTACCAACTGCCCCCTTCACCAGCTGCAATACGTTTAGAAAATTTTTTTTTTTAAACCGAGTCACTCTCGCGGTACGTCTTTCCCCCTCCCGCGAATGTTTCTCCAAAGACGAGACACACACCGCTTGTACAAATGGCGAATTATAATCGTAACATCGCTTACAGGCGAATCAAAATTACTCGAAACTAAACGATCCACTTCGAACGCGCGTGACCCCGTGTTCGTGCATACAGTTGGCCGAAAAAGTCGTTCGTAAGTCACCGGACACTTGCTTGTCCGGTTTGGAATTAAAATGTAGATAGTAGTATCTTGTTTGCGATCTTATTTTCTCGCCCGCTTTAAATTATTAGTTTAAAATTTATGTTACAGGAAATGTAATAAAGGGAATGATACTCCGAAGAGTGAACCGGATGGATGGAGAGATGAAAAGGAGAGTCAAGTTGCTGGAAAGGGAAGGGGATGGTAAATGATTGGCACGGAAGTGGAAAAAGCACGGAGGGAAAAGAAGAAAGCTGTAATAGGAAAAGATGGTTCTTATACGCGTGAGATTTTGAAGATTTCGAATGTATCGACCAGTGTTTTCCAAGCTGTTTAAAGGAACGAATTCCCGTGCTGTATGCCGTGCGTGAATCGAATACGAATGTTCGTCCCTTTAAATTCGTACACGTATCCGCGGGTCGAACACGCGTTCACGCGAGGTGCTCGAATATTTTGAGTACTTGGTAAAAGCTTCGAGTAATTTCGAGTAACTTGAGACGAGTATTCAGTTATGGAAAAGTTGGATATATGACCGAAAATTGGGAACCCAATCCAGGCATTTATGGGGTTGATGATCGATACTTATTATAAAAACAACTCGAGTCGACAGTCGAACGTAGAAAAGGAGGGATCGACTGTCGAACTTCACAAGGGGAATCCACCCTCAATGGTGGGGATGAACACCGAGCATTTATGATGTAGATCATCTCGATCATATATCCAACGTTCACTATAATTGGTTCCAAAATAGTTGACCCAAGTCGACGTAAATATATATGGCACACGTATGTGTACCACATGCATACATCAACATTGCATTAGACTAAAGTTGAAGTAAAGTTTAGGGACATATCTTCCACTGGTTAAAATCGAGCAAATTTTAAGCAATTCTCAAATAACAATATGAAATAGTAACTGTACTACAGCAAGAGAAACAATATTTATAAACAATATTTAAAAAAATCTATTGTAGTATTAATGTATGTAACCCGTTTTATAAGTTCAAATTATTATAAAAATTATTTAACCGCTGCTGCCACTGTTATCAGTTCTATTATTATTATTAGTATGAAAATATATATATCTGCGATACCATCGCACTTTCACTTTCATTAATGGCCGAATAATCTAAAACCACCGAGCAAAGGATATTTTTAAATGTACACCGTTGAAATATTATTCTCTGTTGGAACACGACGAACCATCGAGACATTTTCTTTTTCTCTTTCCCTTTACTATTTCCATAAGCATGTTTGACATTTACGAATTCTTAAAGTGTCAGTGCAACATCGGAAGAAACGTTCGGCTTTTACGAATTACATAATGAATTTATGCCAACCTGTGATCATTCTCTCTCGTCTTCGTGAAATAGCAAAAGAAAGACTTTTCTACGAAAAAATATCTTTGGAACGTTGAAGACATCCGCATATGTCAACCGTCCAATACCATATGTTATACAATTGCATACACATTTCAATCGTTTTAAAATCTCTAAACGTTTTTTATATTCTGATCGTTGTAGTTTTCGAGCAATTCTAATTAACGTTCGATCATCGTCGAACACGATGAAACGAAAGATTTCGTTCGGAATCTTAATTTTTATAGTTGATTACGGAAAAACGAGATAGCATTTGTGTGATCACGCATTCAAATCACTAAAGACGATAGCGGACAACGACGGTTCTTGATATTCAAGTACAAACTATTAGTGTTAAATATTTCACTTAAAGTTTTAGAAAAATGTATCTTTTCATTTTGTTAATCAGCATACCTCTCTTTGACAACGAAACTTCTCCAAATGCCTTTCAATATGGTTCGCAAACGTCAAAGGCACTCGCGTCTTCTCCGTTACCCATAATTCACTTCCTGAAACCGTCGAATTCACGTGTACTGTCCATAAACTTCACATTAATAGAACGAATGAGCAAGAACGAACAATTACTCGATGCAAATTAAAATCTTCGAACCAACCGAAAAACCGATAAAATATTTCAGAGTTTTTTTTAATATGGCGCAGCTTTGGAAGAACCTTGCCCACTGGAGAGTGAGAACCTGGCCGCCATCTTGGTGAACGCATGCGCCGTCCTCGAAAGAAGTCGAGGACGAAGGCCGCGCATGCGTGACAGTGGGCCAGTCGTGGGCCCCACTCGAGACTGTCGAGTCGATGCCAGACGGAGCCCCGGATGCACCGGGGACACCTCATTCCACTTTCTCACACTATGCCAGATTACGCATACGTGAGCTCGTAGTGTTTCGGAGAGTTGACAAAGGCAAACTGACACGCGACCTCTTTTTCGTTTCTCCGAAGCTGCCCGAAGAAATTTCGGACCTTCTCGTGGGAATCGAGTGAGGAAGGCTCACATTTGCCTTCTCGCTCTTGAACGCTGACCTCTGTTAACCACTGCTGACCACTCCTGATACTTCTGACAGACTATAATGATTACCGCTGGCCCCTACTGACCACTGCTGACCTTTGTTACCAACTTCTGGTATGATTGATCTGATATTTTTACCTTTCTTTTCTGCTCCAAATCATTCCCTTAGTTATAAGATTCGTGCCACCTTTTCCCATATCATGTCCTCCCGATAACGAAGTCTAAAATGGATTTAAAATGGAGCCCACGAGATGGTACGAAATTACTTCGGGCAGCTTCGGGGAATCGAAAAAGAGGGCATATGTCAGTTCGCCTTTGTCGATTCTCCGAAACTCTACGAGCTCACGTATGCGTGATCTGGCATAGTGTGAGTAAGTGGAATGAGGTGTCCCCGGTGCACTCGGGGTTCCGTCTGGCATCTCTGGTTTGTATGAATCTGACGTCAGAATTGGGACAGTTGGAAGTGGTGGATATAAATTCACACATACATACTCTCGAAAATCTTTTGGAAGTATTAAGAGATTCCCCACAGATTTCTGAATCAATTTCCTCGGAAACGTGAAAAGCAATGTTTAAAAATAGGGAGAAAGAAATACTTAAGGACTGGAAGAGGTATGCTCAATAAAACATAAATAACTGTTAAGTTTTTATTTTATTAAGAAATGCAAGAAAATAATTAAGCAACAAGTGCACTAGCAGTGGAGCTTTCATATTTCCAATTTGCTGGAAGGGTTCCCTTTGATTTGTAATACCGGGCAAGTCTGTGGATTCTGGATTCTACAAGAATCAATCTGAATTTGCTGTCTTTGTCCTTGCGATTTCTCTCCAAGTGCTTCCTAATGGCCACAGCCTTTTTTATCAAATAGTAAAGGTCTTCTGGTAAATCTGGAGCGAGTCCCATACTCTTGACAATCCTCAAAATCTTATTTCCAGTGCGGAAACGTACTTGAGCCACTCCATGAGAATCTCGTAAAATCACACCTAAGAATTTTGGTTAATTAAAATTAAATTATTATTATAAAATTTGATTTTTAGATTTTACTTCTTTAATATATATGCACAAGCTCACAGAGAATTTTATAGATATATGAACATGTTTTAATAACTATCAAATACATACAGACGATTTAAAAATGTTGATGATACTTATAATGAAGAGACAAAAGATCATAATCATCTCAAAAATCATCATGTACTTTTTAATATTGCAAACTTTTGTGTAAAGAGACAACAATGAAATATTGAATCTTTCTCAGTTTGCATAAATAAAATACTACCAAAACTACAGATTATTATTTTATAATGATACTCTTCAATGTTGAGTGTTTCAAATGTTTGAACCTTTAAATACTGAGCTAATTTTGTTACCACAAACAAAGCTTGAATCAAGTTGTGGCACATAATATAACAAAGTACAAAAGATTGGGAAAAAAAAGACATAAATTTACCAATTTGAGATGGTGTGTGTCCCTTCTTTGCTAGTTTATAAATCAATTCTTTACAATCTTCTGGTGTCAACTTCAACCATGTTGGAACACTGCGTCTGTATGGTAATGCTGACTGGGATATACCCTTTCTACAACAATACAAATTTTTATTACGATAAATCCTAATTTTTTTATACGTAATGTATTCACCATACAAACTATTTAATCAACTAGTGTAAAACTACGGGTGAGAGTAACTGTGTAAAAAATATAGCAGTCAAAACATTGAGGTTATGTATACTAAAAACGAATAATTGTACGAAGTTTTCGGAACAGACAAATGTATTTCATTTTAAACTTGAAAGTACAGAAACACCACGAAACACGCTCCAATTAACGTACAAAATTCATTAATTATCAATTTGAATAAGAAACACATGGCGGCTACAGAAATTTCACTTTAACAGATACTCATACAAAGAATTTATACATTTATATTGTAATAGTAGAAGAAGTTAAAAAATTATGCAATGAAAAAACATTCGAAAGGGTTTGTAAGGGTAAATTATATTAAAATTTAATTTGCGTTACCCTGGTGCGTGCATACGACCCATCTTTGTCTGCTTTTCTTCTATAAGAGACAGCAGCGCTATTTTTGTTCACTCATCAAGTAGTAGAATAGCGTATTAATTTAAAACGTTGGCGGGAAACTTCACAATAAGGAAATTATTCATCGTTATAAACAAAAAATATATTAAAACCTAAAAACTAAATGCAAAGTTCAGTAATTTTAATTAGCTGATAATAAATTTAAAATAAATCAATATAATTCGTTGGTTCCTCGTGTTATACGTAATATCGTATTATAGAATTACAAACGATAATATAATAACATAAGTAATATGAGGAATAACAGATTTAATGATATTATTTATTGATTACGAGTTCCAGCAACAATTATTAAAAACATCGCGAAAGAATATCGTAAATAACTAACAAATTCGTAAAACTTAAAGTCAAACACACTGCTTCTTCGAAACTTCCGGCGGATGATTATCACCGGATTCAAGCATCCGTCCATCAGGCTTTCACCTTGTAAACTCGACGAATTTTCTAATATTCTGTCGCTGGCGTAAAAATATTTCCTAGACCGAATTATTATTTTTTTTACGCAAGTGAGGACGGAATTGACACATTTGCGGAGAATCGGTCAAGCAGTGAGAAAATAGCGCAACGTCGTGAACGGCGTCGGCAGCCAAAATGTCGGCAGTTTCTTAACTCTAAGCGTACCCTCTGTCAACATTTGTGAATCTCCATCGAAGTCAACATCGAATCAGTCAATAATTGAATCGTTGATGATGCATGATCGATATTGGATTCCCTTGATACAGTGATAAATCGGAATCCTCGGAATTGAGAAGGTAAATTGACGTTTTCTAGGTTCACCCTCGATACTGCTCGATCCTTGTTCTTTACTCTCTGTGCAATTTCATCGGAAATATTGAAAACTTGTTGTAGGAGTTTTCCAAACTATCCCGAAAGAACGATAATTCAAAGAAAAACATCAACCGTTCGTAATGGAGCGTAATATACTCGATTCTAAGATATTTTTTTAAAGAAACGATATTAGCAGTGTATTAATGTGGTTATATACAGTGACTCACAAAGTATTTCAATGAATTTTCAGTATATAATTACATTGAGTTATTAAAAGTTTTCAGCGTCTATACCAGCCGAATCGCGAATTAAGCTAGAGATTTACAATTAATTTGAGTGTAGAATGAGTTTGATCAGACTCTGTTGATACATGGTTTTCTGATTTTAATTAAACTTAATTGCATATTGACTTTCAGTTTACTCAAAACTGTTGTGACATTAAGCAGACTTTTGTTTTGCCTCGGTTTATCCAGATCTTATCGCTGTATCAATTTTAATTCTCATTATGTTTTGTTTTAACAAACTATGATGTAATTACAACGTCGAATCCTTTTTTTTTCAAATTATCGTAATTAATGTGAATGTGACTAAATTGTAATGTCAGATTTAATTTTAATTTTACTTCATAATTCTTGTATAATGCTATTTATATACAATTTCGTCATTAAATTTAATTTTTGATAATAAATTTTATAATAGTAAGTTTAGTTATAATATACAGTTAAACATTATTTTAATACAATATATAATATTTCAATAATTTAGATGAATGCAACTAGTAATTCACTGAACCATAATATAAATCTATAGTTTCAATTTCTTAATGTTCATGATACATTTGAATTTTGCTTTATGTTGCAATTTTAAAATTCAAGGTCATCATTTTTATAATACAACCTATTCAAAATTATATGAATTTCAAGTTTCATGACTTATTTGTAATGAATTTTGATGCCATGGTTAAATATTAATGAAAGTACAATTTAATATTGTTTATTAACAATTGCCTCTCTTTGTAATCACTTATAGGACATGTGACTAGGCGGGTATGATTTTACAGAGACATTAAAATGTCCAGTGACAACGATCAGATTCCCAAATCGGGCAAGCGAAAGAAATTTATCATACCTGATAGCGAAGACAGCGATGAATCTATCGTCCAGTCTTCTAGGAGAAAAAAGACTTTTGTACGTATAAAGATATTATATTAGCCATAGTTAATATATCTAAATTTTAATTCTATATTTACAGAGAGTTGTTAGCGAAGATGAAACAAGTGACGAAGACAGTGATGTTCAGAGACCAATTGTTCGAAGACAGAACTACGTAAGCCATATTAGAAATATTTTAACTCGCTTCGAACACCTTCGAACATCTAAGTAATGTATCTTAAGAAATGTATTTATTTTGTATATCAGCAATTCGATACCGAGGACGAAAGAAGTTACGAAGACAGTAGTTCGAGCGAGACTTCGGAATGGCAGACAGACTGGAGCAATTCGTCGGGATCAGGAGAAAAACTTCCTGTCAAGCGAAAGCTGCTTGACAAATCAAGATCTAAAAAGCTGCAAATAATTGTATCCGACACAGATACGGACACTAGCGATAATCAAGTAGAAAAGTGTCCTATATGCTTACTTCCGTTTAGAAGGCAACAGTTAGGCACTCCTTCGACTTGCGAGCATTGTTTTTGCTTAGAATGTTTAATTGAATGGAGTAAAAATATAAATACTTGTCCGGTAGATCGCCAAACATTCACAGTAATCCATGTTAGAGATAAACTTGGTGGGCAGGTATGTACTTTAACATTAGTATTACGTTATTAGCAAAAATTCCGTTAGTAAAACAGAAATTAATTTCGTTTTTGTCACAGGTTACGAGACATGTCCCGGTGGAGGTGGCTCCTCGCGTGGAGGATGAACCTCTGGAAGACCCCACATTTTGCGAAATATGTCATCAGAGCGATAGAGAAGATCGCATGCTGCTTTGCGATGATTGCGATTGTGGTTATCATTTAGAATGCTTGACTCCGCCGATGAACGAAGTACCAATAGGAGAGTGGTATTGTCCAGAGTGTTCACAAAACAGTCAAAACGACGCAGAAGCTGTAAGATTATTTCTACAACACACATCGTATTATTTGAATTAAATAAAATCTAAAATCATTCCGTCTGTATTTTTATTTTAACATTTATCATTTCTAGGTGGAGATTGACTTGGACGAAATCCCTGATTTAATGGAGGAGGCTCGCAGACTTGGTGTTTCGTATGGAAGAACGCGTACTGGTACCGCTCAAGATTCTCAACCAAGAATTGTACCTCGTACTAGGCATACAGAACGTGTTAGAGCTACTATTCGCAGGTACTAAGAAGAATTAAACCAAGAATATGAGTTTCATTAAACTGTTTATAATGCTATTTCATTTTTTGTATATTTTTAATAAATAGTACGAAATCATTTAATGTAATTGTGTTAACAGAAGAAATAGAGTTTATGACAGCCAACAACCAACCCATCAATTAACATTTGATCCAAGCCAACCTTCTACCTCTTCTGGTTTGGAATCGTTCGGAGACAACAGCCGAAGTCTTTCCCCAAACAATGCTTCTAATTCTTTAGGTGCTGGGGATCGAAACTATTTTAATGGAAATTCTAGAGATTCTAGAAAGTCTCAAAGATCTAGAACTAGTTGGAGCGATTCTAGCGACGAAAGTATTTTAACAGAATCTAGAGGACGAACCGACAATTCGAATAATTTCATAAGTTCTGACAACAGTAAATCCAAGAGAAGTTCTAGGAAAGGCGGAAGCGCTTTGAGAAAAAATATTAGTAGGAAATCTAAAACTAAATTGAAGAAGAAGTCGAAGAAGCCTAAAAAATATAAAAAGGTTTCTAATAGGGACACGTTATTGAGAGAAGTTAGAGTTACGGAATTTAACGAAGACGGAGAACGGGAAGAAATTGTAACATATGTAAAGGTGGCTCCAGTTAGGCGAAGAAAAGCAAGAAAAAAGGTACTTTAATTCTTTTTTCTTACTTTCTTTTCATTGTCGAAAGTAATGAGACTTTAAAGGAAATATTTCGCGTTAAATGGAATTACATGGTTTGTTTTATAGAGAAAATTCGCACGTAAAGCTAGGACCGTATCCAGTGTTTTAACCAGCAGCAAACAGAGACTTGCAGTATCCTTGGGTATTTGCAAGCCAGTAAAAGGTGCTCCAGTTTTAATACCTAATGTTAAAAATCGTTCAGTTCTGACGGATAGATCCGCGTTGAACGTTGCCCGATACAACGCTGGAATATCGAGGCTCAGTATTCTCGGAGATGGTCTAGACTTGAGTTATAGTCCACCAGGGTAAATGTATTTCATTTTTATTAAGTAGTTAAGAACACGATATCGCATACAAGCATTGCCGTGTGAAACGGCTCTTGCTATCCAAATTTCATTACTATTATTCAAGTAGACATATTCTGTCTTTCAGATCTGATATAGAGGATTACCATGGAACCGTTGGATCCACCATAACCATTCATAGGCGCTCGGTAATCTCTTCTCGGAGGCACCATCGTATAAAAAACATTGTCAATCCTCAACCACCTCAAGCCGATCTTTTAAGCAGCATAATGAGCAATCAAGAATTCTGGCATTCAAAGAATAATAAAATAAGTTTAAAAAGTAACGGTCTTCTCATGGCTGAGAAGCAAGAAGACTCTGACAATTTAAAGAAGAAAAACGCAGAAAAGGAGAAATCGTCCGATGTGATAGAAACGGCTTCCACGGTGGAAGATAGAGTTTCTAGAACCGACACACCGTTGGAAATATCCGGGATCGATTCGGAACTGATCACGCAGGCCCCGATGTACAACAATCCTTGCGGAGGCGGGAACAGAGGCAACTTCAGAGGCGGTTACAGAGACAATACAAGGCACAGCCACGGAGGTCAGAATTACGGAAGGGATTCTTTACCTGGAAACGGTAGACACAGTTACGGCGGAAGCGGAAGTAATTTTGGTAGAGATTTTGGACCGCCTGCATTTTACAATCCGAATTTCGAACACTGTGGGCCGCCGATGTTCGGAGGCAATCCTCCGTTTAGAAATCGAAATCCACAACACTTTAGAAACGAAAGGTACTTTTATCTTGTATAAAATTGTTACCCACGTTAACCGGATTAACCATGGATAAATAAAACAAAAAATTGGTTTAATTTTATCTGATTACATTCGCAGATTCCGCTTCATGCCACCGGGAAGACCTCCGTTCAATTTCACCGAAGGTTTCGAGCATCATTCCTTTCCCGAAAGGTTCAATCGGCCCAGATCCCCGCAAGCTTCTGTCGAACGACCTCAAAGTAACATGCCGGCAAACTTGCCGGAAGATACGTCGGGAAATCAGTCCACGGAACAGCAACCGCAAGACACGGAAAACGCTTCCGTCAGGCAAGAAGAGGATTGTGATATCTATTGTGATATCGAGACGAAATCCGACGGGGAGCTTCAGGATCAGCAAAATGGCTCGGTGGCGTTGTTGCCTCCGCCGGAACCGCCATCGGGTCTCTTAGATTTTGAAGAAAATTCCAGAAGCGACAAAGACAGCGACCAGGAATTAGTTATCGACGACAGTCAAAAGGAAGACACTCCAAAGAACGATAAGTACGATCCTTTTTCCGTGGATAGTGACAGTGATAGTGAAGTAAAAAAGAACGAAGAGGTCGCGGAAGAGACGAAAGAAGAGAAGGCTGTGGAAAGTGTCGCGCAACCCGAAGTTCCGGACACGTTGGTTCGTTTATCGGTTTACGACGACGACGATGACGAGGACTCCCAAGCGGACTGTCCAAATTTCTCTGTCTATTCTTCCCAAACAATGGACGTGGCACGGCACACCGAGCAACAATTGTCGCAACAAATAGGACCCCTCGAGCCACCGCCTCTTCCACCCTCGATTCCAGACGATGATGACGTGATCGTCGGCGATGTCCAAGCTTGCGATCTAGCCGATATTCCGGAACCATCGGATCCATACGTCGAATCGTTGCGGAAAGAGAGACAGACCTTGAGCAAAATCCCGCCAAAGAAAATTTCCCACGACAGCAGGGGAAAGATTACTTTCAAAATCGGTAGTAAATTGAAAATTAACAACAGATTGTTGGAATTACACGAGGAGGAAAAGGAGGACGTGCAGGAGAGGAAGAAGGAACCTGAGGTGGGTAGCCATGCTATTTTATTAACACTTTCGATGCCATCTGTTATTTAATAATTTGTATAAAAATTATTTTCACAGCAAGTGAAGGAGGAAGAAACCTCCATCGATCGCGAGGAAGAGCGGAAGAAAATTACCAAGAGCAAATTTGAAGATGATATGCAATTGGAAGAAAATAAAGAGGAAGCGTCGAAAGAATTGTTGATGTCGGTGAATCCTCCGGACGTCAAAGAGAAAGATGTGAACGAACAGAAGGAGGAAGAACCGGCAGAGGTTTCTGGTATCAACGTGACGGAAAAAATCTCGGAAATAGAAGTTCCTACGGAAGTGATTCAATTGTCGCCCGCTAAATTGGAAAATGAGTTGAGTAACGAATGCCTCTCTGTGCCAACGTCCGAGGAAGACAGCGAAACGTTTGCTTCGCTTCCGAAAATCTCAACGATTAAGATCAACGAAGAATGCCCGTCGGAGGCCACAAAAATCGAGGAGGATCGTAGCGAAGCGAATGTTAAAAGTTCTGACGACACAGAGAGTAAAAAAGACGAGAAGGAACAGCGTCGAATCGGCGAGGAAGACGAAGATGAGGACGAAGAAGACGAGGACGAGGATGAGGAAGACGAGGAGGATGAAGAAGAGGAGGAAGATGAGGAAAATGAAAAGGAAAAGGAGAAATTTCCTATCGAGAAGGAAACGTTGGTCAAGGAAAATGTAGTCGAAGAAGAAATTGCTGATCAAAACAATTGGGAATCCGATGGAGCGTATACGCCGTGTAAAGACGAACTTCCTCTGAAAGAATCCAAATCCTCGTCCGAACAATTGCCGCCTCTCGAAAGTGGTTTAGAGCCGATCACACCAACGAAAGACAAACTGGACGATTTCGACAGTTGCAGAACTCCGGTAGACTATAACGTTTTGGGTACGGAAGCTATTTCGGAGACGGACGAAGCAATGAACTTCGAGGACGAATTAACTTTGTTGACGTTGCGTAAGGAAAAGGAAATGGAAGATGGAGAAATCGTAGAAGAGAAGACTGCGAAGGAGAGTGATAAAATTGAGAAAGAAAAGGAGGAGGACAAGAAACGTAAGAAGAAGGATAAAAAAGATAGGGGTAAAGACACCGAGAAGAACAAGGAGAACATTGCCTCGGAGAATCAAGTAGCATGGAAGAAACTGTCGAAAAGCACCAAGGAAAGATCGTACAGGGACAAAGAGAAGAGATCCAAGTCGAAGGAGAAGGACAAACCAAAGAAAAAAAAGGAAGTAGTCAAGAAGAAAGAGAAACGGAAGGAGTTGCCTAGATACGACGTTAGAAAAATAGTTGCAGAGCGACCGTCGAGACCCAGGAAGGACGAATACGGAAGGGATATCAGGGAAAAGTCAAGACAGAGGAGCAGATCCAGGAGTTGCAGTACAAAACGTTCCAGATCCTATTCGAAACTTCGATCCAGAAGCAGATCCAGAATCAGGGTCCAAAGATCTTGGTCCAGAGATCGTAGATCCTATTCGAAATCGCTCTCTAGAAGAAGATCGCTTTCTCGAGGCAGACGCAAATCGCCGAAGAGAAGATCGACGTCCAGAAGACGATCGAGATCCGTTTCGCGGAAACGACGATCTTTGTCGAGGAAAAGATCCAGGAGGTCCGTATCGAGGTCGAAAAGATCGCTCTCGAGATCCAGACAGAGAAGATCGCTCTCGAGATCCAGAAGATCTTTGTCCAGGTCGCGCGACAGACGCAAAGATAAGAAGAAGTATAAATCTCGCAGTCGATCGAGAAATCGAAAGAAATCGCGGTCGAAATCGCCCAGAAAATCATCAAAGTCCAGAGAACGGAAAGTGTCGAAAAGGAAAGCGCAAAGCAGGTCGAGATCGAGGGTAAGATCGTGTTCCAGAAACTGGGAACAAGTCGATAAGATCGTGGAACAAGATTTCTCGCGACAAAGGGAGGAACGAGACTCGTGGAGCGCTCAATGGACGCCATCTTGGTCGAGATCTAGATCGAAAACGCCTCAGCACGTGCAACAGGAACCAATTCCATCCAGAGAATGGTCCCCGGTGCTGGACAACGTTGCCGTGCCACCAAAAAATCTCACAGTAATCCTAACGAACAAGGAAGCCATCAAGAAGAAGAAGAAGGAGCGCAGAAAAGAGGGTAAAAAAACGAAAGACGAGAAAAAGAGGAAAGGGAAACGGAACAGGACCCCGCCACCGTCGAAAGAAGTTTTCGCCAGCGGTGACAACATTTTGGTCAGTGTGTGTTTCAACAAGGATAACGAAAACATACAGACAGGTGTACCGGAACTTCCGGAAACGATTCCCTTGATTCCTCCATTGAAACGTCGCCGTAGAGAGCCCCTTCAGGCCGAGCCACCGAAACGTTCCAAGAAGGAGAAATCGAAAGACAAACGTTCCAAGTCACCGAAGCCCAAAAAGGATAAGAAGAAGAAGTCGAAAGCAGCTGAGATAGCGGCCACGAAGAAACCAGTGGCCGTGATCGATTTGGATCAATCTCCGTTCAGGGAACAGACACCGTCCCCGAGGGACGTTATAGTTCTCAGCGACGACGATGACAAACAGGTGCAACAGATCACCCTGGACCAGTGTCAACCCTCGCAGAACACACCGCAGAGGGAGCAGTTTATTTCTCAAGGTCCGAAAACGCCACCGGAACCGCAAATCAAATTCTCGATAAACAAACAGACCAGCAATCTGAGACCGTCGATGTTGAATCCGCTGTTGGACGAGGAGGAGGAGGAAGAGATGGACGAAAGAGTCGAGGAGGAATTGGAGATGAGGGCGCAGGAGGAGTTGGAGCTCAGATTGAAAATCGGACCTAACACGCCGCCGGAACCGCCGACCTCGCCGCCCACCAGCCCGGACGCGTACGATCCGTTCGATCCGACGAAATCTAGATCGCCGACGCCGGACGCTAGCCAAGAGGCGAACTCCGGCGACGAGAGACGGAGATCGCCGCGGAAACACGACTCCGTGGACGGGAACATACTCGAGGAAGAAAGTGTACAGAAACAGGAGAGGCAGAGTCAGGAGAAACAACTGGAGAAGCCGAAGATTATTTCTATGGTGACGATCAAGAGGGCGGCGTCCCCGCAGAGGGACGATGCGAGCGAAAACGAGAACAACAAGGACACCGCGGCCTCGACCGGTAACTTGGAGGCGCAACAGAATCAACAAAATGTACAGAATCAGAACAATCCATTCGGTGTAATAAATCCCGTGCTGGCGACTGTGGCCGCGGCGGTGCAAAGAAGCGGAGTTTTCAATGCCTCGAATTCCAACAGCGGTCAGCGGACCTTGTTGCAGTCGAATCGTATCTCGCCGAGCAATCAACAGAAGCAACGTTCCGGCGATCGTTCCCAGGCGCCGGCGACGTTCGTTAATTCGGGGAAACCGTCGAGGAGCAACAAGTCTGGACAAACGAAAAGCAACGGGCAAAACGGTAACGATCCTGGCGCGGAAACGGTGGACAATGTTGATATGTCCTCGCCGTATTCGCCGGGATCGACGCTCAGCGATGGAATCTTTGATCCGCCGAGTCCTCCGAACTTCAACGGTTCGCCTGGTACCGGAACAGGTGGAGGAGGTGGAGGAGGCGCCGGGGGAACCGTTGGATCGCAACCCACGAAAACCAGCGGTTCGAAAACGGCAAAGAGTACAGAGAAAAAGGACCCCTTCGATGCTCTTTTCAGTACTATACCCAGTACAAAGACTGCCAATAAATCAACTAGGAACAAGAAATCAGACAAAGATAAAAAGAAGAAGCCGACAAATCCAAAAGTTGGCGTAAGGATGGACGAGAACCAGCTTCAAATATTGGACGATCTTCCAAGTTCTGCCGTCGAAATGCAAGTCAAGGATAAGGTTTGGTTTTTTCTTTCTGTAAAAGTATTACTACATTAGCCTCGAACGTGGAAAATTTTAAACTTATCGATACAATTTTTGTTCGCGTGTCTAAGATTTAAACGTTAAAATATCGCTTTGCGTAAAATTACTGTACACATATACTTTATTAATATTACGTTTTATTGTTACATAGTTCCTAAAGAAATTGAATCGTCAAGAGCGAGTGGTAGAAGAAGTGAAATTAGTACTGAAACCACACTATACGAAAAAACATGTTACAAAAGAGGAGTACAAGGATATTATGCGAAAAGCAGTACCCAAGGTATGTGATCAATGTTACGTGAAATTATTAATATGTATTGGAAATTAAAGATTAATACATCAATTTTATCGTGTTGTTAGATATGTCACAATAAAACGGGAGAGATCAATCCAAAAAAAATCGCCCATTTGATAGAAGCTTACGTCAGAAAATGCAGAAACAGCAAGAAGAAAACTTCTGAGAGCTCTTCTGCGAAGGCCTCTAAACCCGCGTAAGTAATTTAAAATTCGAATACTTTAATACTTACAGAGCATGATAAATACAGTAAGGAGCAAAGCTGTGTTCGTATTGCTTTTACTATTATTACGTTTTTATTTTAAACTTAATTGGAAGAAACATTTTTATATATGCATATTTGAGTAAGAAAAAAACTAAAAATAACTTACATATGAGGGATTTACTGCGCTTTGATAAATGCTCATATGTTTTTATTATATGTTAGATGAATCTATGTTTTTGTTTTTCTTATTCAAATTTGTACCGAATGAAAATTAAAACGAATCAGGTATTAAAAGGTTGCGACTCGTTTGTTTTAGGAAAATCTTGTGGAGTTGATCACGAGTCAGTTAGGTGTCTGTTCAATTCCCTTCAATTTCGTAGTTCAGGCGATCGTCGTGCTCGATGAGCGGTGAGTGAGCTTCGAGACAGCTAGTCTCCTCCTCGATGATGCGATGTATCTTGTATTCTGTGTAAATACGTAATTAATTCATTAATTGGTCGATTGGTTGATTGGTCGATTGGTTGCTTGCTTGATTGGTTGATTGATTGATCGATTAACTTATAAGAGTATCATTTATTATTTATATAAACAACACCCTTTATCTTGTCAGGGAACCCAATTGTCTCTATGGAAGATCCATTGATCATATAATTTTTGGTTCATTATTTTCTTCAATTATTAAGTATTTAAATTCATTTACTTGGAGATCGACTACTGTTGTTCTTACTATATCTACAAAATTTATTAAATATATTGAAATTCATTGGTTTACAATTTATGGACTTTCAATATTTAATCAAAGTTCCATTACAGTATTGCTTTTTAGATGCATGTTTAAATGTATTTAAAAAGAACTGTAAACATAGTGGATTGTCAACTAATTTTTTTTTTTTTTTATAATTTCGGAATGCAAAGCCATAGTTTGAATTAATACGTTTTATAAAATTTTGCAATTTTAATTGTAAATCTAGTTTCTTTAACACATTGACTGCCATGTACGGGTGACAAGAAAATAAATCTGAATAGGACTCACGAATATCGACGAGGCTATGCAGATAAGTATTACGACAAATTTTTAGATTATGTAGTTTTCACGTGTCGAAAAAATATAATTTTGGCTTCCTAACGAATTTGACTGATGATTGGTCTGGCAGTCGACGCGTTAAATCGCCAAAAATATCTATACTTGTAAATCCACTATCGCTTAAACTCAGTTTTGAATTAATTGAAATCGACCATTTTTTGCGATGGTTACAAGGAGTGTCGTAAGAAAAGAACATTACTCGATTTCCGATACAAATTTTGTATTCGCAACGTATTGCTAAAACTTGAAGCGATTTAAAACACCGTCAAAATATCAGAACTTGTGTGCGTGTGTCTGCGCGCGTGTATGTGTATGTGTGTGGGCGTACTTGTCGGTTGCGCGTGTATGTGAATATTCGTACAGAAAACAAATACACAAATTTCATAAAACGACCATACACACTTCTATGGAAAAAAAATATTAGTACTAATGTCGTTTTTCTAGGCATTGAATCATTAATTTCCATAGATAAGTCAATCCTACACGCTGGTGTACGTTATTCTTGTTTATATTTAACAAGTAATTGATACTTTGACAACTATTTATTCAAACTAATTAAATATTAGCTTTTATTTTCTATTCTCTATTAAAAATTATACGTTAATCATTGCAATACTTGTATTTATAATGCATAGAATTTATGTGCCAAGATTTGGCACCCTTGGCTTTTCCGCAGAGACTGTCATTTTTCGTATTCTTAATGCACATGTAAAAATGCTTAAATACCACGTTTCTAACGTACATATTGTAATTTCACTCTTTCTACAGAGTTGGACGTTATTCGAATAAATTATTATTCTTATCAACATCAGTACTACCACTACTACTATTACTACTACTACTACTACTCTACTACTACTACTACTACTACTCTACTACTGCTACTACTACTACTACTATTATCACTGTGTCTCCTGTATTATTATTATTTCTGTTGTATGTATCATTAATATATAAATAATTATTTGAATGAAACTTACTCGCAATAACTTTCTATTTATTTGTAAGTTTGTCTACAGATTTGTCTGAATTAAATTATCGTTCGAATAAACGTGCAATTTAACTATCTTCCTGGCATACATATATTTCGGATAATTGTATTTAAAAAACGACTAGAATGAAATTAACTTAATGTAAACAACTTTGTTACGCAACATTTCCTGAACATTCGACTAAAATGTTAAATGTCAAATCCCGGTTCTGCTGTTGAATAGTAACTGATCGTTCAAAAAATTAGTTATAAAATTTGTAGTTCAAATAACGTTATGCTGTTCTCGATAGCATAACGTTCAAGATACTCAATATAGTATAAAGATATTAACGATAAACTAAAATGATTATCGACATCGAAGTAAAAAATACAAATTACTATCGATTTACTTGTTTTGAAATCGTAATTCGAATGCGTGGTGCAATTTAATTGGAAGAACTGAAAACATCGATTAATTTAAATTTGAAAAACTATGTGAATCAGGATTTATTTAAATACTTTATTTTGCGATTGTTATTCGAATAAAAATTGTCCAACTCTGTTTTTGTATAGCCATAAAACGTGTATGAGAATGTGTGAGACAGAGTGAATGTTAATTAGACTTAAGAAATAAGAGGTCCTGTCTCGTGGAATTGTAAAATAAGACCTTCAATAGAGTATTTGCTGTTCAGGTTGTATCAAATCTGATTGGCTAGTGTTTAATCAATCGGATTCGATGATATTCTCCCAAAATTGATCGGAAGATGTTCGATTCTTTCCAAATGTAAACAATAACAAAGAAAGAAAGAAAAAAAAAAAAGGAAAAATGCTAAAATCCTTATCTTTTTTACGTTAAACTAATTAAAAGTCATTACTTAGTACCAGCAAAACGAGCAATTTTTAATTGTAGTTAATAATTGCATTCAATCCAATTGTACTTATGCTGTATTTGTAAGTTACATTTTTAAGATTGTACGGGATAGTTTAATGAAAAAGTTAATTAAGAGATATTTAATTTTTTAATCCTTTGCGGACGGTAAGATAATTTTTACCGTTATGGACGGACATCGGGAAGTTCTATGTACAAATCCAATCGACAAAAGTTTCATTCTCTCAATACGTATGTAACTATTCATTAAATTAAAATAAAATTTACACGTCGGATAAAATAATTTTCAATTATACGTTATTTCTCTGCCTACGTTTCCCCTGACATTCTCGTTCCAAAATATCTGTCCGCAAAGGTTTAAGTTCACGAAAACAGCTGTTCAAAAAGTGTGTGTAGTGGCCAGCAAACTGAAGTTCTTACATTCGAAGGCTTGATTAATTCGTGATTATTTTTTGGAGTTTTGCCAGATGCCATACACTTCTTTTCTTTTCAAATCGTCTAATCTTCTCGGGATAAACGAATCATGGAGGAAAGTGACATTTGGTCGATATGACGTATTTGGATTATAATCTCCAAACATGATCTTACAGGGATTAAATTAGTCCCGACCGTAACGGTACAAGAGGATCATAATTTAATATTTCCATCGTCACGATGGACAAGTGAAATTAATTTAATTTTTGCTCATTTTTACCTTACATTTATATCGTTTTTACCGACCCCCTACGCAAATACAGTTATTTAAGTAAAAAAGTTTCCTTGTTGCACCATTCTTATTTTCTTGTGGCATCTCTGTGTACTACGTGTGGACTCTCTTCTTGTTATTTATCGTTTCTGTTCCCTTCTCTGCTGGGTCAGGTTTTTGTATAATGAGGGAGGAACGAGAATAGATCATGAACATTCAGTCGTACATTACTGTACAGACCATTCAGAACCATCTTGCGTACCTTCGTTTCCGGTTACAGCAGACATAGATAAATTTATCGAATATCCATGATCCGAGCATAACAACATAATAACATCTCTCCCATTCGTAGCCAAACAAAAAACATTGAATTTCTGATTTGATAGAACCGAGTATCGGGCTGTGTCGTATTTGAATCAAATGTCAGTCTCGTAATTACGTCGCGTCGTAATTACTCGTCTATGGGAAATAAGTCCAGATAGCGCTTGTATCGCGTGCATTTTTGGAAACGTGTAGTTCCCGGTCTACGGCGAGCTCCAAAAAATATTCACAGACCGTGAACGACGAGAGCACAAATTTATAACAGGTAGTGCCGTAGGCAACAAACGATTATTAAAAAAGTAAGAACGAAAATATAAGGATTCACGCTACGAACCATGTGTACTAAAAATATCGAAGAATCGGACAAAATATTCCTAGATCGTTAAATTTTTGATACTTCATACCCCTTTTACGTCGGGAATTGGATACGATAACGAAAAGCGAATTTACTTAACAGTCGATATTCAAAAATAGAGTAACTATAAAATGCAAATTTGTGACACTGCATAGGTGCGATTAATTACGAGAATGCCTGCGCATGTATGTGAAATCTTTTGTACTAAATAATGATGTATATATAATGAAGGGAGAAATAAAGAATTTAATATTATCGAAAATATGAAAATTGATGCGTTATTACGAGCGTGTTGCGAAGTACGAGTACAAAAGTTTTATACAACCAAAAAGTAAGCGAAAATGGGGAAAAAAATTATGAAATACTAGCATGCCCCGTTTCGGCTTCGCCCGACCTTGTGCAAAAGGGATTTACGACCAGACGATCATCCTGACATATATATCCGCGATAATGCAATTCTCTCGCGAGAAAGCGCTCGAGAAGCTTCGCCACCTGGCGGTAACATCGCAGTACTGCTACGGGCGAGGTATCGCGCGGGCCGAATATGCGCATGCGCGCCCAAGTAGACTGTCGTATACAGGGGTTACGTGGTCTGCCAAACAGTCGTACACATGAAATCTTTGCATATAAATTACATGTTAATAACGCGCTTCTGAGACATGCTACATAGCCTATGCCCGTCCTAGAATATGCAGGAATAACGTGTCAAAATTTGAGGAAGATCGGTTCAATAGGTCTTTAGTTTTGCGCGAACATAAAAATCGGCTCTCTCTTTAAATACATTTTATATAGGGAAAACACACCATCATAAAAGTGCGCGTATAACGCATATTCGTAGAAATTTTTCGATGTTTTTTTTTTTTTATAAACCATCAGTGAAAGTAGACCTTTCCAACGCATGTACTCGTTTGAAAATCGGTTGAGTGGTTCTCGAGTTATAAAATCACGAACATAGGACAACTTATTTTTATATATATAGATTGTTTATTCGAATCTAATTAATATTTCATTAAGTTCTTCAACCATTTCTCTATACATTATTTAATGTAATTAATTCGTTACAAACGATTACTGAAAGCGACAGTTGTTTCAATATTGAGCTAAAAAGTGCCGAAAAATAGTGTCGCCATTTAATATCAGGGATTCGTACTGCTAAAATCGTGCTAGGATCACAGAATGTTAGAGGAGGCATCCGAAGTACAGGTCCCCTCACTTTTGCTACTCCTGTTACGCAATACCTCGATTATTCGCTAATAATTCTTTTTCTGGGAATAAAATGTGAACCTGTACTCCGGATGCCTCCTATAACATTCTGTGATCCTGGTACGATTTTAGCAGTACGAATCCCTGATATTAGATGGCGATACTATACTTTGGCACTTTTTAGCGCAATATATAAACACATCCTATACTATAATATTTTAAAAATATTAAAAATATATATATATTTGTGTACGCTCATACATAGGAATAGTAAAAAGAATTTCCCTTTTTTCATCAGTTAAATTACGATCGGGCGGTCTTAAAACGTGCATTTCCTTAAACAAAATTTTTCATAATTTTTTTTTCATTATGCTTCGAAAGCAAGAAGGAAGAATATGTAAAGTTTGCTAAACGAATGTTTAAAAATAATTACAACATTGTGCCTCTATGATTTTATTTACTCGCGAAGTCAACATGAAAAGTATTCTTAAAGAAAACAGAAGGCGAACATTGTATCGATAACATTAAAAGTCGGTTTTAGATGATGTGGAATTAATTTTACTACATATGTTTTGTTATAGCAATGAGATATAAGGAAATTATGACAAAATTTTGAGTAATGTTAACCATTCTTTCTCGCAGGAATTATTTCACTTCATGTTATTCTTTGCAAGTAAGTGTTTCCGATGTTTTCTTGAGGTTAAGTTTTAACTTTTCTCATAATAGACAACAAATTGTAAAGAAATGTTTTTAAAAAGACATTATTGTAAAGCCTATTTTCCATCAAATGGACTAACTTAAAAGTAACATTTGTATTGCCATGTTCAATATTTCGTTTTAATGCTTGTTTCGAGGTTATAACTATGTATCTTAATTGCCTTTCTTCTTTGTCATAATTGTACGAGGAAATATCCTAATTGTAATGAATCTTAAAATTTTAAGAAGGCATACCAGGAGTGGGTCAAAATAAGAATGAGAGACGAATCCGTTCCACCAAGCAGAGATAATCCAGTGATCATGAAACTGGACGATCCGTTATTTAAGTCTTTATTTACACCAGAACTTACCACATTGTCCGAGTTATTTAAGAAACGAAATTATGAATTAAGAATTGCTGGTGGCGCTGTCAGAGATATTTTGATGGGTACCAAACCAACAGATTTAGATTTTGCGACCATTGCTACTCCGGATAAAATGAAGGCCATGTTCAAAGAAGAAAACATTAGAATAATCAATGATAATGGAGAAAAACATGGTAAATCGGAAGATACGTTCCTATTTGTTATTATTAAAGTGGTAGACTATATTGATATTAAATGAATATTTATTGACAATTGTTTAGGTACAATTACTTCAAGGATTAACGATAAGGAAAATTTTGAAATAACCACACTCAGAATTGACACAATTACCGATGGTAGACACGCAGAGGTTGAATTTACGGAAGATTGGAAGTTGGATGCTCGTCGTAGAGATCTTACAATAAATTCTATGTATCTTGATCTGGATGGACGAGTATATGATTATTTTTTTGGCTACGACGATTTGCAAATGAGAAGAGTCGTTTTTGTTGGAAATCCAGTTACTAGAATACAGGAAGATTATCTTAGGATACTTAGGTACATCCTAATTGTTCTTTTTGTAGCTTATTTTTTAATTTATTTATATATTTCTAATTTTTGTTATTTTTTTAGATATTTCCGTTTTTATGGAAGAATTGCGAAACAACCAGATGTTCATGAGGAAGAAACAATTGCAGCAATAAAAGAAAATATGAATGGTTTGGAAAGAATATCTGGAGAAAGAATTTGGAGCGAATGGTCAAAAATACTTTCTGGAAATTATGTCAAGGAATTGACTTTAAAAATGTTGGAATGCGGTATTGCAAGGTAATATCGAATTCAAATATTCGACAGAATTTTTCATTTATATTGTTTTTTTTCAGATACGTTGGACTACCAGAGAATCCAGAATTAAAAAACTTCGAGATTGTTTGCGAAGTGTCAAAAAAGAACAACATTTCTTTGTACCCAATTTCTTTAATTGCCACAATGTTGAAAAATGAAGACGAGGTACTCGCTCTTCATAAGCGATTAAAGCTTTCTGCATTTGAAAGAGATCTAGCATTATTTTTAGTGCGATTTTGGGAATATAAGCCGTCGGACGATCTGCTGAAACACTATAAAAGAATTCTTATTCATTGGAAAGGAAATGCTAAAAACGGAAAAATTTATATTTGCGAATTACTTAAATGCAAACAGCTTTTGAATCTTGCTGCAGACTTTGAGAAAATTACGATACCCAGGTACAGTGATAATTAACTTAAGAAATATAACAGAAATTATTATATTCTTTTATGTTATGTAAAATGAATTGCGACTTCTCAGATTCCCGGTTACTGGGCACATGTTGAAAGAAAAAATTAAAAAAGGAAAAACAATGGGTATTGTGCTCGAACAACTAAAAGATATTTGGTTGGATAAGAAATTTGAAGTAACTGCAGAAGAATTGCTTCAAGAAGTTCCGCGAATTATCAGCGAAATAGAAGATAAATTACAGAAAATATAAACAGAAACGTTGAAGTCTGATATATTTCTCCCGGCAGTTTTATCTGCGGTTATTCGAAACAATTATACATATTTGATTCGAATTAAAATGTATAAGATAATTTATAAGAATAAAACTTCTACAATGAAATAAAACAACTTAATTTTTGTATGGTAAAAAACACGTACATCTTATAAATGACTGATGAACAATCGTGTTCCTTATTTATTGTAGTAGTTTTTTTTTAGTAAATGTAAATAACTAAAGAATAATCATGTTCTTTATTTATTATGGTAGTTTCATTTTCTAAATGTTATATACAAGCAATGTTGCTTAAATAATTTGTTACATCCGATTATCAACTAAATTATTATCTCCAGTTAATAAATTGTAAAAATATTTGTCTTATTTTTAAATTATTACTAATTCTCTGAATAAATTAAAACAAAAAAGTTACTTAAATAAAAGACCTATACATAACTTATGCATAAGGAATAAGAAAAGGAAAAAATAATTATACATTATCAACAATGTATAATCTTGTAGGAAATATTTTGTATTAAGATTTTTAACAGTATAAGACACATTTATTTTCAAGAGCATCACATACGTGTGGTAGATTGCAATCCCTTAGAATCTATTTACACAGTAAACTCACGTGAAAAACTTTCCGCGACGGAACCCCTCAAAATATAGATTAGCACTCGCTTGATTACTGAGCTTGTAATTATGCACTGAAACCCTGATTATTTGGTGAATATATATTTTTATTTTTATTTAAAGTTAATATTAGAATAATTTTGTCGTATCTTAAATTAAAGTCGTTAACGTATCATATTCCCATTTGTTACAATTCGTTATTAATCTATTGTAATTATTACTCACACGTATTCAAATTTAATTACAATCATTATATGATATATGTATTCATAATCATTTCTCAATTTAGGTTCGATTATCTTACAATTCATTAAATTTGAATAATATTGTATTCCCGTTTAATTTAAATTTAATAACTCGTTACTAATTCCTTGATAATATACCATATAAATCACTTAAATGTTAATTATAAATAGAATAAAATATAATCCATATTTATAAATAGAAACAGTATATATTCTCTATTAAAACAAATAATTGAAGTTTCAATGCATATTTATCTCAAAAGAAATAAGAATTCTATTCGAGTCTATGAAAAAGAATTTTTAAATAATGAACTTTCTCCCTTAATCTTAAAAGAATCACTTCTATACCAAAAGAAATTTTGAACCCTTTTCAAAAGAAGAATCTAATGAAAAATTTTTTTATCAATTTCACGTGAACACATTATCAAGGTCGATTTTCGAAGCTTCATATATTATTTTTTTTACCATTCCGCATCACCGTTCATTTTTTGAAACACGTAATCTTTACCACTGAGGTTCATTATACCGTCTTTGAGGTAGAATTTCCATTTGTTTCTACTCCTTGTTATCTGAAAATTAACATTTCTCATTTACAATTCAGGATCGGCCAATTATATTTGAAAAATAAACTTACTGCAATAAGTATCTTCTACTTGAATTTCGAGTTCCGTAATGAAAATATTTTAAAAATGTTTTAGGACAGACATTTATCGAGAAACTTAAAATAGCAACAAACACAAACATCGATTATGAGAAGCAAATTATGGGACGAGAATGAATTACTTGTATTTTGAAAAATCGAACATTTTTTTGAAGATTTATGAATTCTTAAAATGATCTTCATTAGAATAAAAATGAAATAATTATTTTCTTAATAAATACCTTATCGTATTGACAAACGACTACATTATCGGTATCAAAAAGATCTGTTGGATCATCGTCGGTTACATCATCTTCTGAATTCAATGGCTCCTGGAGAAAAAGTAGAAAGAAGTTTAGTTATATCTAAACTCCGAACATGCTGTTTGCAATGCTAACACCATTGGATTCTCAATAGGAAATATGCTTTAATAAAATTTTAATTTACAATACCTCTTCTCTTGCAGCAGCTTCGTCATTTTCCTCTTCCTCTTTGTCATCAAGATCTTCTTCTTCGTCTTCATTGTCCTCTTCTTCCTCTTCTTCGTCATCGTCCGATGAGTCTCCGAGCGGGCCATCCAATTGTGCTATGTTATTCTGAATATAAAATAATAAATGTAAGAAATGCTCGTTCGTATAAATTATTATTTCTGCCAATTACCTGATTTTGTACAGATCGTTGAGAAACATTATTTGTATTCTGTGTAACAACCTGAAGCGGCTGACTAACTTGAAGAGGCGCCAATGTTGCTTGGCCTTGAAGCGTAGAATTGACATGCTGCTGAAGCAATGTGGAAGCCAGATTTGCTGGCAATCCCATTGCCGCTGAAATAACTGGACCCGTCAGGATTGTATGTAACTGATTACCTAAACATGAACATAATCAAACCAATTATAATTACCTATATTCATGAATCGAATCATTTCAACATACCCTGAATTGCAGACGCAGGAACCTGGATAGTCAAAACTCTTTGCGGAGCATCTGGAACACCAGTTTGCGGTGGCAATGTTATCTGGATGGGTACTTGCCGATCCATCACCGCTGATGTAGATGTCACTAACTGTTGCACTGGTGTGCCAGTATGTTGTTGTATACCAGTTGTATTCGAATGACATTGAGTTTGTGTTTGTTGCTGAGGCTGCTGCGACGGCTGTTGTTGTTGCTGTTGCGGTGGTTGCTGCGGAGCAGAATTTCCTCCCGTTTGCTGTACAAAGTGGTTTCCTACATTTACTCCTAAAAACAGAGATTACGGTATATACATTTATAAATATGTTAAAACTTATGTAACATATTGTTATATTTGAATATAATTCATCATTTAATCAAGCGTCTGCTACCTTTATTAACAGACACAGCTTTATGCGTATTTATTTGAGGGACCTGAGGTTCTGGAGGATCTGGATTTAGTTCGACAGCCTTGCTGGACATCAGCTTGCCTTCCCATATTTGTTTGAGTTCTTGTAGTACTTGTTCGTCTACACCTTCATCTATAAATGACTCTTTTACGCCGGATATAACATCCTCTATCACAGTATTGTATAATTTTAGCTGCAACATGAACACATATTTTATTATTATATTTCAAATCTCTTTATCAATTGTATGAAATATTTTAAATTAGTATTAAAATTTAATCTTTACACTTCTTATATACATTGAATCCTATTAGTTATCACATTGACATAAAACAGGTGAACATAGTTTTTTTCAAAGTAGAATTAAAAGCTACTAACATCTGTTCATTTCTTTTAAAGAACATAAAATTTTTAATTAATCATTTACAATATAATGACCAAAATTTCAAAGAGGAGAGAGTCCAATCCTAACCTAACTTTGCTTACAAACGATTAACCACGATAAAACTGCATAAATATTTAAACGAAATTTTATATCGACGAGTCATGGAAACGGTAGCATCGAAATCTAAAAATTTATAATTTTTTAATTATTAAGATCTCATCGATAATATGAATATATAACAAATGGCATGAAAAGATATAATTCTGAACGGAGTAAAAGGATCAAAGATAAGGATTACAATGATAAAGGTAACATGAAAAAAAATCAAACGATAAAAATCGTCATTGTCGTCATTAAGATGATCATTATTAACTGTTCCTTGCATCGGTCATTTGTTCGACCGTTGTTCATATTTATTACTCACCACGCTTGTCTGACTGAGGGCCATCACGAGGATAATTCGTATTGTCTAAGTACAAAAACAATAGGAATAATCCAACGAATAAATCAGCCCCAGTTCAGAAGCCGATCCGCGGTAACATCGCTCTTTTATATACTGTGGACACGTCTCCCATTCCACCTTACTAACATGAACTGAGAACAGCCATCTCAAAGAAAATCAATGTACCCAACATCGTAGAAATAAAATTCTCCAACTTAAAGGAAACATCGACAACGAAAAATATTTTGTAACTACTCCGAGTAAAGACTAGACGGCCTATAACAATAATATTTGTTGCATGGTAGTATTTCAGAGAAATTGTCCAAGGGCAAGATTTATGAAATACAGTGTGGCCAGATTTGGCATAATTGTGTGCATCGATGTCGACACTAGTAACGACGAACTTCCTTAGCGTCTAACGAGGGGTAGGGAAAGCCGACATATCCTACCGTACGAGCCATGTGACGTCAGAGATGCCAAAGGTGCACCGAAGGCACTTTCTTGCACTACGTGAACTCGTAGAGTTTCAGAGAGTCGACAAAGGTAAATTGACACATGCCCTCTTTTTCGATTCTCCAAAGCTACCCAAAGTAATTTCGGACCCTTCTCATGGGAGTCGAGAGAGAAAGGCTCACATATGCCTTCTCGCTCTTGAACAACTGAAATCCGACCTCTCGTCAACGGCATACGACTTGGAATCTCGAGTCGAGATTCTCGACTGCCCAGGCATTATTACTTTCCGACCTATGTAGGCGCTCAGTGTCTAAAGCTTATTAATATGATAATTACTATGTAATTCACTGTACATCTATATGTATATATCACGCCAGCATATATGATAAACCGCCCAAGTTTGTCGTGGAATAGTTCGTAACGTCAACGCTAGATGGCGCGTATTTATCGACAAGCTTGGGCGTTTTAGCACCAGGGGGCCTGAGGTTATAGCTCTTTTGCTATACTAATATTTAAGGGTGATTAGACAGCGGATGTGGTTTGCACAATATTCATTTTCAACAAGAATTAACAGTAACAATCAACAATTAACAATAACAACGAACTTCGTCTACAAACACGTGTGCGCGGGTCGAGAACTAATAACGGAAGACAGTACTCAATTGTTTTTGATGGTTGACTCGTCTGTTTTTAAAGAAGAACAACGGCATCGTGTGCAGCGCCAAAGCTACGGACGTTGGCCACAAGGTCGAAAGAAATAAGCGCCATCTAGCGTTGAAGGGACGAACTATTCGACAATAAACGTATCCGTTTACCTATACCGAAATCGATCAATCAGGGGCAGCGTCGATTCAATTCTAAGACCTGCTGCATGATTTAGCATCGCGTCGCGTTTCCCTCACGTTAACTTCACCCTCTTTAAACAAACTAATTACTTGGTAAAATTAAACTAGACTTAAGCGTCGACGTCTACATTGTTCGCGTATGCGCCAAGCAATACGTTTGTCAAACTTTTTCAGAAAGCAAGTGATCGGCCGTTTAGCTAGTCCGAAGGGTCCATTACGATTTTAATTACTATCTCTTGCAATACGGTTTCGATTTAATCATTACTTAATCATAATAATCGTTTATATCTATACCATATAAGAGACATACAAATTATATTGAAGTACTTTATACGGCTCTAATAGCACATTTTTATGAATTTCAGTTTGACGAACTGGACAGGCCCCTCCTTGACTACTCTAGGATTAATTTAAACGTACATGTAGTGTATGTATTTTATTTCTTTATTATAAATAAGCATCATATACAGATAACTTGATAGAAAAATATATTAACATCTTTATTATATATATACATGTTTCAAGTATAAATGTTTGTATTAACTCAGTTGTTTCGTACTTGAAAAAAAAGAAAATAGGTAAATACTTATTGCGTGCTGAAATGAAAATATCGTTAAAAATAAATTGTGATTTCCTGAATTTAAGCTCCGGTCTCTTGGGTGCCCCTCGAAATCACTTCCCTCAATCTGGTTGTTTGAAATTACCTCCTACCCTAGTGTTCCCCGGAAGTTACCTCCTGATGGTCCTCGAAGTCCTCTCCTGATCTATCACTCGAAATAGTTTTCTGATCTTGATATCCTTTGAAGTTGCCTCCTGGTCCTGGTGATGTCCCTCGACGTCGCCTCCTGGTCCTGGTAATGTCCCTCGAAGTCGCCTCTTGGTCCTGGTGGTAATGTCCCTCGAAGTCGCCTCCTGGTCCTGGTAATGTCCCTCGAAGTTGCCTTTTGATTCTGGTAGTAGTGTTCCTCGAAGTCGTCTCATGGTCCCGGTGGTAGTATTCCTCGAAGTCGTCTCATGGTCCCGGTGGTAGTATCCCTCGAAGATTCCTCATGGTCCCGGTGGTAGTATCCCTCGAAGACTCCTCATGGTCCCAGTAGTATCCCTCGAAGTCGCCTCGTAGTCCTGGTGCCCGTCAAAGTTCTCAAAGTTGTCTTCTGCCTAGTCCTGATAGTATCCCTTGAAGCGAGTGGTCCGATTTCATCATCCTGAGGTTCCCTCAAAGTTCCTCTCTTGTCTGGTCCTGGTATTTCTTCAAAATTGTCTTTTCATTCTGATATTGCCCCATTAGTTTCCTCATCTATTCGCTTCACATCTTTTGCCCATGGAGATGCTCGAGCAGCTCGAAGTCGTCTCTTGATCGTGGTAATACTGTTTGATGTAGTTTCTTGACAATAATGGTGTTTATATCTTCATATAATGGGCCAATTCCTCAGATTTTTGTCCCGTTGTTTTATTTTATAATTATCAAATAAATTAAATTTCTTAACATTTTCAGACGATATATAATTCGCGATTTTCGTTTAAAATATGAACGTCTATATTAATACCATATGTAGACGTAGATGTTATAATATTGTTCCATATATCGCGACTATTTTCCTAGCAAATATAGTTCTTGCTCATACGTTCAAAAAACATGTTGTAAATGTAATTAAAATTGTTAAATTTTTGTTACATATATACTCCGAAATATTTTTTTAGAATTTAGTAATAATACAAGCTAATAAAATTCAACAGAATTAAGTAAATTTGAAAAAAATTTGTCCTGTTTTATGCTATGACGTCTAATGTTTATAAAATGCTAACTTTTATAGGTGACGTGATGTTATATAAGAATTTCATCTAAATCACTATTTACAATAAATTAAATGATCATTATCTCTTACAAAAAATTCCAATGTTGAATCTTTCCCAACGAAGCATCGATATTAGGTACTCCTAGATCTTCAATGTTGAAATTCTGTCTTCTGTATCTCGTTAAGTCCCTCGATTTAAGTACTTTTAGATCTTGAATGTGAATCCTACGAAATCTGGCATCGACATCCTATCCTCTTCTTTTACATTTTGCATCTCCTTCTTTCACATCCAAGAAAACTTGGCCTTAATATATTTTCTCCCGTTTCGTCTACATCCCCCGAAGTCCCGACGTTGATACCCTCCTTCTTCTGTATTCCTTGAAGTCCCGACGTTGATATTCTCTTCTTGTGTATCCCGTGCACTTCCACGTTGATATTCTTTTCTTTTCTGCATCAGGAAGTGCTGAGATTCGATATCCTTCTTTGTCTTTTGCATCCCACGATGTCCTATGGTGAGTACATCTTCTTCCGCGTCCCACGAAGTCCCCCGCGTTGGTGTCCTTCTTCCGCATCCGAAAGTCCCACGTTGATTCTTCTTCCGTATCCGAAAAATACCTGGTGCTCGACATCTTCTTCCGCATCCCATGAAGTCCCACGCTGATCATCCTCTTCTTCTTCTTCTGCATCCCGCAAAGTCCCCACGTTGATATCCTCTTCTTCTGCATCCCGGGAAGTCCCACGTCGAAATCCTCTTCTTCTGCATCCCACGAAGTCCCACGTCGATATCCTCTTCTTCTCCGTCCCGCGAAGATCGGCGTTGACATAATTTTTTTTTTATGCAAATCCTTCCAAGATGTTTCCGTTACTATTCTTGTACTCTTAGTAGGATTTTCTCATAATGTTGTCTAATTAAAATGAAACATCTTCCATGATGGTTACAAGTTTCGTCAAAATTCTCTCCGGTAACGTTTTGCAGTCCTATTATCCCTTTTACGATGATCCACAATAAAAATGATCCATACCACTTAGAATTTTACATCAAGTCGTGATGAAAATTCCAAATTTTTTCTATAAACCAGGAGAGTTCTACGTACATTTACAAATTATTTAGTTATACATTTTTTTTAAATACTTTCTTAAAGTTTCGTTGTGCATTTGTTCCATACTTTTGTAAAGTTTATTATTTTATACTTTGTTAATATCCGTTGCGCATTTTTTCGGAACTCTCAAAAGTTCAGTTATGCATTTTATCAACGAGTTGATGCAGTTTCGTTATGCATTTCTGTTTCCATCATTTCATTTATGCATATAGCAACAAAGTTTGTCCATAAAACTGTTGCGAAAATATTGAAAAATTATTCAATATTACCATCAGTTTTAATAATGTGGAAACATATTCTTATTTCCTGAAGTCTGGAATTCGAAAAATTTGACATCCTTGATAACGCATTTATGCGCATTGTTGAAGCGTTAACATTTTATTTTATTATTCGAAACCAAAGGTTAGAAGTACTGAAAATGCATTGCTAGATAATATTCGATGGAAAAAACAACATACTGGAATCACAATATCTAGCAATTAAATCTGAAAATTAAAGAGTAAATTTGTTAGTTCGATTCTCCGTGCAATCAACTGCCCAGATTATAAGATACATACTTTTTTAAATAAGAAAAGAGGGCGATTTTGCTGGAACTCTGCATCGATGACCCTCTACGCTGCGTCAGATTGCGAAATATCCATTCAAAGCCTGTTGAAAACCACAAGAGAAAACCTATGGCCGTCCACTCGAATTTGACACGCAACTATTACTCGTGATCCCATCGAAGAACGCAACGAACGATCCAGTTTGTGACTCCAACTCCAAACACGCGTACGATGAAAGCAGCCTCGACGTAGTTCCTTCGTTTCAAACAGGATAATGTCCCGCCAATTTCTCGCCATCAGAAGACAGGAAAAAAAGCCATGCATTTAGGAATTCCATTCCAAACTGCTTTCGAGTTATCCAACAATCAATAGAATTACGGACAAGCCAACAGACCAAACCCCATACGCAGATAGTTGGAGATTAGAAGACCAGTGCTGTATTTTGTACTTCAAATAATTGACCATCGTTCGATATTCCCAGAAGTGCATTCACCTTCCTTATTTTGCACGAATTCATACTCGAAACCGGGTTTCTAAAACACTTGGTTAGCTTTTTCGGGCGGGGAAACACTAAAGACTTGAAATAAAACAGTGTTGGTGGAACTTGATTTTGAAACAGAACAATCTATCCTTTGAACTGATATGTTCTTTAAACGAATCATTTGGAATTTGTTGCAGCTTTCTTGAATATTCAATTCACCTTAAACGTTGACTGATATATTGAATGTAGTTGTTTCGCAATAGTCGTACGTAACGCGACCAAAATTTTTTATATACAAATTGCCTTTCTTTTTAGTTAAATCGTTTTCTCATTTTCTCTTTCGAATTCTGTTTCTATGTTGCTGAACATTGTACTCTGGAATATAGCTAATTTGCATAGGATTAGTATACACCACCCCCCCCCCTCCCCCCCCCCAACGCACCCCCACTAATGGTATTTATTTGAAATTATACACAATCTATAGTTATACAAAATGAACTGCACGAACAGAAATTACAGAACATTCGAAATATTCGGATCAACAAAAGCAATCAAGCATAATACATAGCACTCAGAGCATCACCATAAATTTCGAACTAATGGCATAAAAATATTCTAATCACAAACTCTAAAGAATTGTCCATTGTGTTTTAGAGAAATATACATTGAACGATTATTCACTCACCAAAGTTTTACTACAATTAAAAGCCATTTCCTAACATACTCTTTAGGTTTCCAATACTTGTAGGTTTTTTATGCCAAGCATCATTCGATCATTTTATGCTTTGTCACCATAAAAGCTTGAGCTGTTGCATTCTCCATAAATGTGTTCTTGAATCTCACATAACCACATAAACTCAATATAAAAGGCGCATTAGCAGATAGCAAATATACACTGCAATACTATTAGAGGACTTCTTGTGCACTTATATAAACACTATGTCTGAACTTGAAAACGTAACTAATAAACCAGAACTTGTTCGCGTAACTACAGTTTCAGAGAAATACTTCTGAAGTTTATAAAAACATAAGCTTGAACAGTCCTTTGTTCCAAGTCCTTGCATAATTTAATTATATACATTCCTTTCAAGTGGATTAGAAGTACACATGTTTTTTTAAAAAGAAAAACAAACTTGTCACAATAACACTTATCACAAATTTCCTTTCAGAACATATCTGTATTAGCAAGATGGAAAAATTCTAAACGACTAACGAATCTGCAAAAGTTACACCCCACTCTTAAAATTCGTTAAAATTTAATTTATAAAAAAACAACATCTTTCTTTGGACCAAATGATAAAATTCAATAAAAAAAAAAAAAATTATGATTTGAAACTGTTACCTGATAATAGGAGCGCAGGCGACGTCGATTTTCTTGCTTTCATCGATGCATTACTTTTCATTTTAAAGCGAAAACTAACATTTTGTAGTGATTTGTTGCATATACATACTTCAGACAATAAAAACTCATCCACACAAGTGTACTTTTTCATTAATATTGTTTTCAATATTTTCAAGAGCTTCGAAAATTCTGCTAATTGTACACGATTTCCCTTTTCCTAACAGTGTGATAAAAATATTGTTCATCTAAGCAATACATACATGTATAGAGATGTATATCACAGCCACTGTCTTCCTGTGGAGTAATGGCTGAATATGGAACTCATACTTTGGTGCGATATTTTCTTGCATTTTCTGAAGCGAAGATCACAAAAATCCACCCGATAGGGTACACCCAAAGAACATTCATCGTTTAAAGATATAAATGATCCTAACTTGGAGATTGAATGCTATATGCATGTATATATATGTATATATATATATATATATATATTCAAGGCTTTATAACACTACCGTGCTCTGCTACCATGCTTCAGTTGATTTTGCAACCAAACAACTTCAAACATACGGCATCTGCTAAACTCTCTCTGTGGAAAAAGGTAAGATTGTTTTATACACCCCCCTCCCATCCCGCCATATATCTCTCAACAAATATGATCAGTTGCATAAAAATTTCTAACGAGTCATTTATAATATAACAAATGAATCCAAACTATCAATATATATTAAAAAAAATATATTAGATTGCGTCACCTGGTTGATCTAAAATACCTTATTGAAGATAGTATTAAAATTGAATTCAAAGTGGTTAATCAACACATAACATGCTCTCCTCGCAACCTCTTCTTTTCTCGTTAAACGATCGTCTCCGTATCGTCTTGAATATTTCTAAAGAATCGAATATATTGAAAAATCGACGGACTTACATTGGCACCGTAAATATAAAAATGAATGGCGGTCTTCCACTATCAAGTAATCCCGTCCGAATAGATTTCGTCCATTGCGAGAAGAGATACGTAACGGCATCGCTCCTGTAGCTCACAATAACAAAGATTGTGCATCCCCAAACCCCTACATTTTCCCCATAATACGTCTAATATTTACAGTGTATTGTTCATCATATTAAACTGTTACCTTCTTCCACGATGCCTGTATCTCTTTAAAAATGCAATTTTTTTTCTTAATATCGGAAATTCCTCACCGCAAAATACGTTCAGCATGATTATGTATCAGGATCCAGTTAGGATTACAAAGTGCATACTTTAAGATTATGAAGTGCGTGGGGGGTTGATTACACGCGCTCTTTAGCCAGTTTAGCTGAAACATAATATTTACCGCCCCCCTACGACCCCACCTGCCAAATCTTTACGTAAAGCATACTATGTTGTACCTTTGTAACATGAACGCGACACGTTCCAGCAATAGAAATGACTGCCTGTAGTTGTTTGCTTTCAGTTGAGCATCGGAGATACGAATCATTCAGGTACTCCTGCAGTATAAAACAAAAGGCATCCGGACAGAATCACCCCAAGAAGAGAACATTTAAAAACGATATGTATAAAATCGTAATATTTGATACCACGCTCCAATAATTACGAGTCGAATTCGTTTTAAGTCGTCCATTATTCAAACCTTTAGCTCATGAATGATAATTGTACAATGAATAACTTTTTGCATATATTTCCAAGATCTCTGACTCGTATGTTGACATTTCTTCCTTGTATTTAAATTACTGCAACGTTCCATTTCCGTGAAAATATCAAATACATCGTTTACGGGTTATATAACTTAGAAGTTCAAATATATCTGCCATAATCTGCCATATATCACCGCATTCCTATTGTTGTCAAAAGTGAAAGGCAACTCCACACAGCCATTTTGTACGAATGATTTTCTGCGGTAAAGAAAACTTGCTCAAAATGTCCCCCTCCCCCTTTCCCAATACCCAAAACTTAAAAAACCAAGTATATCGAGTACGTTCTTCATCTCTTGCATTAGTTTCAACTATAACGTGAACCGATACCTCTATCCTTTCCTCGTATAACTCTTCTGCATACCTCTCGTCAAGAAGCGTTATTTTACATTGATCTAGAACATATATTACAAAAATCTTCTTGTTCTAGCACCGGAAGAAAAATTCAGGAACGATCTCAGATCTGTGGAAATAATTATCCAATGGCATAACGCCCCAAAAATACAACCAGTGTAGCACTTATTAAATTATAGCAATTTCCTAATTGGTTTTGAGCCGTTTTTTTAGATTTCGCATGCTCGTATAAAAATTAGGTGTACTACTTGCGATAAGTATCTGGCCTTTCTGGGTCGTCTCGATTCGACAGACATGCAATGAATTACTCTCTCCATACCTCGGGGCTATTATCCTAATTCAAATGGGACAATATGCAGTTCTTTGGGTGCCTGGCTTAGTTGACCTCGCGTTGTACACGTCAATAAGCAGAACACGTGTATAACTTGATGGTGCAAGCATCAGGATAAACCTTTTCTGGACCTGAGAAAACACGTTTGCACAGGTAACGGACAAAAGGGAGTAGCTCACCAAACAGGGCTCAAGTTTGCTGCCGTTTTTCGTAGTGAGTCTGTGTATCACGCGCCAGATGACTTTGGGACTAGTCGGATGCTTGGTTGAGATACAGAAGTGCGAACGTAAGGTGTTTATGTGTGACTTGATCGCCGTGCAACTCTCAGCCGCAACGCTTCATGCGCGAATTTCTAGAAACAAAGACTTCGCCCCTTTCCTCATCCCATACTAATATGCCTCTCACCACCACTCCTCTCATCTCACTCTTATTGGTTTTACAGATAGGCCAATGACGTCGCCGATGACGAGCAACAGCCTGGACGACATGTGTGCGGATCTCTTGAGTGCGATAGAATTTTGTAAGGTGTATGCCAGACTGAAAAGGATTTTCGGTATTAATAATGGTGAATTAAGTGATCGTACAGAATAAATTGTCAATTATTTTTTTTTAACATTTATTCCTTCAATTCTCTGCTCCTCTTCTGCTGTATCACAATATTTACAAAAGAATTTTTAAATTAACACTGCATATTATACAAAGTCTACGCACGAAGTTTTTTCATCCTTTGGAATAACTTAAACACAGTCAGTACTATTCGTTAAATCTATAAAATAATTTAAAATAACTGTACAAATTTGTTTTCTAAAATTATAACGCTTTCATACAAATGCACATTAATCAATGGAACTGCAGTATTTCTGTAAAAGTAAAATTAGCCGAAATCAAATTGCTCCTCAAACACGTCCTTTACAAATTTTGTACTTCCATCATTGGTAAACATTACAAGAATATTGCAAAGAGAATGCATTGGTTCCGATACAGTTTACAAACCAAACTGGTGAATGGCGTAGAGACTAGAACATGGAATCCCCGTTCCCCTGTGGTACAACCAGCATCACTGCAAACAGCAACTCCCTCCGCCTGTCCCATTGCCATCTCAAACGGCGAGACTGCAAGTAAAAAACACCCAGATATACACCAGGATAGTGATGTAAACTTCTAGTCCAGCGGCACCAACATAATATTATGTTGTACCGCCTATTGGTATCGTGACTTCGTCTGGCTGCCGTTAGTCAACGTTTGAAGTACTTCATTGACAAAGCTGCCGATGATCTTCGAAATCTGGATCTCTCAGAGACGTCCTTAGGTTTTTCAGACCTGGTCGCCAATTTCTTTTAAGTTTCTTCATCGTTGCAACGGTATTTTGATCTCGCCCAATTTGGACATGAAATTGTCCAGGCTACTCAACTCGGGGCACAACGGCCCCTGCCATGGATTCTCTTGATACGATTTAAAGTTTCTTATGTTCTCGACGTTATAAAAACCGCAACTCGAATAACCAGCCTCTTTCAGAAATTGCTTCTTGAACTGCTGCCATTTTGAGATCCTGGTCAGTTGTTTGCTTCGTAATTCGTGTTCCGCCTTGAAGAGAGCACTGGTCAGCACCGCCTCGACACGCAAATCGCGTTTGCGATTACGACGACACATCAGTTTCTTGCATCGAACTCTACTGATCCAATTAGCCAATTGTTCAGTGTGACTTGGTTTGTCGATATCGATCTCCCGAGGTCTCGTCGTAGCCACCATGATGATCCGATTGTTATTAGCTTCTTCGATGACATACGTGTTACCCCGATAGTCTTCTCTCCAACGTTGACGCACAGTACAAACCGTTTGGATGTTAAAATTTCTCGAAAGATAATAAACTAATTCAAAGCTGATAATATAGTCACGCTCTCTCGCGGTTTTTTTTAAACTTTTTCACCTAAATGTTGAATAAGTAAGAGAGACACCAACCTGCATCTGGCTCGTGTTTCTTCTCGAACGACGAAAGAAAGTCTTCGCGATTACAAAGAGAAAAAACTTTAAACTAGCGAGCAAGATACAACCTCCACCGTTTGAAGATGACTCAGGAAATGCCAGGGCTCCGCCAGTTGGGGGGATCTTATATACCCCCAAGCTCACCACTATGTGGTGTCCTTACGCGCGATCAATAAAAAATAGTCCCCTGCAAATCCTTTGATTTACGTAATTTTCATGTAATATTTGCAAAATAAGTTCGATTAATTTACTTTCTAATACGCGTCTAACGATTTAAAAGTTACATTTCTCATAAAATTTGCATATTCGTTAAAATTCTTCGATTCTAGAAACTAATTTACAGCGTAGGAACGCGTCGCGCGGTCGACTCACCCCCCATCAATCGCGTGCCTTCTCGGGTAACGTCATATGCTCTTCCGTTGCAGATAATTCTCAACGTTGCCAAGTTTCTTCGCGTCATTTCGATCAATATTGTTACCTTCGTTATTTCTATCGTATCTTCTGAATTTTTCAATTGATTTTGCATATTATAAGTTACAAATATCGTCACATTTTCAGAGACGAGAAATAAATATATTATATAATTATTTAGAGTTTGGTTTGATTCCGTTACACCGCTACATAAATTAACGATGCAACGTTGAAGAACGTAATTGTGATATTCCTAAATTATACAGTAAAACAAGTTTATTTTAGAACGTAGCGCTTATACGATGATCTTATTATAATTTGTAATAAAATGAAGTGTAAATTTCGATAATGCTATGGAAATACAAAAAGAAATTACGTTTAATGCTTGTACACAAGTAATTCGCTGCTTTTTAAACAATCTCTTTAAACAAAAAGTATAGAGGAAAAAGTTGAATGGCTTAATAATGTCCATTTTTCTACAATTTCACCTTTTTCATAACTCTTTCTAATTTCATAGCTAGCCTTATACATACTACGTAGAAGCCACAAAACGTGGCAACGCTGTTAAGGGTAACTGTGTATTCATCCAACAAATGTATGAATAAGGAAAGGACGCTTTCCTTTCTGCGTATTTGTATTCTTTTATAAAAGGAAAGATCACGTTTACTGAACATACAAAAATTTAAGACCTAAAACGCAACTGAATAAAAGAATAATTTTTAAATGCTTTAGTTTGTAACAAAATTCCTAAAATAAAGTATGGAAATGAATTCTAACTGTTAAAGTTGTATTTAATCAAATGAAATTGATTAAATTTTATACAAGAGCTCAAATTTGTATCTATTTGTTTGATTTATTATTCATGGATCAATATCATAGGTCTCGCTAAAATGCGCATGTGATCCATGCATCTTTTACTTTACTTATTATGATGTACTAAAGTTTGTACGAATTAGGTATATACAATATGACTAACGAATGACGCAGAAAGAATACGTTCCAAAACGTTTGTGTATTTAGCTTTCTTGGAATGTATAGATAGTGTTTCATCGCTATTATTATGATTCTATTTTTATAGTTATGCCATTATAATTTAATTATACCGTACACATGCAACAAAAATATAACTAAATCAAATTATTAGGGTCAAAGATTGAAGATTAATAAGAACAATAAAGTTTATATGTTGTCCTTTTCCTCATTATTTTATTGATATCAGAGATAAATTATATATTAATGAGATATACAGTGTACAATGCAATAAATAATGCAATGATTTATTGTTAAACATATTTATTGTATACATAATTTTCATGTTAAATATAACAAACAATCAAATATATATTAATCATTTTAGTTTGTATTTAAATAATACGTATATATTTCCTGTTCATGTAATAAAGAAACAACAAATTGAGAAATAATAATAAATTACAAATATGAAAAAAACACATGTAGTATAACTATGTATGTACATATTTATAAGAAACATTCGATGTTATTCTTTGACTATTTCAGTGGCACAATGAATTTGTGCAAATAGTACAAAAAATATAAATATTTGTACTTATTTAGTATAGAAACAATACAATTATACACAGAAATAATTGCTTTGTATCTATTCTGTTTAGTATATGGAAATGAATAAAAACTATTTATTCACATATATTCTACAGGAACACTTGCAAATTTTATCAAATTATTTTTTTCAATGAACACAATTAAAGTGTGCTCTAAAAAATATTTAATTACATCATTAAATTAACTACATGTTTGATTTACATAAAAATATTTTCTACCTAAAAAGAGCTCTTCTTAAAAAGCATAAAATTCATTTTTCATAAGTGATTCTATAGATTCCTTTATATCAAAATTTAATGTTCCTAAATACACATAATATAGCGATAATTTGAAAAGTATCCATTGTTTAGCTATGGAAACTTTCCATCTTGCCCATGTATTGGTGCATGATTTCAATTTTTCTTCATACACAGAATGTATACAGCATTTTGACATCTCCATCATGCCTGATTTTCTAGATTCTGTTTTCAAGGAATATTCTATGCAACGCATAAGATCATTTGTTTTAAGAATCAGTAACATTTGTCTATTCACTCTTTCCAGTACATCACTGATTTGTGGTAGCAAGTTTGGTATTTCCTTTTGAAATTCTTCTTTTTCTTGCATATCGTATTTGGTTTTCTGTACACCAGCCATAATTGTATTCCAAGATCTGCCCGATACCATGCAAGCCAGTAGCCCATACAAGTCTGCTACACCTAATTTAGCACAATGCATTTGCATTGCAGATTTATCACCATCTAATATTGCTAACCAAAGTTTAGAGTATTCTACTCTAAATTCATTAGAAAGGTTTGCATACAATCCATGATCTAGAAGTATAATTTCTGTTTCATTATTTTTTTTCCTAACTAAGACATTACCAGGATGCGGATCGGAGTGTACAAAGCCCACAATAAATATCATATGACTGTAAAGCCGTCCCAATTTGCTGCTGACTTCGTATGGATTTAAATTATTGTTTTGAATATATTTCAAATCATTGACTTGTCCTCCTTCTACAAATTCCATTGTTAGAACACGACGTGATGATATCTCCCAATATATTTTTGGAATTTTCAACCAATGGTAATGTGAGAATATTCTTTGAATTTTCTCAGCATTTTTTCCTTCTTGCGTGAAGTCCAATTCTCTAGGAATGTTCTTTTTGGTTTCATCAACAAGCCAATCGAATTTAAAGTCAGGGAAGACTAACGATGTTAATTTTACCAAAACTGCCATAGTCTTTATATCTACGTAAGAATTAGTTTTGACCGCACGATGTTGAATTTTGACAGCAACAACATTACCATCTTTTAATACAGCTCTATGGACTTGTGCTAAACTGGCAGTACCTAAAGGTACAGGGTCAATACTCTCAAATATTTCATAGGGATCCTTTTTGAAGTCTTCTTTAATAACAGTAATTATATCTTTAAAAGACGATTGTGGTGCTGAACTATGCAATACTCGCATAGTATTAACATATTCTGGTGGCAATAAATAATCTAAAGCACCAATATGTTGACCTACTTTTATATAAACACCTTTGTTGGCACAGCAAAGCTCTAGAAGTCTTTCTGCTCCGTACTTGTGTGCTTTTGATTTTAAGTCCTGATATTCCGGAGTATTTCGGTTCAATTTATTTGCATATAATTCATTCTGATAATGTCTACCTATTATAAAAACAGTAACCGCGGCACGTCCTAGACGTACAATTCCTATAGATCCAAGATCGTATTCATTTGCTCTCAAGGATGCTAAAGTGCCTAATCCGATTACTCCAAGTGCAGCTGTTTTTAATAACCTCTTAGACATAAACATTGTGACTAAAAAGAAAATGAAATAATAAAATTTTTGTTTGATTTGTACCATCAAGCTGAAATTAAATATTATTTATACAAACGTTTCAAACATGACAGTTTATAACCTACCATTATATAAACTTACTTTAAAAGTATAATTGAAATTCTTCTTGCTTTGACGAGCCTTTCTTACACGATTAAAATACGATTATTAATGAAAAGTTATGTAATACACTTGTAATTTCTGATTCAGAAATTGTTTATCAAATTTAAAAAGAATATAATAACCTAAGCTATTTACACATCAAAAGTATTTTTGGAAGTTTGCATTACAAAATTTGTATTTGTTAGAATGTTTTAATCTTTTAATTTTTGCTTCAAAAATATCCAGTTAATTTCATCGAATATTTCCTTATATATTTGTTTTTTCTGGAAAAGTGACATGATAACCTGTTTCCATTCATACACTATTAACCTTCAACCACGTGGAATAACCGAGAATTTGCATAAAATCAAAGTATCTTCTTACATTTTCAAATCTTTTCATATTGTTATTATATAAAATATATTACTCACCGAACGTGTTCAATATTTCAAGCGAATTATTAAATGTGTTGTCTTTTGTTAAAATGTTAATAAAAATTTTATGAACATTTCTTCATCAAAATTATATAAATCATTTACAGTTAAGAGTAGAATGTATGAAAGTAGTATTTATTTTTATTTTTTATGTTTAATACTGTAACTGTTTGTAATCAACAACTATGTAAACAGAGTATAATAAAATTATATTTACACTTACATTCTAGATTACTTAATTATACATCATAAATATTCATTATCGAAATCTTTATTACAAAAATAATAGTCATACTATATTATTACATGTACAAATATTTGTGTGAATTGTAAAAATATTATTGGTTCACTGTTGTACCAGAAGCATGTTCTATCAGAGTTCTCTGAAATAAATCCCGTTAGTTTAATTAATATAAAATCATGAATATCGCATACTTTTAGTAATCTATATTGTTATATATGTTACCTTTATCATTGGAACAGCATTTGTTAATTGTAATCCTAAACTTCTAACTAAGACAATAGGAGCCGCTGTTCCTTTGTACAACCTATGTAACATGTCAATAGCAAACATTGTTGGAACATTATATCGTTGTCTCAAAGTTTCGTATTTCTTTAGATACATCATATCGCCTAAAACCGCTCCATTTATAACAGCTTCCGCAAGTAGCTGAACCAATATCGTAATATCTCCGAAACCTAAATTTACACCTTGACCAGCCATTGGATGGACTCTGTGTGCTGCATCTCTGAAGATTTCGTATACAATTATTGGTGGATATTTTATGTAAAAATTACTTATACATTATATAATGCAAACGTCACATTAATACAAACTTACCATAATATATATTTAAAGTATTTTTAATGTTATTTGTTTACTCACCCTACTAACACAGTTCCTGTTTGAACATAGGACACCGAATGGCCAAACTGTAAAGGAAAAGCTGCCCGTGATCCTTCTATAATAGCTGATATCGACGGTTGTAATTGTCTCATTACGCCGGTTTGTAAAGATAAACCTTCAAGTAATTGTCGAAGTGCTTGCATACCACTTTCGACCATACCGTCCTTTGGATAGATTTTCCATAAAGCATTGTTTATACTATCAACAAATTCTTCTTCTGAAACTTTTAAAAGTTTTTTTGCCTCATCCGTTGGCAGAGACCATACAAGAGAACTAAGAGAATCTGTTAACTATAATAAAATTGGAATCAGTGTAATAAGTTTTTAATTAATCTTCATTAATTTGTAAAAATATAAAAATTACTGGGAGTAGTGCTATTGGTCCTGTTGGTAGAAATCTCTGCCATGCAACAATATTTTCTGTAGGCTGAAACAAAAATGTAATTAATATAACTTGGAAAGATGCAGTACTTTTGCGATAATATAATTCTTACTTCTGATAATTTGAGAGTAGCAACTACACCTAATTGATTGTAATCCCAGTTCACATATTGAGTACCCATAGACTTTCGTACTAATGAATTTGTACCATCTGCTCCTATCTATAATAAACGTTTATTAAGATGAAAATATTTTAATACGGATGAATAATACGAATCAAATTTATTGTATCGTTATACTGAAGGGAAATTGAATATAAAGTTATGGGGGTACTTTGTTGGAGGAAGGGGAAAAATTAAGAGAGACTAGCAATACGTCTGAAAATAACTTCAGTTCTGTGCCGCGTTTCAATGGAAGTACTGAATGTACTTTTAAACTTCTTTACAACCCAGTCTTAGAAGAAATATTTACTTTCGATATATAACACTTTCCTTACACTTTTGATACTCATTAAATATTTAAATTTCATAGTGTTGTACACATGTCAAGTATATATTATTGTATTTCAGTAAAAGAAAATAATTCAAGAATACATCTATAATTTAAGGCTTTGACTTACTATATTTTTATTTCATAAACTTTAAAATATACTATACAACTGTGCACATTAATGACATCATGGCAAGAAAATAGGATACAAAAATAATTGTTACCTTTAAAGGATGTTATTATCAGTTAGATAAAGAAGTAATTTATCTTGGAAGTAATTATACAAAGTGTTAGTAACTATTAGTACTACTAAGCAGTAGAAGAAATATTCTATAAGGAAAACATTTTGTAATAGGAACTTTCCTCTTGCTATACACTTCCACCAAGTAGTGGAATCTAAATATATGCCAGTTGTGTTTTATAAACATCAAGGAACATGTGTGGTCTTACTCTAAACTTAAAGATGAAGGCAGATGGTGCATAGTATGCAAGTATTAGAAAGCTATAAATTTACATACATTAAAATACAGAAAACAACATGATTAATACAATTATTTAGGTCATTAAATATTTATTGAAAAAACAAGAAGAAATGAAGTAAGATGTCAAATCTAAAGAAAAGATCTCTTCTACATAGATGTTTAAGTAATCCCGTTTCTCAAGATGAATTAAATACAGCGAATACAGTAACAACACCCTCCATCATTATTAATGATATAGTAAGTATGATAGAAGAGGTTGAACGTTCTTTGTTTAATATAAGTAATTTTAGGAAGATTGTGAGCATATTTGGATGACAAATATGAAAGAAAGTAGTATAAGTTCTGAAGACAGCTCTGAGTCTATTGCCTATCATATAAGAGAAAGACAAATAACAACTCTGCTACCATGGAGCAAAGAGGAGATTGTTTTGGCACTATCTAATCTTCCAGCAGGAGAACATGCACTTTCTGTTATTCCCACTCTTCATGGTGACACTTTGCATAAAGTCCTAAATGAATTTTTAAATACCGATTATAACGATGAAACGAGATTGAACATTGAGAAAAGTTTTACACCTTCATTTGTAAATGGGTAAAATGATTATTGAATTAACAATCAAGCAATTATAACGAATATAATTCGAATTCCGTTTAATATAGATGCTCACAAAATGCATTAACCATTGAAAATGAAGCAGCAGCAAATGCAACTATTTTACAGCTTTTTATGAGATGGCCAAATACTTGTCTTCTAATTGCTTGCTATATGGGCCATGTAGAAATAGTAAAAGCTTTATTGAACAAAAATGCAAGAGTTACAGCAAGGGATAGCGACGGCAGGTATGAAGTAAAATAATAAAAAAATTTCATTTCAGAGAAACTATTTTTCTATGTTATAGGACACCATTACATTTGGCCGCTTGTGCGGCCTCGGTAAAAATTTTAGAAGAGTTATTAAAGCACGGTGCAAATCCATGCGAGTGGGACTTTAATAAAAAATGTACACCATTGCATTGTGCTGCTGCTAGAGGAAACATCGCTTGTGTTAAATGCTTAATAAAGTCACAAGCGGATGTAAATGCTGGATTGTTTGGCAAAAGCCCTTTGTACTATGCTGTTTTAAGTAATGCAGACGACTGTGTTGAAGCTTTACTGCAAGTAGGTGCCTGTCCTAATAATCCACAGGTATCTCCATACGAATATTACTTAAAATATTTAAAGCACTTTACTTATAATCCAACTTTTCATTAATATTTCAATGAACGACAATTAAACAGGTTTATACGGAAACACCATTGCATGTAGCAGCGGGTTTAGGTTCGGTTACATGTACAAAATTATTATTAAATTATGGGGCAGATGTAAGAGTTCAATTTGGTTCGACGAGGTCGACTCCGTTACATTTAGCAGCAGAGGAAGGCAGCATAGAATGCACAAAATTATTGTTAGACGCTGGTGCCGCATGCGAGTCAAAAAATGCAAGAGGTCAAACACCCCTACACCTGGCAGCCTTGTCTCAATCTGCAGAAACTTTAGATATACTCATAAAATATGGTGCTAAAGTGAACATAGAGGATAATGACGGCCGTACCCCATTGCATGCTGCAGTTGCAAAAGCTACTAGAGGAATAGAACTGGTCAAGATTTTAATACAGGTTCATATACCGATTAAAAAAATTATCTTAAAATCCTGTAACTGTTCAAAACTGTATACTTTATTTTATTTTAAAAGGTTGGTGCTTTGATTAACAAAGCAGACAAATATGGCTATACACCCTTGCACATTGCGGCGTTGAACGAAAGTTCATCAACAGTGATGATGTTATTATCAAATGGAGCAGATGTTACTGCTAGAACAAAAGGTGGAATTTCTGCATTAAGTTTTATTGTGCGCAGAACACCGGATATATTACCGCGATTCATTTCACGTTTAGACCAAGCTATATCTTTACATGACCACGAATTGGGTGATGTTGATTGTGAATTAAGATTGGACTTTAGGTCATTGGTGCCTGGTGGCAGGGGAGAGACAGATTTAATGCTGTGCCTTGTGGAAGTCGGGCAAAGACATGTATTGAAACATCCTTTGTGCGAGAGTTTTCTCTATTTGAAGTGGTTAAGGATTCGTAAATTTTTTTTACTAAGTTTGATATTTCATTCCATTTTTGTTGCATTTTTTACAGCATACATTGCAGTCACATACTTTTGGAACATTGAGAAACTTAACAAAATACTTTTCTGGCCGGTATTGATATTTACTATAACGCTCGCGAGCAAAGAATTTTTCCAAATAGCACATGGTATATGGTGTTATATCAAAAGATGGGAAAATTGGCTTCAATGGAGCGTTATTTTAATATCGGGTATAGTATTAATTATGCCAACCCGTGATTGGCAACATCATGTAGCTGCTTTAGGTATTTTACTAATTTGGATAGAATTAATGATGGTGGTTGGGAGATTTCCAATGTTCGGCCTTTACATACAAATGTTTACTCAAGTGTCAATTAATTTTTTCAAATTTCTTGGTGCTTATATATGCCTCATAATAGGTTTCTCTTTAGGATTTAGTGTATTACATAAGAATTATAAATCATTTACTAATCCTTTGGTTGGTTTGTTGAAAACAATTGTAATGCTGTCTGGTGAATTAGAATTTGAAGATGTATTTTTTGATGACGATGCACCAGTATTATATTCTGGTACAGCTCACTTAATGCTTTTAAGTTTTGTTATCTTGGTTACAGTAATTCTGACAAATTTAATGATGGGCCTTGCTGTATCAGATATACAAGAACTCAGAAGATGTGCGGGATTAGACAGATTAGTACGCAGAGCAGAACTAGTAGCACACTTAGAGAGTATGTTATTTTCTAAACTTTTGGACCATGCTCCAAAAAGATTAATGAAAACATGCAGGCATGGAGCACTTCTCTTACATCCACCACATCATTGTGCTATTCATATACGGCCTAACGATCCCCGTGAAAATCGTTTACCGCGGGAATTGATAAAAGCTATTTATCGCTTAGTAACCGAAAAAAGAAATCGAAATACAACCATAAAAACTACATCCAGACATAGTACGAATAATACCGAAGCCAGGAATTCTAAATTAAGTAGACTTTGTAGTACAACATCTACGAATGATAATAATCAACAGCAACTGAGTGAATTAGTTGTTGAATTACAAAGATATTCATATAATATTGGTGCACGTCTAGATAATTTAACTAACAAAATAGAAAGCCTTATTACAGATTACAGTAATTGACTAAACTACATAATGTTTGATATATTACATTACCATTATACTTTTTAGTTACTTACCAATAATTTGGTACTATATTTTTTTCCATTTTGTAACTGTATCTCTGCATCGTCCCCTTGTAGTTTTGGCAATTTAATAGCTTCAACTTTGGAGTTATATACTACATTCACATTGTTTTTATCTGCCAATTGTTTGTCTACAGCATGTAGTAATAAATCATTTTCAACTATGTAAGCAATTTCTTGTGATAAATAATCTTCATTGAATTCGATCATGGCATTGGAACAAGCATCCCAAACCTACTGAAGATCTTATACTTTAATTGGAACAATTATAACATTATTATAAGAGCTAAAACATTATAAATATTTTTTATATTTAGGTCCTAGTTCTTGTTTTAAATTTTTATGGTACCTGCATCTTGCGAACTGCGCAACATCGTGTTGCTTCTATATGTTGCCAAGCTCCTATACTTGAAAGCAAAGTACGTGTCTGTTGATTTAAAGCAACTACACGATTGGAATATTGTTCTTGCAGTTTATATTCATGTTTTTTGCCACCTTCTAGTAAAAGGATGCTCTTGTTTTCAAGTCTTCTATTGTTTGCTATTTTCGAAATGTAAATAAATATTCACGTCGAGAATCTTTTGTAATAATTATCAATAATTTAAAAATAGAGGAAAATACTAACCTATTGCACACGCAAGTGTAGTTCCAACCATGCCACCGCCGGTTATAATAATATCGTAATTCTCATTGTTTTGCGTAGCTGCGCATCTATGTCTTGTTATAATTGTTGTCGCATTAGAACCTATACATCGTTGTGAAATTGGTCTTAAAATCCCACAACATGTCATTGCATTTACAAAGGTCGCCATTTTTAAAGATTTGGTATTGCATGTCAGATATAGTTAAATCACTGACATAGGATACTTTGAGAAAAAGACTTTTAACATCAACGAATTTATAAGGACTTAACTATGAATTAAATTTAATTCATATCAGAAAGATGATCATGTATTTTAGATTTTAAAGGATCATCGAACATGTAATCGATTATATTTGAATCATTATGAGTAATGATTTATTCGTTTCAAAATAAATAGAGTTTATCTAGAAAAATTTGAATTATTTTACTGTCATATCGGCTTTAATAATTTTTAGCTGTTTGCTATGCAAAATTCGTCGCTAGTAACGTTTCTTCTTGTTCACCATGGTGACGAATACATCGGCGAAGTTACATTGATCTTTTCTAAGAGTTGCTTTTGCATTGTGGTTGAAGCGTCTCAAAACAAAGAACGTTTAAAACGAAGTTTGTTGTAATTTCGATAAATATAATAAAAACATATATTGTAGAACAACAATGAATTAACAATAATGAATTAATCTTTTATTTTTAAATTTTTCCGCCAATAATGCAACAGCTAATACTGCACGATTAAAGTAAATGTTAAAATAAGAATATAGGCAAGTATTAATATTCATTTGTTTAAGAATTATATAAAATCGTTTCTCGTACACGTAAAAATGAACACAAAAGTTGTTATGATCGAAATTTGAGAATTTGTTTTGTAAAATATATTGATCCAATTGGTGAGCATCGAAATTAAATGCGCGGGATTTATAATACCTCTTAAACCGTTACAATATTGAGCTGGGTGTTTAAATTCAATTAATTATTTAAAAGAAAGATGAGAGTAATTATAATATTCCTGTGTAATTGAATCTGATGAATGTTTCTAAGACTTTAATATTCTGTTGTCTATAATTATGGATGTACAATTGATAATGCAATTACTTTAGTAGGCAATGACAGAGCACAGGGGCACATCTTTTTACAATTCCTGTGTAAAAGTTCCAGTGGATCCTTATAGTAGACAGCCAACACCTTCTTATGAACGTCCTATGGTTACAAAATGTAACAATAACGATAATGCTGATAAGATATGTAAATTAAATTTTGCAACAGATGATCAATTTGTCAGTGACTCGGAGATATCAAATCCTAGAGAAATAGTCGACAACTTTCTAGAATTTCTGGGAAGTATACCAGATTACGGTCAAGTCCATCATTTAACAAACGAACAATTTAAACAAAAAGTAGATTATTTAAAGAGGAAACAAAAGTTATTATTAAAAAATTTACAAAACTCACTCAATGATCGTAATAATGGAAATGTATCCAGATTTTCAGTATCAAAGTACAATCAACGGTCAGAAACCAAAAGCAGAAATGATATCAATAACTTGAAATTAAATGGCAAAAAGTGTTATTTTGTAGAATCCAGAACAACCAGTCCTATGCTTTTCCCTTCTGGTAAATTTATTGGACTTGTAGAAGATCAAGATCTATTAACAAACAGGTATATATTTAAGTACAGGTGAGTTTGTTTTACTGGTTTTAGATTCTAATTTTGTTTCCATGCGTCTAGATGTAAGCAAAAAGACAAGGAAGCTAAGACAATATGTAATGAAAAAATACACTTGGCTGATAATAGTTGGAGGACATGGAATAAATCAAAGAGCTATGATAGTATAGAAAGTGATACAGAGAGTGTGGAGACAAGAAGCTTGCCAGCTAGTAGCTCAAAGGAATGGCATCCTACTGTTCCTAAGCCATTCAGTTTCACTCTGAGGTAACATAGAAGATACATTTCTTGCGTTAATAAATTGAAAATATAATTAGAGAACCTACATGGTAAACATTCTAGGGAGGAAGTGGAGAAGTACATGGCACATGCTGAAACAAAGGAACTGGAATGCAAAAACGTTAATAACAAAAAAAGTTCTTATAGAAAACGTCATATAAGACCAATTCCCCTTACATCTAAAATTCCACTTTATAACAAATTATTAGCTGAGAAAGAAGAACGGTTCGTTTTTATCTATATTTTACATATTTACATTGGTTCTGTCATGACACATAATCATGTATGTATACTCTTTTGTGCCTGTTTTTTTAGGAGTCGTATGATCCGCGAAGAAAGCGTCTTAAATTTGATGTCTCAAGTACGCCCCTTTAGGCTCGAGTGTGACCGTCGAGCCTGGAGATCTTTAACAAGGTCTAGCCCGGAAATTCGTAGCAAAAGCGTTAGCGCGTGTATGAAATTCAAGGCTAAACCTGTACCAAAGAATCTCTTTAGTACCGACATATATGACCGTATGCTTGAAGACGAATATTACAGGTCAATATAATATGTAAAATATTGTTTGTAAATTGATCAATGTAAAAATGATTAACGAGAATTGACAGTAATTTCCAGACAACTGCAGAAAAGAGTAAGGGCAGCGGAATTAATGAAGTCTTCTTCTTTACCTCCGTCAATGGCAAGACGAGAACGCGTCAAGTCCGCGTGCACGCGTTTACAGAGTACAGGCAAGAATTGTAATGAAAGTAATGAGAGTAAAAACTCCTCGCAACTGTCGAATAATACATCAATGCCATTAGAAAGGTGTAGATCAGCGATGTCACTTTTACCACTGCGAGGAAATAATTTAGCAGCAATTTTAAGATGCCAAATGTCTCGGTACCGCAAAACTGTTTATAATTTCAGCGATCATATGCCTTATGTACAATTTGAAGGCAGAAAACAAGCATTCTGATATTGATGTTGTAGAGAAAAATTAGAACGTGAAATAAGAGAGAAAATGGAGGCGAAACGGCGAGAGCAAGCGATAAGAATGAGAGAATCTATGATTGGGCGAAATCCGGTGTGGAGAGCTTTGAGGTCCGCAGCAAGGTACGACTATTTTGAAATAAAATTGCTACGTGGTTAACTTTATCAACATAAAATACTATAGTAAAATTAACTTATAAGACACGAACATGAGAGAGATCTCGATATTCGGACTTCTCTGCGTCGCGATGAAGCGCTCGAACAAGCGGAGCGTCATCGATTGCAGATGGAGATGATGTTGGATCGCGTGACTCAAATACCAACTCTATTCGAACGTCACTCTCAGGTGAATAAAACTTATTCTCATCCGAATGAACACCAAGAAATGGAGAATTTATGATAATGCTTTTCTAGACTTATCAGTCCTTCATAAAGACGCGACAGAACGATGGCCGGAAATTTTCGCAACGGAAGAAAAAGAAAAAGCAACCTTGTCAAAAATCATGTAGCATAGATTCGTACATCGATTATGAAAACATTTCCAGGCCAGATTCTGGATCATTGATTAGTTCTTCTGGAACGCTCGTGTCCACGAGTCAATCGTCGAAGTCATCGGATACATCTAGATCGCATGCTTCTGACAAGTCTCTGACTAAATCTCAAAGTTCATTTTCTAAGAAGAAAGGCGATCGTGGCCAATTAAAAGTTTCTATAAACGAGACGGCGGAACTAATCGAGGATCAAAGTGAAAACGATACGTTACATAATAACGCAAGTGTTTCCAAAGACGATCGTAATGAACATAAATTCCAAAGCGACGAGCACGATACAGAGGGATAGTGATCGGGTACGTAATTGTAAATTTTAGTCAATGCTGATATACAGGGTGTACGGCCACCCGTGGGAAAAATTGTTTCATACGTTACCGGTAAGTTTTCTAACCAGACATCGCATCACGTGTACTAAAATAGAAATTCAATCTACGATGATTTATTGTAACATTGTTATAAAAATTTAGAACGAGAAAATGTCGCATTATACGATGCGATCAATACATGCGATCATGTACGCCCAAATGCTTTGATATATAATAAACGTGGCTTGAAATTTGATTTGTTGCTCGTATTTAAAAAATATGTCAAGTCCTTAGCTCTATAAATGCAGTATTAACATTTTATTAATAGAATATGTTACTTTACGGCCTAATAGTATTTAGAATCCAGTCCATGTAATATTCAAGCTTGGTGTAAACTCCGGGTACTCCATCCGTGCCACATTCCTTAAGTCCGAAGCTAACGATCCCGTACTGAACGTATTTCACATTACTGTTGTACGCTATTGGAGCTTGAAGCGGCCCACCGCTGTCTCCCATGCAAGAGTCCATGCCTTTCTTACCACCCGCGCAGATCTGTTTGTACCAGATTTGTGCCTTTCCGCTGTACGTTTTCGCGCATTCCGTGGTATTAATTGGCGTTAATTTTACTTGCAGCAACGTTTGACTACGTGGTCCAAGTTCCGTCGCACCCCAACCAGTCACCGTTACCTGTCGATCGTAAATGGAAATAAACAATATCAACCATAAGAACAAGAATAGAAGAAAGATATATTTATTCATGAGAAAACCGCGTTTACTTTTTTTTGATTGAAGGTAGCGATTGGTCCGATCGGCATGCAAATTGGTCGCACGTTCTCGGGCCTGAAATCAGCGTCTCCGTTCAACCGAAGGAGAGCAACGTCGTTTTGCAATTTCGTTCTCGAATATTCCGGATGAAAGTGGACGCTCTCCAAACCAAAATCTTGGTATCTCTCGGCGCAGGCGATCTCGAGGCCATTCTCGTCTCTGTCGCAGTCGCGTTCCGTGGTCAGATCGTGCTCACCGATCCGTACTCCGATCAACGTGAGGCCTAAAAGTAACATCGAGGCAAATAACATGACGTCTATTGCAATCTTAACAACGTTTGTTTTCTTATTATCGGCTGGATACGATTTACGTACTGTTGGGTAACGATGTAACGCAATGAGCAGCGGTAAGTACATATCGTTTGTTGATCAGCGATCCTCCGCATCGGAATTCCGGGATCTGTCTGCCGGTGTCGTAAGCAATTAACGCCATCCACGGGAAATCAAATACGCCAGTCTTGTTACCGCCAATGATTTTCGGTATCGTTGCCGGTCCGCATACGTCTTCGTTCAGCAGCCGTAGATTCGGATGATTTGAAACGTCGGGTGGGTCGGTGACTTCGATGAACGGAGTTGGGTTTTCCGTAACAGTTACCTGGATTTACAATCGTTCTTTTAAAAAGTTCAACTAAATCAGAGGCACAAGTACGCTTACCTGTTGCTCGCAGCACACTTTGGGATTTTTGCCCTCGAAGCCGCACTGCAAGCTGTTCAAATAGTTCAGCACATCTCTCGACAGGGGTTTTTGTTGTTCGAAAATTTTTATCACTTGTCGACAACTGTATATATTAACGCATTCGCCGGGTTTGTTCTCCGGCGTGAAGCACTTTTCTTCTGGAAAAAAAGAAGCCACATTTTCAGACGATATTTCATCATTCGTCGAGTCGTTCGTATTTAAATTTGTAGAGAGACATTATTTCGATGTTACCGCTATTTACGACGCGAAGTCGTAATGTTGATGTTGGATTAGTCACAAACAAAATACATGTACCGTGCGACTAATATTAGGTATCGCTGCGATAAGGTCACACCGATATAAAGAATCTGTGACATTTTAATCTCGGGAAGCTGGTGTATACAAACAGTGATTTTTTAAAATTCGAATGCCATAGTGCGATAAGAAGAAAAATATTTATCTATGTTCTGGAAGCGAGTTCTCTCTTGAATTGCGTATACATTAGCTTATATCGATCAAAGAAAAAACGATATTTTGCGAGCACCAAAACTTATACTTAAAATTGATTAAACGCAGTACAAAAATTAGAGGTACGCGGGTGAATTCAGAATCAACGATTTCACGGTGTTAACGGCTCAAAATGTTCGCCGTCAAATTGGTGGACGGTTTTTTTCGTTTGCCCGCGAAATTTTCGATTACGTGTTTACAAAATTTTTTACTCACGCGCAGTGGTCTCGTGCAGAATCACAAGTACAGACAACAGAACGTAACGAATCACGTTTGTATCGAACATGTTTTCCCGTTTTTCGAAATTGATTCAAAGGGTCGTTTCTTTCGCACCGTAATACGGACGATATTGTATGTATGTTCTCGTAAGATCGCGAGGAATCACACGCGATTGTTTCTCTCGTCGATGTTTCTGGTATCGCCGATAAAAAAAATGAAGTTTCAGTGTTTTCAGAATCGGTAGCGTCGTGTACTTAGCTCGCATGTAATTTTTCAAATCGTCGTCGAAGCGGACAAACCAGTTTTGAAAAGTGTTTATTTGCTACTTTCGCGGAGGACGAACACGCGCGATCGTCTCCGATGTACTAACTGCTGCCATCTGCTGAGTTTCGTGAGTCTTTAAATTGAAAAGAAAAGTGGTTGAGGTAGAAGGGGCATACGAGGAAAATCCACTTGACTAATAAGAATGCATGGCTTTAAATCACGACCGATGCTCGATTTGATTTTTTTCGACAAACTAGTTACAGTGTTTCCCCGGAAAACCGACGAAAGGAAAGACGATATTTTTCTCTTTGTTACCTTACATCTATATTTCAGTTGTTTGTTTCCAAGAATGCCGTTCTTGCCATTGTGCCTGTACGGTCTATTAAAGTGACTCAGGGATTCCCAATTACAACGACAAACACATTTTACGCCGTACAGAGACAATACGATTCACACTAGACGATAACGAATGATTATATCATAACTGGATTTTTTTTTTTTTAATCTAGCGTACCTCAGTCGTTACAATAAACACACAGAGCACAGAATCATTGTAAAACTGTCTAAACGTACGCGTATGCGAAAATATAAATATGTACACGATTTACATGATTTTCTCTGTGACCTGTGACAACGATAACCTTTGAAACTGATAACGATATAGCAATTCGTACAATGCAGATATAGCGTAATGACATCATCGTTGCAGACGGAAAACATTTTTTCTTCGATTAATGAAACGCAATACAATTTGTATTCATCGACGCGTTCAGCAAGGAACATATTGTAAAAACGAAAAATTAAAGCTTAAGGAAACAATCTACTCTTTATTGCAATTATTGTTACGGCATTTGAAAATGCATGGAGTATATTCTATACATGCGTCGTGATTGAATCAAGATTGCCTCCTCTTTACGTTACAAAGCTGACGATTACTGTGAGAATACTCGACTTCCGCTGTAAACTGGGAGAAGCGATAACCCAATTGCGGACCAGAGTTTAAGGTCTCATTTTATTGAGTATCCAGGGTAAGAAGTCTATTACTTTAGTATAGACACCAGGCCATCCAGGCATGCCGCAAGGAGACGGACCGAACGAAACGACACCGACGACGGACCATCTTCCAACGCCGTCGCGGCTCCGTTCGAGAGACATCAGAGGTCCACCGGAATCACCTCGACAAGAGTCCTTTCCCTTCTGTCCACCGGCGCAAATCTGTCCGTAACCAAGCGACACTCTAGCATTGTCGTAAGTCTGTCTGCATACTCCCTCGTCGGCAAGGGGCAACGAAAGCTTCAGCTTCACGTCCGACGCTGAGCTGTTCTCCGTCTTACCCCAACCAGCAACGAACAACTTTTGCCCGAATGTGGCGCTCTGCGGCAAGCATATAGGTTTGATGTAATTGGTGAACGCGACGTCACGAGTCAATCTCAAGAGGGCAATGTCGTATTTCTGGTCCCTCGATAGCGGTCCGTAATTCTCGTGGGCGATTTGCTCTTCTATCCCGACCGTGATCGGATCGTCCGAGCAGATCATGGTGGTCTCCCCGTCTTGTACGCAATCGGGGTCGGTTTCGGTGTTGTACTCCCCCAAGCGAACGCTTTCCAATCGCCATGTCGTTGGTAAATCCTTGCCCTTGACACAGTGGGCCGCGGTTAAAACGTAACGACGACTGATGAGGACTCCTCCGCAAGCTGTAGATTTGCCGTTTGCTAAAACAGACACGATTGTATACGATTAATGATATTTCATTCTCCCACGATACGTATCGACGAGTTTGATCTCGGTACACTTACGTTTCAGGTATTCCAGGAGCGCCATCCAAGGGAATTCGTCGAGCTCCGTGCGTTCCCCGCCGAAAATTCTCTGAGACAAATCTTTACCGCAATCGGTGGGAAGCAGAGGATTATCGGATAGATTGTACTGCACGTTTGCGTCATTGTTGTTATCGCTATCCGGCTGCACGGGATCCAGATTTGGATTCTGATTGTTCGGAGGGTAAAGTTGATCTCGCGATGGAACGTTTGGATATTGAATTAGGCAACAGACTCGAGGAGTATTGCCGTCGAAGCCGCACTGTGACTGTCTCAGAAAATTGATCGCTTCTTCTTGAAGTGGTTGCATCTGAAGTATATTCAGCAACGGTGGACACTGTCGTATTCCGATGCACACGCCATTCACGCCATCGGGTGTTAAACAATTTGGCGTTACTTGATTTTCTGTAACGAGAAAACATCATCCTATGGAAGCACAATAATAACTTTAATTATTGTCTGGTTGAGCATCTCGCGTGACAACCTTGAAAATAAATATGAAACTCTCGTAAACGCCATTGCATATTTTATTGGAAATTCGCGTCGTATTTTTTTAAGATGATTGCTTCGATACAGCGGCTGGTTATTTCCGTCGTTTCGTAATTCTGTCCCAAGCTAAGAAAACATCGATTATACGTGCTTTGTGAAACACTGCTCTACGACGTTGCGTATATCACTGTCAACTTTTATATTTTGAAACTAGCGGGCGTGAAAATTGTTATCGCGATAAAGCACGCCGATCTAAACAATATCGATGATACAGTCAGTTTTACTTACGGGCATTGACAGAACTAAGTAGCAATACTTGAAGAAGAGCACCTAGGACAAACGATTTGACCATTTTCGCCGCGTTGTTGACCGCGAAGAGGATAATTGATCGTCGAGGAAAAGAATGTAACTTTTGTTATGAATGGCTTTTGATGCAGATGCAGATGCGATGTATGTTAATTTGATGCGCCAGTAAGGATTGCAACCGTTGTGCCGAAGATCAGGATGCCGACTGAGAGTATCGATGATAGAGTGACCGGAGTCAGGGCCAACTGGTTCCCCCACTATTTAAGCCTGTTTCGACTGACAATGAGTAATCCGCCTATGATTTCCTTCTTTCCTATGTTTTTTAATTTATCAGCATTTTCGTCTTCCTGACTTTTCTGTCTTCGAGTTCGAATTGAACTAAGGTTTTTCGACTTCGTCCAATTTAAACTGTCGAGCGCGCGCTCTCGCACGTCATCGGTAAAAAGACATAAGTGAAACTCTAAAATGGTCAGCACGGTTGTTTTTGTATACCTATTTATGGATTTATATTGCCAGCATATGATACGATTAAATAGAAGTAACTCGAATTCAACCTGAAAATTGTTCTACGCTTAAAGAATTCGAATGTACGTTTTCACAATTTTCTGGCTTATTTATTCGATTGCTATCTGAAATGCCATAATTTTCGCATCTATCAAGTGTATTTCTTAGTCACAGTTGCGATATAAATCAGTAAAATGAAGGTAAACTTTACATCGCGCTTGATTCGTAGATGCGGTTCGATTCATGTAATTTTTGATTCAGGATTATTTTAACGCAAGAATTTTATAATGAACAAACGAATATCGGGTTTCGACATTCTTTGGTTTTGTTTCTACACAAATTTGTGAACATTACGATCTAAGAGAAATGTGAAAATTTTTCACGCTAAATTTGTACTCCGCGGAGAAGTTAAAAATGGCCGTGGAGTACGATACTTGTACATCATCGTCTACGTCGAGCGATATATCATCCATCAAAGGGAACAAAATCTGTAAGAATGTGAGATTTATTTACAGATTTTCTCTAGTTTTCAAATATATTATTTCCAGCTTGTTTCGCGCAAAAAAAATCACGCTGTCGATACATTTGCCTGGGTACTTTAGCCCGTATGGTACACACACAAATTCAAGAAAAATACGCACGAAATGATTGTTTATATCTGATTGGTTCCAAATATATAAAAGATTTTCATAGATGGATACATCGATACAAGTACGAAGAATTATTCGTAAATGACTTTTTGACGCCATTTATTGCATCGATAGTCTTGTTTGCACTGGGTGTAAAACTCAGTAATGAATTAACTGCATGGAGGTTTTAAAATATACCAAGACGGTTTTGGATCGAATTATTATATTTGTTATTAAATATAAAATAGAACAGTAACTGCATCTATTTTATTTTACCAGTGCTTTTACAATAATACCTTTGTAATATAAGAACTAGATTTATACATTAATAGAATTAATATTTAATGTAAAAATTTAATGTCAAAATTATAAAAACTTATGGAGTATATATTATAATACTTCTTATGTAGGTACTTTAAGGTCTTCATCAGTAGGTTTTGGTGAATTTGATTCTGAAAATTCACTATCTTCTGCAACACAGTCTTTCTTTTTTTCATCCGCATTACTCAAAACTTGGTCACTACTTTGATTGTCAGAACTTGTTTCCGAACATTCACTTTCAATTCTGTTAGTATCTTTATGGGCTGTCCTGCTCTCATCACTGGAATGTCCACTGTCATTTGATATTTGTTCTTCTTGATCCACTGTTTTAGATTTCGTTTCATCTTCCTCGCTGTCATCAGAACTGCCCAATTCATCAGAATCGATATCAAAATCTAACAATGTTTTTTTCTTATTTGGTTTAAATTCTTCATTATGTTTCCTTTTCGTTCCGGATGTACAAGCAATTTTTAAACCCTCCTCGACCGCATCACCAACCCTTTCTGTTAAAACTGATCTCTCAAGATCATAATTTGGATCCTTAAATTCATGTTTAGGTTCTGCACAAAGCCTTTGTAATTTCTTTTTCTTGCGTTCTGCTGCTTCCTCTTCCCGTTTCCCCTGTTTTTCAATCCAGACTTTTAACCTTTTTTCCTCGTTAATATCACGAAGTCTACGCCCGCTTAAGTCCCTGCAAGCTTCGCGATTTGTAGTTTTCTCGATTTGTGCACCAATTGCACGTAGCATGGAACCAAAACCTCCTTTTCCGCCAAACAATCGTGGAACAACGGAAACATAACCTGGATAGCAAGTATCATTTCCATCCACAAGTTTACCATTTTGTACAATATAAAAATTTTCTTGCGAAAAATTCTGTAAATGAGATTACTTATATTAGTCTCGTTAATTGAACTAAGCATTTTGAGTTTAAATTCAACAGTCTTATCGTTACACTTACCGTTAGTTCTTCAATTTGATTTCGTAATTCACAAACTTTAAGTGCTGTATCAACAGTAAGGTACTGTTTTACTCCAGAAGCAGTGCTTATCTGTACGTTTAACATTTTTATTTCGTAAATTTTGGCTTAATAAGTCTTTCACTATTTATTTATAATTAGATACACCAGCTTGTATTATCTAAGGACTAATAAAAAATGGCACCTATAACCATGAACTATTCGATAGAACCTATAAGCTAAAGTCGAACGGTTTCGAACGCAGCGCCATCTACGAAGAGAAGGAAGAACCTCGTCGTACTAAACACGTTATAAACTCTTTCAAAAAATTATTAAAATTTGATGTATTATAAAAACAATAAATGTTTAATTTAGTTTGTTTCATAGTAATTTAAAATCAAGTGGAAAGGGGTATCATTTTTGCAATTGCATTTTGCCTTGAACAGTGTATTTTTGAAGCTTTGTACAATGCATAGGAACATTATTATTACATAATTTTCCCTGTTAGAAAGTTTATATTACTAAAAAATAAATTAAATACACTATTTTAATCGCCTTGCGAAATGGGGGATCCACGGTCGCGTTTGGACCCTTTGCCTTTCCCTTTAGTCTTTGTTTCCCGTTTTCTACTTATTGAAGATGTGGATGTGGTAGATGTTGAATCTGCTGGACTCGAATGACTTGATCCTTCACGATCCCAACGCGCCAAAGCTTCTCTCAAATTCTGTCCATCTCCTTCTTCATAGGTATCTACATCTACATGTAGATTATCTTGACCAGTTTGTGTGTTATTTCCAGATTCTAAATTTGCTCTCATTTCCTTCCTTTGATCCTCTGTGTGTTGTGGGCATCGCATGGATCTTGTACATAACTTTTTAGTATGTTCAGACACTACTCCACAAATCTGAGTTAACAGAATTCGTTTGTCTTCTAAAGACATATTTTCATAATTTGATGGAGAATTTTCATTGCTGCTATGAATGTGTTCATTCATGCTTTCTCCGTTTCTTTGATTATTTTTTTGCTGTTTTGTTCTTTTAATACCATTACGGTCTTTTCTGCGTTTACGTTTATCGTTATTTAAACTCCAATCAACATCATCATCATCATCACTTATTACACCACTGAAGTTGCTAAGATCTTTTGAGTTATTTGCTATACGTCTTGATGCAATTCGTGAACTGTTTCGTCCCATACCCATGCACTTCTCTAAGTGAGTTGCAAAACGACATGCTGCCACTCCTCTGTCACAATTTGGACAGTTGCATTCTTGAGATTTTTTTACAGGGTGTTGACCAAATACATCCAATCCTGGAGAATCTATGATAGAGTTTAGTTAGCTAAATTTTGCAAGAGACTCCATTCAGCTTGCAAACCATTTTGCATACACGATGATCTTTTATTCGCGATGCAAAAAATAATAAACAAACATAACCTGAGTAATGTAAACCGGTTGGTTAATACTTTTAAGAAAATTAATTCGATTCACTTACCTACAATAGCATACGATTCGTCGTCAGGTATACCCTCCTCAACATCCGAACTACCAGTTTTTGTAGTTCGATGTACGTCGAAAACAAATCCCATTACCACTTCATCGAGGAGATCCTCGTAAATTTCTTTCGTAGCTGATTCTACATTCTCACCTTTGTTCATAAACTCCAGAAAGCGTCTATTTAATTCTTGAATTCTTTCCTCAGTCACGGACATTTTAAACGTTCGGGTAATCGAAGAACGAAACGTCGTTCTGTTTACTGTCCCGGAATGACAACTCTAGTCCGTAGCATGTGCAGTCTTGGTCTTTCAACTTGAATCACGTTGGTCGAATTTAGACGCTTTCTATTAAACGAAGCAATTCATTCTCGTTTATTGCACGTGTTTAAGTAACAGTTTCTGAATACTGATACTGAAAACTAAACTCGTACCATAATTTTTGACACTATCTACACGATGACACTCCGAAGCAGTGTTACCTACCAGACCGTCGGAGGAGCGCGGAGATTCGTGCGTCAAGTTTCGATCGTCAAGTCGCACGACTCGACTGACGTTTACTTTTCACGGCCGTCGGTATAGCGATTACAGAGATCTAACCAGACGCTACCGATCGAATCGATCCGATGCTTATTTATCATATTTGAGCAAAAATGATTGTAATTGACCCTTGCAATCGAAAATAATTTGTTTAGAAAGCTTTGAAAAAATTTTTTTCGCCGAAAAATTTCAACACCTACTTGAATTTTTTTCTCGAAAGTACGTAGGATTTCGGGGGTATGTGTGTTCACCAAAAATGATTGCAATTGACCCCCGCAATGGAAAATAATTTTTTTACAACGATTTGAAAATTCTTTTTTCGCCAAAAAATTTCTCCAACTACTGAATTTTTTTCTCGAAAACGCGTAGAATTTCGTGGGTATGTGTATTCACAAAAAATGATTGTAATTGACCCCCACAATGGAAAATAATTTTTTTAAAACGATTTGAAAATTTTTTTTTCGAAGAAAAATTTCTCCATCTATTGAATTTTTTTCTCGAAAACGCGTAGGATTTCATGGGTATGTCTATTGACCAAAAATGTTTGTAATTGATCCCTGCAACTAAAAATAATTTTTTCAGAACGATTTGAAACACTTTTTTTCATCGAAAAGTTTAAGCACTTGTTTGCTTGGAAAGTTTTGTATCCGAGTTATTAATTACGTGAAAATTGACGTAAAAGACGCAGAAGTGAAGGACTTTCATATTGGTAGCGTACGGACGTCAGTTGATGTAAATAAAGTAATCGGGTTGGGTATAGGCGAGCGCGTGGGTGGTAGTTGTAAACGAATTATGATAGGCTCTTGTGGACTTTAGCAAGCATACATGTTTAACCCTTTGAGCTCTTATCTCGTAAACGTAAGTTCTGGTTAACTTTCTATACCTATTTTTGAAAAAATACCACAGACATTATTATCAAAGTTTTGTTGTTTACTCTGTTTTTATGTAGGTAATATTTTTTTAAATATAATCGAAATGTAAGCTATGTCTTAAAATTTCCAGCAATAGTGCCTTGAATTCCATTTGTTCACCGTGTTGTTAATAGCTTGCATAAAATCAATAGCTGTAGAACGTGGGACTAATTTCTTTGGAATCTTTAATGAAAATTTCAATTTTTCTATTTTCTAGCATACACATCTTCGCGAGAGTAGTAGCAGTGAATTGACGAGGTTATTCCGATGAAAGCGTATCAAAATAGGATTTTATTTAACCTAATTCGCATCGTCCTTCGAGCAACAGTATCGCGAGCATCAGGCCGACAGGTCATTCGCGTTGAAAGAGAGAGAAATTTAAAACGAAGACCAGGACGAAGCAGAGTGCCAAAGCATAAATAAATAAGTCCATAAAGGTTAATAAAAAATGTACATTCATACAGTTTCAAATTTATTATCTAACATTAAAATGTAACCTGATTCATTCACTTTCCCCCGTGTAAATTTTTTATTCGTTCCATCTTTATATAATAACGAGGTATCAAAGTTTTCTAAAGAAAGTACAATAAAGTATTATATATAAGCGACCAATTAAATAGCAATATATCATCGAACAAATGTATTTCTAATAGTTTGTCTTCCCTTATTACTACTTAGAGCGACGTGAATAGATTTGGGTCTGTTTACGTGATTTATAGCCTTCGATTTGGCAGACTACAGAAATATCTGTTCGAGTTATCGCCTCTTCTTTCTAGAACGAATAAAATCTTTTTTTAAACATTGCACGCGCAATGGGTGTATTGAATTTCAAATATTTTCGTTTTCCCGCGAAAATAACAGCAAATGTTTGTAATTAATAGGTTGAATTTAACTTCGTGGAGTTACGCAAAAGTTGAGATCTTTTACTTGGCACTTTGTCAATTTCTACGAATATTTGAAATTACAATGGAAGGATACACAATTGTCATAGAGAAACAAGTTTCTCTAAACAGACGTGTGACTAGTTAACGCCTCTATAACAAAGAATTGGATCCGAAAACACTGGAGAATTGCCAGTGTAACATCTGAAGTAACAGAAGTACAACCGGGGGCCCAACGTATTGTTAAATAAACAAACACGACGTTGAACGTTCCTGTTCCGTAGTTTAAATAAGAAAATTAGAATACTCGTTCTTTCAAATAATAAGAAGTCTGTTCACGTTATAAGACCGTTATCACCACGTTGTTTTATGTATTATGGTTGTCGGAGGCGCGACGCAAAAATAAAAACCAATCGGAGCCCGCGACAATTTTCTTTCAAGTCCGTGACCGATGAATCCTCCTGGTACCTTGACATTATTTTTCCACCGTAAAACTTACGACGTACTATTTTTAAAGAAAAAAAAGAGGAAAGAGAAATGCTCGCGCGTCGTTACCGAACGGACAAAAATGTACGTTCGTCTATTAGCAAATGGCTTTGCATCGACAAACGCCTGCTTATTTATGGACGTTTTAACGACGCACGGGATTTTTCGAGGTCTTGCGCAAGGAGTTCGCAAAGGTTCGCGAAAATGGAGAAAAGAAGGGACCGTGAATCGAAGGTGAGGATCGTGGGAGGGCGATGAAAGAGGGTGGCCAGTTGCAACCTTAACACGATTCTATTTCTTTCGATGCATCAGACCGTGTGCCGAAAATGACGCAATTGAAACGGTGACTGCGGGTCTCTTCTCGGGGGAGACGCGACACACGTAAAACGTTGTTCCCTTCGTGCTTCGGGCCGTGGAAAAGAAAAAGACGAGGCTAGGTGGGGTGAAGCGATCGCGGTAGAAGCGTAAGAAGAGTTCTGGCGAACGAGCAGAACCGTACGAACCTTCATCGCGACCACAGTAGCGGATCTCTTCCACCCTGGTGCACACGTTATCGTTACGACACACATATACAAACACACGCACGCACACGTACACACTCGTATTGTAAAATCGAGGCGAATTCGAGAGAAGGGACGTATAGCACCAACGAACGAGCGAATTTTCTGCCGAGAAGAAGAACGAAGCGAGAGCGAAAATGGTTTACGAGAGCGACTTCTACACAACCCGACGGCCCTACTCGCGGCCCCTCGCCTCGTCCTACAGCGTCACGGTCAGTATACACGGGATTGCCGAAAGAGCGGGATGAAGTATGTCTTAATAATGTTTTGCTGGATGGCACTAACGTCGAGTAAGAGCCCCGTGTGACACGGAAACACATTAACTGAGCCAACCCTATTATGATTTTATCCGATCCTGAATCAACGTTTCGTCCGCACGGCGATTTCATCGAGATCTCCTTAGGTCGATAAACCACGAACCTTGGATTACCTTCGCCCTAACCCCCGGCAGTACTAAATCAAATAACGTTAACCTGTAGCACGATACTTGTCGGGATAATGTCGCGTCCGCGGCCCGCTTGAAATCTGTCAAACGACGAAACGTTGACTCTCGGATGATCGAAAGAATGACACGCCCTGATCACCCGTTCTCGTTCACGAAATCGATCAACGACAGGTACGACATCGACAACGACAACTAATGCTTCCGGACTAAACGGATCGTTGTTACTGTCGGCGGATCGAATTCGATGGATTTCGAAGTCTCTACTTCCACACTGTATTCCGACCACTGTATTACTTGTTGCTACTACTGTTGGCCGCCACTGTTATTACTGTTTACTACATTTTTTTTTATCCGACCTTGAAACGTGCACTCGGTGTCTCCCGGAAGTAAAACGGAAATTCAATACGAATCAATCACACGACCATCAACGATTTCACTGAGACCTAGATTTCAGTTAACGTGCCCGATTAACAGCACGAAAACAAGTTTTACGAAGATTTACACGCATTGTTGCACGGTTATAACCTCCAGTTTACGGAATTAATTTGCACCTGCACAAAAAAAACAAGCTCTGTCACGAGTTATCCGTCAAATTAAACGGACGGCAAGCCACCCGTTGAATAATTTTTTGTCACGATCATCCTCACTGTGCTCGTCTTTGAACCTGTTTTGTATGCATACGTTGTACCCCTGAAGCAACGGGGAGTTTAATAGCTGTACCGTTTGGTGCACGTTTTTCGCACCCCTTCCGTCTACGATTACTGAAATATCGAAGTTGAGCGTTATTTTGTGTGCGAAACATTTTTCAAACAATGGTATTTATTTTAAGTAAATACTCGCAATACCGTTCGGTATTGTTTAAAGTCTTGAAACTTTAACACGAACGCGACGCGATTACGATCCAAGCGTAACGAGTTAAGCCGTAGGTTGCAAAGTCTGTCTCTGTTGTCGACCGAAAATTTGAAAATTTATATAAATAGTGGTTTGAGAGCAAGAGAATCGGTGGAAAGACTATTCATAGCATCGCAGCCATTTTCCGGGACTTCGTTGTGTTAAACTTAGATGCCGCACGACCCGGCGAATCTTGGATCTGTGAACAGGAAAATGTATTTGGCCCGACAAGCCTGCAAGCGCCGAAAACCGCACGATAGAACGGAGGGCGCGTGTCCGAGAATGTAGGTAAACCAGCTGCGGATGAATTATTTCAAGAAACGTCGGATCGAAAGAGCCGGACGATCAAGCCTCTTTTTTTTTAACGCTTTCGCAACGCCCACGGTTGAAAAACAACGAGAAACGCGAAGTGCTTGACGCAATTTCCCCCCTAAAATTCTCAAGAGTGAAGCGTCGCTTTGTACCATTTTTTGTTTTGTTTTGTTTCTTAACCCTCTCGTCCATCGACATTTGTTGTGACAAGTTCGATTATCGCGGCGTTCCATTGTCGATCGTGGATCAATGGTGCCGCTAAAAGCTGGCCCAAATACCTGACTCTCCGTCAGTGATTCTAACTATGCCCGGAAGATCTTCGCCGAGGTCTTTACCTTGAGCATCTCGACCGATTCCAATGACAGAGGTTGGGTGAATCGACACACGAGGAACCCTCTTTCAGAACGTAGTTGGTGGTGTTATTAAGAAATTTCCCGTCTTTCTTCGTTTCGGTAGAGGGGATCGGAGCGTCGGTGTTGCGTTACTCTGTCCTAATTTAGGCTCCCGACGTAGCAGCGACGATGACTCCCACCACGAGTGCTAGAATTCGTCACGGAAATTCATACGTGTGATTTCTGGTAGCCATCTTTACGCTACCGGGCTCTGCGTCGCGAGTCCCCCGACTCCTTGTTTCGTTCGTCCAAAAAATATCGTATCGACCGCGGGAAATTCTGTCCGAAACGACCTGGATTAAGGACGTAATACGAACTGTCTTTATTAAATATGGCTCACCCAACGAAGGAGAGAAAGAGAGTTCTCGATTCTCGAGTTATAATTAGATCCCGACATACCGTTGAATGTTTGGCTGCTGCTGCTTCGATTCGACCTACACGATGGATCACCGAGCGAACGTGTCTTTTCTGATCATTTTCCAGAAATATTATTCATCGACGCACGGAGAAGCATTATTATTCTAAAAAAAAAAAAAACCGAAGAGTTTAAAGAAGAAAATTCTCGCGCGAACGTGACGCGACGCGATGTAATAATATTTATGAGAGCCGCGTAGAAGAGGGTTGCGGTAAAAATCCCTTGACCAACGATCCGGAATGCGCGGGGGCGAGTATAAGAGCGCGGGTGTTGCATTCTTCGTGCACCATTCACGCGGTTTTCGGTCTATTTTCGCACCCGCGTCAAGAGTCGTCGCGGGGGAGAGAAGAAAGACAACGTCCATGGTTTTCTTGTACCTATCGTAAACACGATGTTAAACGATCTAACTTTAAACGCGCGGGACCGCAAGATTAACGGCAAACTGCTCGAAATTCGATGCGTTTCGTAATTGGCTCGCGTAACGCGCAAAGCAAAATAGAATTGCTCGGGACATTATTTCGCTTTCGATATAAGGGTAGGAGGATCGGTGTGGAAGTGAGGACGTCGAAGGGAACGGAGTCGAGAGAGAGAAAGCGATCCCGGACGCTAAAGGGGAAGCGATACAGAACGGGCGGAAGTTGAAAGCGCCCCAAAACGGAATAAAATTTACAGAAGCAGGACTACTTCCCTTGGGAGAAGGTACCATTTGTCCCGCGTCCGTCCCTGGTACCGGACCCGTTCACCGTTTGGGGTCGTAAGAAGCAGGATCCAAAGAAGGAATTTTACCAGTATGTCACCCTGAAGGACAAGGAAGGGGTCGTGCGTGGAAAGAATGCCGCGAAAGAGGAGCACAAGCGACAGCTGGTGACCGGCGGCACCGTGTCAAAGGTCAGACTAGACGCAGCGACCGAACTAGCGACCAGAGGTCACGTCTTCGAGAAGGGAGTGCTCTCCAGGCAACCAGGTGCTGGAAGACACGTCACTACTCCTGCCAGCGGTCGTACAAAGATATTAATGGCGCTCCAGACGCCTTCCTGGTATCGATTTTAAGGACAAATTACGAACAAACGAACTACTATTTTCATCGAAAGATTCCGTTTTGTGGATGATATAAGGTTTAAGAACTCGACGATTTTGATACCTTGCTTCGTAGAGTTTAGTCGGCTATCGGAACCACTTCGATTTCGAACATCGAGAATGATTTTTGTCGCCAGGCAGACGTTAGTGTTGTTGTTGTTCGTCGTTTTTTTAGATGTACCAACGTTTTTTTGAACAATATCATAGCGTGTCTTGACGTACGTACGCGTACGTCGGTTCATCGAGTATTGATTTTATTTCGGAATATTTTCAAAGGGACTGGAATTCCATGATCGATAGTGCTTACAATAGCCCCGATGTACGCTTTTAGCTCTCAGATGTTATTTTTTCACGCACAGATTTAAAACCTGCATGTTTTTTTTTTTTTCTCTTTTTGTAGCGGACACACACTTGCACACAGATTCGTACACAGATTCTCATGTACCTACGAATATACTTGTCCTGTACACTGGTTTACCTTTAATTGCATCTGTACCGCACGTCGAAGAAATAAAGTACTTCGATTTTAAGGAACCGCGTTTACTGGACCCGCTCCTAAGGCAGGTACGAGATCTGCAACACCCGACAAGTGTCTCTATAACGAAGAGAATCGGCATGTTTATGATTCGATGTCGATAGTGATTATAATATCGCTACGACGTTCATATCCGCCAACTTCTGGCCGGAAGTTAACTCATCGCGTAGATCAATGACGGATGCGATCGTAATCGTGATAAAGCTCTTAAGGCGAAAAATGACATTGAAACGAGACACCGAGCTGCACTCGTGAATACGAGCAACGTGCACGAACATAACGTACACAGTTTCGCGTAACGTAATCCATGTGTTTCTTGGCAAGGGCGAGTTCAGTTGCTCAACGTTGCACTCCGAGTGTCCTGAATATCTCGGCAAGGAGACATTATTAATGCATACGTGTACCGCTCTACGTTTATAATTGGCCCGCACGTTGTGTGTCTACAGATAGATCGGATATTACCGCGAAATACCTTATCGACCCTATTACTATCTTTTTTCCATGCCGTAACACGAATAAACCACTGACCGTTGTACTTTTCTTTTAACCGTACCTAACGTTCACAACCTCCCACCCAAAAAAGTTCCCCACGCTTCGTCTGGATTCCGAGCAATTATTTTTAAACGAAGATCGAATCGCGTCTCGACGAAGGATCGTTTTAACGAGCATCCTACGCAGATGCCAGAGGCAAGACGAACCGGACGAAGCATCGTTTCACGCGTCGTAGTTTTCTTCCCGTTTCCGTCGTTCCGTGGCACACGACGTCCTCCTCCCCGACACACGTTATTCCGCAACCGGAGAACAGAGCCGAGTAGAAGACAGCTTCCACGAAGCCGTGATCGCGAGAACGATCGGGACCAGATGTTTCATGGCGTTCTGTTCTCCGGAAACGCCTGTTCTCCACATTGTTGACCTTGTGTAACCCGAATCTATAGACGCCTCGGCATTACGTGGTCCGTGACTATCCGGATGTCGGCGTGAGGGCTGCCCAAGAGCAGTACAGCTATGCCTACACCAACACCAGCTCGTCGAGCTCCTCCTCCTCCACGGATCCGTACAGTCGCCGTCCGCAGAGGTCTAGCTACAGCACAGAGAACGTCGTCAAGAGGGAGAACGGACCGTACGGGTCGTACTCAACCGAGAGGTCGTCCAGGACATCGTCCGGCGGCGGTCCTGGAAGCTATCATTCCTCTTACGAGTCCCACACTTCCGGCCGTTTACCTGGCGGGACCACTTACCGCCATTTCTCCTACCGCGTCTAAAGCCCCAACCGACTCCGTGGCCCTCGATACTTTCGTTTCACCGACCTCGATGCGACCGCGTCTTAGAATCGAACGATTCCAAGCTTTTACAAGGAACGATTAACAATTTATCGCGAACGTCGATCTCGGTGAAACGAATACGCCGCCTTCCTGTCGCTTGTTAAACGTTTTCCCTTTGTTGTATCGCCGCGTACGATCGACGGACAGGAAGACGGCCCAGGATTTTCTCATTTGTTATTCGAATTGTCGCTATGCATATCTGTAACGCATATTATAACGAAGATGTATCCCGTAGCTGCATTTGGACGTTTCGAAGCTAGATCCGCTAATCGTTAGGCATCGTCGAAGATGGCTGAACGCATCGTTCCGCGATTGATTAAATTAGACACGATCCGGAACGGGGGAACGCAGTATGCGAACACGCCTTACGCGGTAGACGAGAACAAGATGAAAATGCGGTTGTATGCGTTTTACGGTTGCACAGATATATTTTTTCTTTTTCGTTGCGTTGAACGTAGAATTTTCTTTTGTAATTTCTCCTTTTCCATTTATGGATCATACGCGTTGGGAGTGTTTGTTTTGCTTTCGTATAGTGGACCCGAACGTTTTGTATTCGTGCAGAGCATAGTTTTGTCTCTTCTACGGTGTAAAGTGTCAGTGTTAATTAAATCACGAGAACAAAGCGTTCGACACAATGTCGTCAACAAAAACAAGAAAAGCTAAGCTTCTCGCGCGACAGACAAGTATCGAGAGAACACGACCGCTCGCTTTCGTGCCGGTACACGGACCCTTGTCGTCGATGGGAATAATGTGTACCAAACTAACCGTGACTAACCCATATACTCATTGTCATCTCGTTAGACACACAACGCGACAATTGGCCAAAACTGTTTGCTCGCGGGAAATTTTTTTTGAATTCGTATTGCTATATCTCTCGTCGAAGGTACACTTTTTATTTTCTGGTTCTACCTCCTTTCTGTTTCGCATCGTTCTTATACCTCGAACCATCGAGAGTGCGAGAACCGATTCGATCGATGATTGACGACAGACACGTGCGTAAAAAGAGAAAGAAAAAACTAAGTAGACAACTAGATAAACGATTGAAATAAAGTGAGAAATAAAATAAAGCGTAGAAACGCCTGTTTCTGTATTGTCAAAAGTCACTAACCGGGTGTTGTTCTTCTTCTTTCTATTTATTCTGCTTCCCATGTGACTCCTCGTCCCCTGCCGCCGCCGGATTACGCCCAATATCGTCGAAAATCGTTTAAACGAAACACACAAAAATATTCGCCCACTGTAAATACAACCGAAACCGGACCGCAGGATCGACCCATTGCTTTACCGCTCTCCACTATCCTCCAGGTAAGTACCACGGAGTTTATGCTAGTAAACGAGAACGTAGCTACGCTCGCGATACACTCACACAAGCCTTTAACTGCAAACGCGAGATGCAACAAGTGCGATCGTGGATTTTGATAGTGTCGCCTGCAATGCCCGAGCGAAATTGTTTCTGGTGTTCGCGACACCCGAGATTCGGCACCCTCTATTCGCTTTTTTATACGAATCCATCAGCTTTCTTCCCTTTCTTTGCCTTGGAGCTGCATCGATTCGACAGGTTCAACGACCGCCTCGCGCGCATTCGATAACGACGCTTTTCGGCTCGCTACCCCCTGCGCCATTAAAGACTCTTAAAATGTCGTTTCTCGCTATTCATGCCCATCGATCGCTTTGGCCAACTTCTTTCACTAACCGTGTTCATCCACCGTTACTCATTTTCGCAATCGCTGAATAAATAATCCAACGATCGCGTGCACGTCCGTGGATTCTCTTCGATTGAACCGCACGCTTCAACGCCTATCTGCTTCCTGCTTCCCGAAACCACTGTGGAAAGTTTGATCGTCACGCTTTGGAACGATTGCCCGGCGCTACTGACTTGTCAAGACCATCGTGAACGATCGCTGGCTGGTTAATCGACAAAGACAGAACGCGAGCTATCGCAGGATTAACAAAACGAACACGCTTCTATGATGCTAATTGCCGCTGATACCGCTGGGAACGTAACGATGATAGTCGATAGTCGACGGATTAGTAAAGTAGAGTATCGTGCCCCCAGTTGAGGGGCATTCCTCACATGCCATACGTGGCTCACAAAAGGCTCGTGACTGTAATCCACATGCCGTACCATACCGTGTACCATGGCGGCAGTCTGTTACCGATAAGAGTTCATGCGCGAGTACGTCCCAGCGTCCTCGCAGCCGAGATCAACAGGATACGGAACCTATCGAGACCATGGACTGGATCCTACACGGAGAAGTATCTTCAATCCAAGGATCATATCGTAAGTCTGCCACGCACGTGGATTCTCTATCGAACGCGAAACAGACTCATAACCAGTCGCCATTAGCATGAGAGTCATCGAGTTCATCATCCATGTCATCGACACGTCGCACAATCCATCCCCGTCGTCGCACCTACTCGTGATTTTTGATCATCATCGACGGCATCTGGCATCCTCTATCAGCGGAAACGCGTCGTCTTATCAAACATTAATACCGATCTATATAATCAAGTCGCACTCGATCGAAACTGAAACTTCGTCGCTCTCAGTTAACAGGAATAATCACATAACAAGGAAACGTAGTAAATACTAATTACTCTCGCGCGAGAGCAAAGACTGTTTAAATGTGTATTTTACGTGTGTCTCTTCGCAGTATTTCGACGACGAGGCGAGGGAAATACGTGCGAGGGTGGACTCCCTTCTGAGACGAGTTCACGTCTTCGTCCCGCGGGCCGTGGCAAGGTATTTAGAGAACCGATTTGTCGGAGAGTTAATCGACCGTTGGAGAAGAGGAATTTACAGCTCGAACGGGCGAAATCGTTAAAATACTGCTCGTTTTCAGCGACTTTTTGGAAGAAATAGTCCCGGAACGTATGCGTAGCGGCGACTACGTGCGCCGGTTGCTTTCCGGCAAGCAGAACGCGAAGAAGGACCCGGAACCGATATCTTGGTACGAGGTCCCAGAACGAGGTAACTTCGGTAACCTGGCGTGCGTCAAGTACGTTGCTGGAAATCCACAGTCCGTGAGGAGACCGTACTTCAAAGTCGCCGATCTGCGTCCGTCGGACATCAAGAACGACGTTAATTTTCTGAGCTACTACAAAAAGAATCGCCAGGCGGCCGCCGACGCCTGTGAGTAGTTTCGTTACACCGACGAACACATACGCGACTGAAACGTGGACGACTCGGACGATCACAACGGACACCCTCGATAAAAAAACAACCACACACGTTGCTTTTTCTCTATCGGTCGAGCCTTGGCGGAAAACGATACGAACGAACGAATCTTCGCTAAATCAATTTATTTATTTATTCTTTCGCATATGGACCGAATCCGAACACAAAACACGTAGTTAGAGGCACAGAGTAGAAGCAAATGATCGCGAGGAGGGTATAATTACGAATAATCGTCGCGAGACGCGCGTTTCGTTCGACAATTCGACCAACAACAATCGCGAACGGCATTATTCGGCGTTAACCTTCCTCCGCGCGTTACCAGTGAATATATTTTGAAAAGCGAATTTTGGAAAATAAAAACGGCCATGCGACGCCGTTGTGTGCACACGTTTTTCTTTTGGTTTTTTCTTTCCCGCTCGTTACTCTACTTTTTTTCCTTCCTCCACCCTTTTTTTGGATGAATGCCATTGATTATCGCACTGTCTGACAATTTTTTGGTTGTGCTGTGCTGGCTCTTATATTTTGGTGTTTTTTTTCCTCGTTCGTTATACAGTTCTCCTTTTTATTTGTTTTTTTTTTTGTTCATCCCCCTTCGTAATTCGTTCGTAGCTGCACATTTCTGTTATATATTGTGTCTAATTAAATACGTGGTGACGAAGGTGTGAGACGTGTCTCGTCTCTCGTTTCATTTTCTATTGTTTTTTTTTTATTTCTAATCGCGTGTCGCGCGCTCGCGATCCCGATTCAAGCACACATACGGAGAAAAGAGCAATCGACGATACAGCGTGAAATCGAAAAACGGAAAAGAGAGCAAGATTTTACACGATGGCAGACTCCAGTATAAGGCAGAACCAGATGACTGGGACACGTACATGCGGGTAAAAGTGGCGAAGAACCAGTTCGAGTTTTTTGAACGTTTCAGGCCAGGGGTGGAGAAATCGTGTTCCAGAGCTGTACGAGGATCCGACAAAACCAAAAAAGAAGGACGACGAAGACATAGAGAACGACGAGCCTGCCGAGGAGTGACTACCGTCACCATAACTATCGTTTATCTATTAAATCTGCGAGAAAAACGGCGTCTACTTCTAACTACACGCGTACGCATGCACAGAAACAACGCACAAGTCTCTCTCAGCGGCGATTCAGCCTTCGAGATTTTGCTGGAGAACATTTCTACGGAGACAACAAGTTCGAAAGCAGCGTTTAAATATTTTGTAACAAATTATTCATTATTTTTTTTTAGTATCGACGACCCTTTAAAATACCGATTGCGAGATAATAGTCGTTCGTGCAGTTCTCCCTGGACGCAAAACCCGAAACGCAAACGCGAATTCGTATGAACAAGGGATGTTAATGAAATCTTCACGCGTTCGTTGCATTAGACTACACTAATACCGTCAACGTCCCGCCACTGTTAAGTTTTAGTATCGTTAAATTTGTCCGTGCTTGCCAGAAAATGTCCGAATAAAATAATCGTACCTGATTGATTGTAAACGACACCGTATATTATTTTCCTTGCACGAAAGTTGGAAAGTTAGAAGAGATGGCTAGCGAGCGAATGCTTTACTCCGAGGTAAGCTTCTTTTACGTGCTTTATAATTCTAGCAATTAGGTCGACTGACGTTTTGTTTCTGAAGTGACGTTGAGTGCTTTTCGGTTGCTGAGGAAGTACACATTAACGTTAACGGTGATAACAACAATACCCACAACAACCACGACGATATCGCAATACCGTAAAGTTTTACGTCAAAACGGACGAAGGAGTCTCGTATAAATTTGTCCCGTTCTGCGTGCGAGCGTTCTCTAATTACTTATTCTAATGAAAACCACGTAACACGTATGTACGAAAATCCACTTTCGTCGCAGAGAACACGCGTGGCGAGAACACGTTGTTAAGTATACCGTGTGTGTGTTTCTAATTGATCATCATTCGAACACCCCGTGACTGCAGTCGGAGTCAGAATCGTGTCATCAAAGCAAGACGAGAACAATGGATCTGGTTCATCGTCGATTCCATCGTTTCTAAAACTGTACTGCACAATACTCAGTCGTAACTGTAAATGTTACCGATCCCAGAAACAATGTCACCGTCGAACGCCGACCGCGTTCGACGTTTTCTAATATCCTAATTCATTCGTCGCACACCATCGTATGCTTAAATACCTAATCAATCGTTCTTTTATAGAGCTTTTTGGTACCGTTGATAACGCATAACGAACTAACACGTGTGCCTTGTTACAACACACTTTTCACGTACCTATATTACACGGACTAACTTTCTTAATTACATATCAGTTTGGCATGTTCGTTCAAATTCATTTCAAAGTCTCAGGAAACGTCTCAGCATCGATCCTCTGTCCGCTAACCGAATGCGTTTATGTTTCATGCATCCCGTAGCGCCGGAAGAGCCGATGACGGAAAGAGAAATACGAAAGGGTCGGTAAAATTGATCGTTTACATATTTCTAAACGCAAACATCGTTTGGTTACATGTTCTCACGTAGCATGAAAAATTTTAGCGCGAGCGTTGCAGCCAGACGTGGACGAGGCTGCTCTGAAACGGGGTATGTTTCGTCCTTTTACGTATCAGTTTGCACATGTCTGTGTCCGAACGTGATGCCGGTATCGTTTCGTGTATCTTCCAGCACCGAAAGTAGAAAAAGAACCGGAACCGAAGCCGGAAAAGAAACGCGAGTCGAAGCGGGAAAAGCCGGTCGAGGAACCGAAACCGGAACCGGAACCGGTGAAGCAACCGGAACCAGTGGAGGAACCAGAACCTGTCAAAGAACCAGAGCCCGTACCGGAACCTGTCAAAGAACCGGAACCCGCGCCGGAACCTGTAAAGCAACCGGAACCCGCGAAGAAAGCGAAATCCGCGAAAAAACCGGCACCTGCGAAGAAACCTGAACCGGAACCGGAACCCGTGAAGGAACCAGAACCGGAACCGGAACCCGTGAAGGAGCCTGAACCGGTACCGGAACCCGTGAAGGAGCCTGAACCGGTACCGGAACCTGTGAAGGAACCTGAACCGGTTCCGGAACCTGTGAAAGAACCTGAACCAGTACCAGAACCAGAACCGGTGAAAGAAGAAGCTCAGCCTGAACCCGTGCAAGAGGCACAACCGGAAGTTCAAGAAGTGGCGGCTGAACCAGAAACGAAACAGGAAGCAAGCTCCGAACCATCGGCTGCAGAAGCAGTAAGTGAAAAGGAAGAAGAAGGCGATAAGAAAGGTACGTCTGGCGAAAGAAGTTGATCGAGAATCGGGTTGAGAATTATAGGCAAGTGGACGAGTATCTGTAGAATGTGGTCGTTGTCAATGTCGTGAGAGAAACCTGTTATGAAATCTGTTTCTTGTTCGTTACCGCATGAGATGTAATGTTAGTTGAAAAGTCTTTATCTCCTATTCGAAACGGTGCACCATACACGACACGAATTTCTCAACACTCGACGATACGAATTTTGTTGGATCGCTCGACGAGGGTTAAAATTAACGGATGAATTTCGATTTCAGTAAAGCAAGACAAGGAGGAGGCGGCGAAAAGGATACAGCAGTATCTCATTAAGGCAGCCGAGGAGGCCAGGTACGTACGTTCGGTCCAAGTTGGCATGTCGATAGTAAAATGTTATACAACGAGTGGACGCTTGAAAATAATTCCATCGACATAGTTGCCGGTCAGTCACAGAACGATCTAACGCTATAACATTGAACTCGGCCAAGTAACCTGCTAACTGACTCGATACGCTCGCCAAAATTTTTACCTACGTCGATCTCGAATCGTTTCGGAATTAATAGGGCACTGTATCTAGCGCGCTAAAATAACGATCGAATATCGCAAACAACATTGTTGCATCGAAAGATCACCGCCCGTATATACGAACCGATCGCGACTGACCCGTATGCACGACACAGAGAAATCGTTGCATCGCATGATCCGTGTCGTTTCGCCGCAGGACCGACGAAGAAAGGAAAAGGATCGCCGAGGAGGAAAGGGTGATGCTTGAAATGGAGGAGTTGAAGGCGTGGGAGGCTCTGAAGGTGGCGCAGGAACGTGCCGAGCATATCGATGAAATACGGGAACAGGAGAAAGCCGAATCCGAGAGGCAGGCCGAGGAAGCAAAGATGGAATCCGAACGGTTGGAAACCGAGAGAATACAGGAGGTGCAAAGGTAATTTGTGCACGGGCTGCACCACGACTACCGATAAGAAGTCACAGTTGTTTGGGGTGCGGATCAGACGCGATCAAACATCGATTTTCCGTGTGTAGGCAGATGGAGGAAGCTCACGTGAAGGAGTTGTTGGAGGAGCAGGAGAGGATGATCGTCGAGGAACACCTCGAAGAAGTTCGTCAACAGGAGGAGAGAGAGGTGAGGCTAGCGAACGTTACGTTCGGCGACGCGGACGAAGTGAAAAACCTCGATTCTCGCAACGATACGGTGGGCGATATGAACGATCAAGAGAGGGAGGAGAGACCTTACGAGCTGATGATGGACGACGATACGTGGGTAAGCGTCCTCGATCGAAACTCGCGGCAGCTTCTCTCCCCTGAAATTAACTTTTCGCAATTTTTCCCGATAAAGGTCGAAGAGAGAGACCCCCAGGACGAGCAGTTGGAGACGCACGAGGATCCCTTCGTCGAAGAGGTAGAAGGGGTGGAAAGCAAAATCCATACAGGCGCGACAGCTGTCGAAGATGCGCCGAAAATCGAGGAGGTCCCATCGGGCGGAGAAGAGTGCTTCGAATGGGGAGACCAAGACGCGTAACGCTTCTTCCTCTATAACCGTTGTACTCTGTAATTAACGTGTCCTCGACAATTATCGTTGTTAATAGCGTCGCATCTCATTAAGCCGCGTGTAAAAGAAAGATGAATGACTTGCCAATTAAGTACGAGTCTCGTTGAATGTCGTTCAATTTGAATCGCTTCGGATCTTTCCCTCTTGGACTTTGAATCATTTCACACTTATTTATTTCATCGTTAACGTTCATCCACGCACAAGATTCGTTATCGATAATCGGCAACCAGTCGATCGAACCTGAACGTCGATTGTCGTCGGTTTTGCCGATATCGATGCCCTCGAATCTCTCAACGACGGACTACGTGTCGTCCTATTCTACTTATCGGACATCGCATTAATCTTTAAGCCAGCTGCGTATTTTATTTTACAAACTGTTACGAACCAGGCGAGTAACGCGTCAGAAAATTTAGAAAAAAACAAAAAAGACAGTCTCCTCGAGACGCATGATTTTTTTTTTTTTATCAGATCATCGCGTGTATTGTTATATTTATTTTGATTTATTCATTTAATCCCGTATCGTTTCTGACGTTTTACTTGATCGTTATCGGCGAACGCTTTGCTTAGTATTACGTAATACATAAATAATATACAATAGGTATATTAGGAAGGAAAGCAAGCACGTATGAAATTAATAATTTCATAGCGATCGCATCAGGAACGGTAAATCGATACAATTGGGCTTGCGACCGCGAGCGCGGAAAGTGAAAACGAAACAAAGTTTGTAAGATAGTTATACCATGTTCATAGAAAGGAGAACAGAAACACGTATGTTCGACGAAGATAATATATATTTTAATTATTACGATGTTCCTATATTTAATTCACACTGCACGTTCGCACCTGTAGCACGCACTGTATATTCACGCAATGCATATTTTCTGTATACTTCTACGATAATAAATATTTAGCATTTAAATATTTCAGCCACGCACCGTTGTCTGTACGAGTACACCCCAATTTACGTACGACGGAAGATCGAATTCTTTTGTCCGCGGAAGACACCGGGGTTGTAAATTCGTCGTCGTCGTCGGGACGTTTCCTTCTCGCGTTTCCACGTACGGTGCATATTTCGTGACATATTTCGCGAGGCCAATCTTCGAGATACTTTTCGCGCGGCGAATGTAAACATCCGCGGAGCTGTTTTCGCGATGATCCCTGATTGCGCAAAGTAGGCCAAACGAGACACGGACTAGCTCGAAACGGGCTTTAAACGGTGTTACTTCGAAGTAAAAATGAGGTTAAATATGTATGCCAACTACCTCTGGATAACTCGGTATACTAAACGTGTATCTTTATATGGGTCAGCGTATGTTGGCCCGTTGTCACAGTAATGAACAAGCCGAATACTATCGATGGGAAACAAGACGAGCAAAACGCGTTAATAGGTCCGTCGACTGTACTCTCTCGAAGATGTTTTGTTCGTCTCTACGTACGAAATAACTATTAATACTTTTACCGACGTGCTGTATTTCCTTTCGATGATCGCTCGTTAACTCCGGCGGCGATGAAGACGAAATTAATTAAACGGTTTGTACTTTATGGTATCGTTATCAGCGAAGAAAAAGAACTTTTACTCGCAATCAGTGCGACGATGGACACGTACCTCGACCTTGGTTAACGTTATATAATATTGGTCGTTAATACGGCAACCATGCAAATCGATAGTAAAGGCATCGATAAACACGTCGTTACGCCGGCACCTATGAGTTTTAATCGCGGTCTCGTCGTTTCTTCGCGATAAACGTTGCGAAAGACCGGGAAATACGACATCCTCGTAGGAAACGGCTATATTTATGCGCGATTCGGGAATTACGCGAAATAATCGCCGTCGTGAAATTCATTTCTGAGCAGCCGTTGCATTTTTGCGGCGCACTTTAATCTTCGTCATTGACGTTGCTCGTATCGCGAATGTATTCGTCATACCGGTGATTCGGATCGTTGCATGAATTAATAATAATATTTAATTGCGTACGTGTGATTAATATGTAGCATAAATAGCTAGAAACTGCAAAAACACGGCTCGAATAACTATTCGAGACGGCGCGCGAGACTTCGTGTCGCGCGGTTTTCCAAAATGAGCAGCCGCGAGTGGCAAGGCGAAATCGTTTGTAAAAGGCAGGAGGGTCGTAATCAGGAAACCGATGATCGTCCTAAACGTCCGTCGGCCTGTGTCGTACGTTGGCCTGTCGGTGGTATCATAATTTTCGGAAATGAGCGCCAAGATTAGAGAGAATTGACGTCATCGTCGCGACAATAAAAAGAGGGATCCGGCGTTCGTTTGGCCGTCCGTTTGCGAGGATGGTGCGCATATCACTGACAATGAATCGTCGAGAAAGCGGGATGCGAATATAAGCTGAAGAACGTACAGGCTGATTCAAAACGACGGGGCAAACAGAAGCTTGCAACTTCCTCGTGCGACGTTTGCCATTTTGTAATCCGAGGTTTCGTTCTCGAGGCACAAACAGTCGAAGTTTTTTAATTCCGTAAATATCTTGTTTGGCACGATCGACCGATAACGAGATACAATTTCAAGTGTTTATACCTTGAACACGAAACTTCGAATTGCACAATGATGGTCAAGTATTCGATTCGAGATTTTAACGAACCCAACGAGAAACCATTTTGCGACGTTTGATGTGGACCACCCTGTACGGATGCCCACGTAAATCCCAACCTACACGCAGCGAGATCGCAAGCGTGGGTTGAACGTATTATTTCTCAATTAAGAAACATGAATGGCAAACGTTTCGAATTTCTAACGAACATCCTACGAGCGAAAAATGTTTACAAATATAGATTGTTTGGTTATAATATATAATTACGTTGTCGATTATTATTTATATATTCCCTCACCGTCGTGGCGACTAATTAAATTGTAACATACGTGTGGCAATGTTCGTTCAACAATTGGATCGCGTTATTTTCAGATAGGAGGAACTGGTATTTATGGACGCTTTGAGTAACAGTCCGTTTGGACAGTCTCGTATAGTAGTTAATTGCTATGACGTTTCTGGCGCATCGCCAATTTTATGACAATCCATTTATTCGAGTTCGTTGAAATATACGAACGAGTAGAGTCGAATAAAGGAAATTAATGTAGCGTGGATGAATCGGTTGTTACGTACCGGCGACAGGTGCGTTACGATCATAAAAAGAACGTTTACGTACGCTGAAATATTATTAGAATGAACGTGAAACCGAGGGGCAATAGCTCATTGGTCTTCGCGAGACTGTATCTATCTGCACGTGACATTGACAATGAATTGCCCGGATAGCTTGATGCGAACGTAAGCGCAAACGGAAGTTTGTAAAAGTTAATTCACGTCGGCACCGTATCTTCTTCCCGAGACACATGCTAACAATTTGCTTTCTCCTCGTTTTATCGCGCTAAAAATATTGATCCACTCAACCTTGAAACCTATACGTTAGAAATATAATTTTCTTCGTTCCTTTTAGACAAGAAAAATTAATGAAATCTACCGACGGTTTTACGATCATTGACTTTTTTCGCCCGGGCATCTTTTTAATGAAAATTCCGCAAAATGTATTCGCGCGAGCCGTCGTGGAAACGGAGAACCCGGGATTATCGAACGGAAGGGATAATTTTCTCGCTTTTCAACCCTTCGTTCTTGTTAACGAGAACGCGCGAAAATACCTGAGAAAGTTTACTACGGGAGCGTGACGTGCGATTTTCGAAAATAGTCGGACCACTTTGTGCACGGGCATGAAAGAGCGATATCGGTATTCCCGGTGTTTCCGGGATTCCAGAATTTCCGAAATTCCCAACGACCGTGCCATTGTCTGGCGCCGATAAAGCTTTACGCTCGTGGATACTTGCACGCGTCGCACGCTCGTGTTGCAACACACGTCAGTCGTTAAACTTCATTCAGATTCTGTTATCGAAATTGAAATAGAAATTTCCGCCGAACGAAAAAAAAAAAAGAGAGAGAAGAACCGAAGGAAAGAGTCGAAAGGCCGATCAATTTCGGTGCTCTCGAATAGCATTCCATCGAGCAGTTTGAATGAAGCTATTCTTAACAGTGTCGAACGGAGCACGAGAACCCGCTATTAAAGTTAACGCTCCGTTAATTGCTCGTGACGCAAACTTAAAAGTGGCGTTTAAACCAATTTCTTTGTTATTAACGCCCTTTTCTTCCTGTCAATTTTGTCGTAACATCGAACGAAATACGTTCCCAGAGCAGAGCTCGAGTCCTCCGGTTTAGAAACACTCTGTACACGTGGGAAACGCCGGACGTTTTTACTGCTACTGTGAAATAACGCGAAAAGTTCATTCGGGTAAAGGGTATCGATATGCCGTTATCGTGCACGCTTAAAAATAAACCGGTCTAGCCGGGAACACCAGGTGGGAGTTAATCGTAACTAAAACTCAGGTAACGAATGACGAGCGAAATCGTCATCGCCGTCGTCATGGTGAATCGATGACGAAGGTGCTGCTTTACGCCGGCTCGATAAGGGCGCGATATATGTATGCAGAACGTCTACTATGACCGAGTCTCTGCCTGTGTGGGGAAACGGCATTTCAATAAATATCGCGGAACCGTTGAGCGACAACGATCGAAGGGACACGATTTCCGGAAAAATATTTGCCCGACGATTTCTTTTTTTTTTTCGCGTGAAACGAAACCGGGAAGTCTGGAATTCATGGCACAAAGGTAACTCGGTTGCCCAATGTTCGGAGCTGACGTCAGTGCGGGGTTGTTGGCGCCACTGTCCTATGACGTCATTAGGGGTGGGTTTGGGGGTGGTACGCGGCGGTGGTCGAGCTTCAGAGGCGTAGGGTTCAGAAAACAGCGATAAGAATTTTCCTAATAATCTAGGCGTGGAAATAAGATACTCGAATAATACGCCGTGATGGGAAAAAACATTAACTACGTTTAATTATTCGTAGAATCTGAACGGTACGCTCGATTTGGTAATAAAGGAAAATCCTGTACGCGAAATTATATAAAGAAACGGTCGTATCTCTTGGTATTGCAATTGGCGTAATGAAACAACGTCATGAACTCGACTATATAATACAAAGGTCATAACGGAAGCTTTTATGGTTTGATTCGTTGCCTGTTTAATATCGATGGCCGTGTTAATCGATAGAATATTCTGCGACGGGGAAACGTTAACGTTCCGACGGAGATTGCATAACTTTTCAGCTTCTTTGTTATTATATTTGGTGAATGGTCATGGATCGACGCTATAAACGATTCGAGGAATGTAAACGGCATAAATTCGTTGTTACGCCTCTGTGTTAGGCTGTCAAACACGTGCCACCTCCAACCCTCCGGGCCTCCGCCATTTTGGTGTTGAGGTTGGGTCCCTCATCCTCTATCGTCCATGTAATCTCACTTCGTGCTACTCCAACCGCCCTCTTAGTCTATGTTATTTTACCGATTCTTCTGCGCGAACCCAGTGGCGTAACCTCGTGCACAAAGGACAATCGTAAAAACGAGAGTTAAAAGACGCGGGAGGCCTCCCAGCTGAATAAACAACAAAAGTGTTCTCTAGAGCCAGCGCGCCGCGGCGATATATTTTTTCATTCCATATTTTCGGTGTGTTTTCCGAAAGGATATCTTTATGGGTATCCATTGGCGAACGCGAACGGTACACGTACGAAAATCTCTCGTAAATCCCGCCGAAAGGAAGAAAGGGAAGAAAAAGAAAGAAAAGAAAAAAAAAGAGTCGTAACGCTTCTCTTTGCCTCTTTTCGAGAGCAGTACGTCGAACGAAGTGGATGGTTTACGAGATTTACAATTTCTCCGCGAAGACCACCGAAACGGCGTGTGCCATTGAATTCTCACATCAGCTATTAAAGATCGATGCTTAAAGCAGAAAGCTTTTAAAGCTTCGCGAGACGGGAGCGCGTACGAAATTCTAGAAGGGATCGGGGGGGAGTTTTCATCGAC